TGTGTGTTTGTGTATGTCTGTGTATGTGATGGGCAATGTTACCATCGAGTTGACAGTATGTGTAGTCTCCTGGGAGACACCTCTGGGCGAGTCTGTGAGGGTGTTGGGATATATTTAACCGAGGTAGGAAGGACCACTTTGAGTGTGGGAAGCACCATCTTGTGGACTGCAGATCCCGGCTGAGGAAAAAGGGAAGACAGGGCAAGCGGAGTGGAATGCCGGCGTTCCTGACCTCAGGTGGTATGGGACCAGGTGTCCTGGACTCCTGGTGGATTGTGGTCCCTGAACTAGGTGTTTGGTCGTAAGCATGAGGAATCAACTATTACAGGAGATAAAAATAAGTTCAGACCGCTTCCCTCAAGAGCCCCAGAAAAACAGGAACCTCCATTCCGGGAATCACCAAGAGAAGTCAGAACCCAGATGAGATTACCACTCTCCAAATGGGTCTCGCACTGGACGGTAGCGTTTGTCTGGTTGGCATGGACGCCAGGGGCATTCTGTCCAGAAAACAGAGCCACAGGCAGGTGTTCCAAAATGAACACGTTCCAAGCATGGTCAAAAATCACCCGCGCTAATCCAATAACGCACTGCTGACATCCATTTAGCATTTGAACTTCCTGCTTATGGCGTAAATTGTGGGGCCAGACACGTGGGCGGTGAGGACCTGCTTCCAGATGCTGGCGTAAGTAAATTACTCAGAACCTCTCTGCACAGCCTGCCTGTCACTGGGTCAGCCTGCTTCATCTCCTCGTTACTCTTACTGGGTCACTGTGTTACAGTCTGATTGTGGAAAGCCCAGGCTTGGTCCCAAGCGGATGAAGCTGTCCGAGAACATCCTGGAATCTTTAAGAGGATGGCTTCACGGGAGTCGGCCTTGAGGTTTGCAGTCCAGACTCTCTTTCTGTCTGCTGTTTTCTACTCCACTGAGTTGGAAGGAGGCGAGGAGTCCAGCCGACACGCTCCCAGCACCGAGAGTCACTTGCCACCACATGTTTCCTGACATGGCATGTGCCATGCTGGTATTCGGCCATGGTGACGACAAAATTAACTGACATGATCTGGGTGACTCTATGTCCCTTGGATGCATCGGACGAGCTTTGGGCAAGGGGCACACGCCGACAGATGGGTTCTCAAGAGGATAGTGTTACGAGAGGATGGGAAGCTTGATGGATGAAGTAGAAGGTGACTAGGTCACTGTGGTTGACGGTCTCAAAAAGGATTAATGTAGGCCTCCAGCGACTTGTATTAGTTCCCATGAGAGCTGAGTATTATACAAAGGACATTCCTGGCCCCCAAACCTTTCTGGCTTTCTCTGCTGTCCTGTAATGCTGTACTGACCTCTTGTTCACATCCCTGCAATGATGCAGACTTTGATGAAGTCCAGGATCCCTCAGTGGAAGTCAGACACAAAAGACTGCCCCATCATGGACTGTCAGCCTCCAGAACAGAACCAAATACCCTCTATTCTTTACACAGTTATTCAAGTTTGGGCATTTTGCTATAGCGGCTGGCTGGCTTGTTGGGCACAAAGGTGAATACTCCCAATGTCTCCCATAGGAGACAACAAATGAGTAAGGGTTAGGTTCCGATATCGAAAGAGCCAGCCCAGAGCTAAACCTGAAATCAGATTCAGCTCTTGTATGCAATGGATCTTGTCTTGATGCTGCACTTTGTTCCCAGGAGACCTTCTTATGGGAACAGACTGGACCAAGTACATAGGCTCCCATTTCTAAATTCAGCTGGGGTGATACTGACACCGTTGAACTTGCCCTGGGGAGTTCGCTCAGTTGGCCAAGTGCTGGCTGTGCTGGTGTGAGGAGCTGAGTTGGATCCTAGGACCCACATTCCAAGGGTAGTGGCACGTGGCTACAATCCCAGCCATGGGGAAGTGGAGGCGGACACCTTGGGGATTTCCTGGACATCCAGTCTAACCTAATCAGCAAGCTCCAGGCCAATGAGAGACACTGTCTCAAAAAAAAAAAACAAAACAAAACAAAAAAAACACAATCAGACAGCCCCAGAAGAAAGACAGGCGAGGTTGATTCCTGGTTTCCACATACACCTCTCCCCAACATGCACCACACATATGCAAATTATTGAACAGCCAGTGTCCGGATGATGTACCCAGAAGGAGCAATAAGAAGGAATACAGGCATTTAGTCTTTTTATTTATTCATTTTTTTGAGACAGGGTCTTTTTACATCATCTTGGCTGGCCCTGAGCTCGGTGTAGAGACCAGGATTGGCCTTGAACTCATGGAGATCTCCCTGCACAGCCTGAGGCCTGAGATGAAGTGTGAGTACCACCACCCCTAGCTTAGGAATCTTGTCCTTACGAACAGTCTGAGCCCAGGGGCAGATCAGCCAGGGCTAGCTCCACAGGCTTCCCAGTGGAGACGGATTCTCTCCCATCCTCAGCCCACCTTTCCATACCCCAGCAGAAGAGGCCTCTACCTCTCAGCTACTTCTAAACTCTGAAAAGCTTCCTGGGGAGGCCTCCGGAGTTCCATGACTCACTCAGCACACAACTGGATATACAACGTCCGTGGGATATGGGCAAGCACTGTGGGAACTCGGCGCCTGTAATGCAGTAGGTTTTCAAACATGTCAACATTTAAAAATTACAAGACACCTTTTGTCCCAGCTCCTTTCTCTGTCGCTGCGACCTAATAGCTGACAGAACAACTTCCTGGAGAAAGGGTTTATTCTGGCTCATGGTTCCAGGGTGTAGTCCATGTGCGAGGGGGCCATGGCAGCTGGATCATGAAACAGATGCTCATGTCACATCCACAGTCAAGAAACAGCAAGGAAGGCTTGTATTCAGTACACTTTCTCCTTTATATTCAGTCCAGGATCCCAGACAAGGGTATGGTGCTGCCCACCTCAACCTAATGAGGGTAGACTCTCATAGGTGTTCCCAGAGGGCCATCTCCCAGGTCATGTGAGGCCTATCAAGGTGACAATTGAAGATTAACCATCATACAAACTAAACAAACAGACAAACAAATAAGCAAAACACTGGGGCTAGCAAGATGGCTCATCAGGAAAAGGGGGTCGCCGCACACATCTGAAGACCTGGGTCCCACATCTGGGACCCACATGGTTGTTAAAGACTATTGGGGTCCAGCCTCTAATAGTCTTTTCCCAGGGTTCCAGAAGAGACGCTACCAGTGGCAAGAATTAATCAAAGGGAATGAATCTAAGTCCACCGTGCTCTTTAGTCCATTCACTTTATTCTTCTAAGACAAAATTCGCCAGTCTTCTCTGGGAACGGGTCTACACACACTTATAAGCAGTAGTTCTTTTACAATGCAGTGCAAGGCTTCCAAGGTCCCCACAAGAGCAGTGATAGCCAGCTTCATTTGCAACCCCAAAGGGGAGTGAATAAAGGAGGTGGGGTCAGTTAAGGGCTGTAATTGGTTAATAAATCAGAAAGGGAATTTATGTGCTCAAACTATGTTCTGAGACGTGGTTAGGTGAGACATTAAGAGCTTGTAAGTCGCCGGGCGGTGGTGGTGCACGCCTTTAATCCCAGCACTCGGGAGGCAGAGCCAGGTGGATCTCTGTGAGTTCGAGGCCAGCCTGGACTACCAAGTGAGTTCCAGGAGAGGCGCAAAGCTACGCAGAGAAACCCTGCCTCGAAAAACCAAAAAAAAAAAGAGCTTGTAAGTCACTAAGTCATGAATGTGCTCAAACTATAATCTTGGAAGTGGTCAGGTAAAATGTTAAGAGTCACTAAAATAAAACTGCCCTTTTTTCCTGTGTTGCCATTTTTTAGCATGGCAGGGGAGGAGTACACATTTGCTAGGTAACCTGCGTCACAGCTTGATGCACCTGGTATGAAAAATGAAAAAAAGCCCTTTTGTTCTGAGTAAATTGTTTGAGGGGAAGTCTAGAGGTGCACTAGGGCTGTGAGAGAAAGGGGGGTCTGAGCTTAATTTGCACAAGAAACAAAGCTACGTACCTAACATCCGTCTGGCCTAGGCAGTGTCTCTGTATGGATATTTACCTTAATTCAGGAGGCTAGCAGATGGTCTGGAATGCTTATTCTGTCTGCTTTGTGTCTTTGGATGTTTGAGAGATATCTCAGATAAAATGCTTTTGTCCAGAGCTGGCCATGGCCTTGGATGCTTGCTGAAGAAGATAATTACAGAAGGCAGACATCTGATTCTAATGCTAAAAAGAAGAAGAAGAAGAAGAAGAAGAAGAAGAAGAAGAAGAAGAAGAAGAAGAAGAAGAAGAAGAAGAAGAAGAAGAAAGCCTGTGACTGTTATCCAAATACCTTAATTGTATATGCCAAAGAATGATCAATCCACACTGTTTAGAAGTTCTTAGGAAAAAGAATCAATTGGGAAATCTATAATAGCATGCATGAAATTTATAGCAGAAAACAGCTGATATATTCAAAAGCCAAATAACACCAATACTCCTTGAGCCTTGGCTTCCTCTGAAAAAATTCCTTGACTCTTGCAGGTAATAGCTTGGCCATAGTCAGCTGAATTCCTACTTCATATTTCTGCATCCTATAGCACATGGTGAAGGAGAGACCTGACTCCACAAAGCTGTCCTCTGACCTCCACATTCAGGCACCCCCACAATGTGTCACCCCCATAATCATAATAAACATTTTAAAAGTCTCTCAAGAAGAAAAATTTCCAGGCTCTCTTGAAAAGAGGCAATATTCAGCCACGGTGGGACATGTTTATGAGATTACATATCGGCTACTGTATGAGGCTTGCTGTTGTCCACGGCACCAGTGATGACTGTTACTTGTCACTGTCTTTACTCTGTACATGTGTGTGAGTGCTGATGGTGATGTCCCTTACCTCCCTATCACCGTCAAAAGTGGAGAGACAAAAGCCAGAGCAAGAGGGTGGGCTGGTCCGTTGTGGCACCCTCTGTGTCCCCACAGACCCTGGAGTTTGAAGACCCCAGAGCCACGTGGCCAAAAAAAAAAAAAAAAAAAAAAAAAAAGAAAGAAAGGAAAAGGTGGCCATATGCTACAAGAGTTCACAGGATTGAGGATTAGGCTTGGCAATGTCTGAGAATTCTCCACCTGGAAACTGAAGCAGGCAGAGATGAAAAGGGACAGGAATATGAAGGCTACAGTGTGCACATACTTGGTTAGGGGGTGGCACAGAGCTCATGCGGCAGAGGTGGGGTGCATGAGAAGTGTGGATGAACAGGAATTGGACAACAGCTCAGTGTGTGTGTGTGTGTGTGTGTGTGTGTGTGAGAGAGAGAGAGAGAGAGAGAGAGAGAGAGAGAGAGAGAGAGAGAGAGAGAGAGAGAGAGAGAATGTGTGTATGTGTGTGTGGTATGTGTTTGTGTGTGTGTATGTGTGTGGTGTGTGTGTATGTGTGTGTGTGTGTGTGTGAGAGAGAGAGAGAGAGAGAGAGAGAGAATGTGTGTGTGTATGTGTGTGTGGTATGTGTTTGTGTGTGTGTATGTGTGTGTGTGTGTGTGTGTGTGTGAGAGAGAGAGAGAGAGAGAGAGAGAGAGAGAGAGAGAGAGAATATGTGTGTGTATGTGTGTGTGGTATGTGTTTGTGTGTGTGTATGTGGGTGGTGTGTGTGTGCGTGTGTGTATGTATATGTGGTGTGTGTGTGTTTGTGCATATGTGGGTGGTGTGTGTGCGTATGTGTGTGTGTGTGTGTGTGTGTGTGGTGTGTGTTTGTGTGTCTCACTTAGGGCTAAGCACCTGCACTCACTGCACTTTGGGCGTTCTGCATCTCAGCATGGGCTGCGGCTCACGGCACAGGGACTCTTCTCCGATCGAGGCTGAAGACGGCCCAGGTCATGGCTAGAGACACTAACGTTTACAGGGTGTTTTAGTTTCTGTTATTGTGATAAATATCACAACCAGAAACAGCTTGAAGAGGAAAGGCTCCATTTCAGTTTTCAGATCACACTCCATCATTGAGGGAAGTCAGAGCAGGGACTCAAGGCAGGAGCACGGAGCAGAAACCAAGGAGGAGTGCTCCTCACTGGCTTGCTCAGGTTGCTTACTTATACACTCCAGGACCACCTGCCCAGGGGTGGCATCCTTCCAGTGTCTCCAACTGGATGCCAAAGAGGAGAGCACCCACTGTTGGAGTCCTCACAGTGAGCCTCCTAGGACACCAGGACAGTGAGGAGGATTGAGAGTGGCCTTTTGAGACACAAGAGGAGGGTACCAACTCACCATCAGGGACACAGATCAAGCACATAGGATCCCTGCTTGGGACACTAGAGGCCTGCTTTGGTGTCTTGTAGGTCTACTCAACTATTGCCCAAGTCCTTTGACTTCCGGCCAGAAAGATGTCTGGGTTTCAGGAAACCTGGGGCCCAGAGCAAGGGCAAACTTTAGCATCAGAAGCAAAGCTGTCGAGGTGCTGACTTAGCGCAGCCTGGATGGAGTAAGCGGCACCTTCCATTGGATGGCCGTCCCTGGAGACGTGTCCCTGATCTGCTGTTACTGGAATCTGCAACTCCAGTGAAAAGTTGCCTGGGGCATGACTCATTCAGTGCACATCCAAACCAGTGCTTCTGCAGTATAGGGCCAGGCATGGAACACCAGCCTGGAGCACCTCCCTCCTGCCGCAGCTGCTGTTCCAGAGGCAGGTGTTGCTCTGAGAGAGGAGCCTGGGCCTTAACAGCCACCTTGTCTGGTCAGCTGGCTTGGCACACTGCAGGTACACAAAATTTCCTGGTATCCAGGAAGAAGGAAACAATGAAGTCCAAGGAAAAGATATAGTAAGTCCCCTGATGACCAGCCACATTCCTAGAGAGGTTAGAGTCATCAGATCATGTAGGGGGGGTCACCGAGGTCAGTGTTCTAAGCTGAGCCTTTGGAAATGAACACAGGATAGTTCCACAGAGATAAGTCTTCTTGTATTCATCATTGATTAATTTGGCTTTCCCATACCTGGGAGTTTGTTGAGGCCTGGAGAGGAAGGATGGATGCCTTAGGGCCATCCCTCTCATCTTTTCGTGCACGATCTTCCTTCCTGCGGCCTCTTGGCCCGCATCTTCACTTTCTCGGGTAGTGATTTATCAACTCTGCCAGACGCTGTCTCACTGATTTGGCGGTGGAGTCAGGGTGGTCAGGTCATGATATAACCATCACAGACTCACTGGCTGATGAGTTTGAAAGGCCGTGGAGTCCAGACTCTGTCCACTGACGGGTGGGCAGCAGGGGAAGGGACCGTGCTTCCCGTCTCTGTGAGATTGCTGCTCAGCACTTTCCTCTGTACAAATACTCACTTCACTTGGCAGAAGAATACAAAGAGCTTTAGAGTATCGTGAATGAATGAATCCCATTTCTACCCATCACTGCCTATGGGTCTTTAGACATGGCTCAATGGGCCTCAGTGTTCTGTCTGTGACAATGGGCCCATGGCTACCTAGGAGCAGTGTCTTGTTTTGATGGGATGACCTAGGCAGATCTCTAACATGTTCTGGCTTAGGGTGAACAAGCGTTTAGTTTGTGCATCCTCAGCTTCCTAAGCCACAGGATGTAGTGATAAGTTTCTCTGGTCCCACTGGGCCCCATGGTCCCACAGCCACTTATAAAATAATCACTCAGAGGCTTAATATTAATTACAAACTGTATGGCCTATGGCAGGCTTCTTGCTAGCTAGCTCTTTCGTCTTAAATTAACCCATCTCTATTAATCTATGTTTTGCCACGTGGCCGTGGCATTACTGGTCTGCTGGCATCTTGCTGCTCCCTGGGTGGCAGCTGCTAGGCATCTCTCCCTACTCTTCTTTCTCCTCTCCATACCTCTGCTTGGGTTTCTCACCTGCCTGTAAGCTGCCCTGCCACAGGCCAAAACAGCCTTATTTATTAGCCAATGGGAGCAACACATATTCACAGCTTACAGAAAGACATCCCCAGCAACAGGACACCTTCACATTAGCATCTCCCTGAAGCTATTCCCCTCCATTCAGGATCTTGCTTAACTGCTAGTGTGTAGACAGGAAGACCTTGACTGTTGCCCACGGATCTCAGTCCACCCTTATCCCTTTGGGAGCAACTCTCACCAAGCCCTTGGCAGGCATCATAGAAAGTGTCATGCTTCTCACTGGCCAGCCAGTCTAGCTGACCCACTGCGCTCCAGCCCCTCTCTGACGGACAAGATGGCTCACTGGTCAAGGCCATTGCTGTACTAACTAGTCTGATGACTAAATTCAAGCCCAGATCCCACAGTGGAAAGAGAGAACCAACTCCCGAGAGTACTCTGACCTCCACACCCGTGCTGTGGTTCACACACACACACACACACACACACACACACACACACACACACTCCCAACCTAATGCACACATTCAAGAATGATAAGAAAAATTAATAATAATAATAATGATTAAAATATAAAATGTAAAAAAAAGTGGAGAAGTGATTGAGGAAGGCATGTGGCCTGCATAGCATGTATGCACACACATGCACACACACACACACACACACACACACACACACACACACACACACACACTAACCACAGAAGGTATTGGATTTGAGTGACATGTTTGTTTGAGAAGTTGTATATGTACAGTGATGGACTGAAAGGGCAAGTGTGGGAACCTGTTTTCAGGTTCCTCGTGGCTTTACCCAGCAGGTCCGAATAGAGAGGATGATTAGGACCACGGGCCTGAGTGCAGGTGTCTGAATGGTCTGCACTTGGCTGTGCTGGGGGAGAAGGTCTTTTGCTCCACCCCTTGGCATTTCTATAAATACCCTGGGGCAGAGACAGTCAGGGCCCATTGGATTAGGTTCCAGGCTATCCTGTATTTTCTGTTTATCTCCACAATCTAAATCCTTCTATCTAATATTTCCTGCTGCCTGCACTCAAGAAAACTCTGGGGAACTGTGGGGTTGGTGGGTAAACACCCCGCAGGCAAGGGGGTAATTATGGGATGGGAATCATGAAGGGACTGTGAAAAACCGTAGTGCTGCTGAGAAGCACAGAGAATGCAAGCCAGGCAGCCTAGATGGAACTGGGCCGGGAGGACAGGAGCCGGGAGTACTATGGGAGACAGCGCCGGGCAGGAGGTCCTGAATCAGCATCAGCGGGTGAGTGAATCCAGAAGGCTGGAGGAGGAATGAATCAACAAGCTAGTGGTGGCCTGAGAGGACTTAATGGCACTTGTCAGAGGGGCCCCTCTCAACCTTGGATACACGCTACTCTCCCATGATGCTTTGGGACTCCACTGTGCCCCTCGTCACTATGGCAACGACACCAGAGACAGACACCCTGAAGGAGAGGAGGTCTAGTTTGGCTTAAGGTTTCAGGAGTTTCTGTCCAAGATGGCTGGCTCCACTGTGGGAAGTAGAAAAGTGTGTCTGAAGGGCACGGTGAAGCTATGGTGCTCGCCTCGTGGGAGCCAGGGAGGGGAGAAGAGAAGGGGAAAGAGGAAGAAGGTGAGAAGGAGCAACAGGGGAAAGAGGAGAGAGGAGAGGCGGGAGGGGCCAGGGGCAAGAGTTACCCTTCAAAGACACAACCGCAGTCACCCACGTCCTCCAACTTTGTCCCACCTCCTGATTTCCATTGCTTCCAACAATGCTATCGCATCACCAGCATATCACTGAGGAAGGCTGATCCCTCAAGATCCAACCACAGCTCAGCGATGGGATCCACCAGCTGAGGCCAAGCACGTGAGCCTTCGAAGGGACACTTGGCGTTCAAGCCCTAAAGCCCGCCTTGTCCAGGCTCCCCACGTTTCTCATCAGTGCGGGAGGCCAGATCCCACCTTTTAAAAGGGTTCCTATGAGGAGGAGAGAGGGATAAGAAACTTTTATATAGAAAGATAGCAAAGAGAAGAAAGACGGGAACACAGGATAGTTTTGGGAGGACCTGGATCAAAGTCCACCGGTCCCTTCTGGCTCTTCAAAAGGACTTTTTATATCAATGCCAAGGGGCCGGGCAAAAGACCTCTCCCTTGCTAGATCAAAGCACACTGCATAACCAAGCATAGACCCTTCCAAACACCTGGTAACCACGCCCGTGGTCCAATCATCCCCTTATGCAGCCCTGCTGGGTAAAGCAAGCTCAGATCCTTGGACCCTGAGTAAGTTCTCACTAGGAAACCTCTGTGGGTTTCTACACATCCGCAGACTACATGTTGAGTCTACACACTTGGTTCATTCTGTTGCTGAGATAAAATACTCCGATTAAAAGCAACTCACAGAGGAGAGTGTTTGTTTGGCTTACATTTCCAGGTCACAGGCGATGAAGTCATGGCAGGAACTTGGAGCAGAAACCAGGGCGGATGCTGCTTGCTGGCTTGCTCAGGCTCATACTTAGCTAGTTTTCTTATGCAGCCTAGGAATGGTGCTGCCCACAGTGGGCTGGGTCCTCCTCCATTGATGGACATCCAACACACTGCCCCATAGACCATGCACACAGGCCAATTTGATGTGGACAGTCCCTCAACTGAGACTCGATTCCCAGGGTGACTGTGTTTAGTTGACAGTCAAAGCGAACTAGGACAGCTTGTTTGATTCATAGACTCCAAGGGGGAAGGACTGTGTCCCTTTTGTCTTCCCCTCCCCGCCTGCAGAGCCTGGGACCAAAGCTTGGCCCCAAAGCTCAGGCTTGGGAGATCTGTTTTGTGGTGATATTGTGTTCCCCAATATATTGTGAACACTAATAAACTTATCTGGGGTCAGAGAACAGAACAGCCACTAGATATAGAGGCCAGAAAATGGTGGCACACATGCCTTTAATCCTAGCATTCCGAAAGCAGAGAGCCATCCGGATCTCTGTGAGTTCAAAGCCACATGCCTTTAATCCCAGGAAGTGATGGCAGGAAGCAGAAAGGTATATAAGGCATGAGGACCAGGAACTAGAGCCTGGTTAAGCTTTTAGGCTTTTGAGTAGCAGTTCAGCTGAGATTCATTTCGGATGAGGACTCAGAGGCTTCCAGTGTGAGGAACAAGATCAGCTGAGGAATTAGAGAGATGAGGTTAGCTGTGGCTTGTTCTTTTTCTCTGATCTTTCAGAATTCACCCCAATACCTGGCTCCGGGTTTGTTTTTATTAATAAGACCTTTTAAGATTTGTGCTACACTGTTTGAATCAATAATTGCACACAGGGCATTAGAGCAGGAGCAGGTGCAGGTGGCAGCTTCTGGGGAAAAGGTCTGCCAAGGTTCTCAAATTCACAGGGTCCCAGATTCACCAGGGACTGGGTTGGAATGAGAGGCCGTGGTCCCGATGCTGACGAATGTCATAGTTTGGCTTTTTATTGCTGCGATAAACACCATAACCAAAAAACAACTTGGAGAAGAGGGCTTCATTTGGGTCACAGTCCTCCATTGAGGGGATATCTCAAGGAGGAGGCTGGGAGTGGTTGTGCACACCTTTAATCCCAGCACTTGGGAGCCAAAAGCAGGTGGACCTCTGTGAGTTCGAGGCCAGCCTGGTCTACACAGAGAGTTCATCCAGGGCCACATAATGAGACCATATCTCAAACAAACAAAGAACCCCAGAAGGAATCTGGAGGCAAGAACTGAAGCAGAGACCATGGAGGAACAGCGATTACTGGCTTGTACCTGATGGCTTGCTCAGCCTGCCTTCTTAACCACCCTGGACTACTTGCCCAGGGATGGCCCCGCCCACAACCAACTGGGTGAGTCACCAAGAATATTCCCACAAGCTTGCCTCCAGGCCAGTCCAGACAACTCTAGCTTTTGTCAAATTGACAAAACCCAACCAGCATGGTTGGGCCCAGAGGCTCCAGGGCAGGGCTTGGGTCTACACGTCATGGCTCAGGCGGTCAGTGCAAAGGTCTTGGGGGTTACACTAGAACTATGTTGACTTGCCATACAGATCTAGAGGCTTTCCAGTGCCTCCCTTTGCTGTGGACTTCTCCCAGCTTACCTCTGAATTGCTCGGAAACATCTAGGCTCTGGGGTCGGGACAGTCACACGTGGAACCTTTCAAAGCTGTCCAGGGTGACCTATGAAAGGAAAGAGTTACCTACCCCACGACCATTCCTCTCTACTCTGTCCGGGTCTGCCAGAACATGGCCAAATATCCACCTTGCTCGCACACTAAGATACTGCCATCTTTCGCTCCCCGATGTCTATTAGCTAGCATGTCCGCGCTCTGTCAGATGCTCCTCTACACGTGAATCTGCTCAGTTGTGCCTGCTGTGCTCTTAGCACACTTAACCCAGTGACCCATTAGCAGCCAGAGCTGGGCCCTAAGTGAGTGCTTGGCATGTGAACATGGCACCCAGGGCAGTCCTGACAGCAGCTTGTCAGAGACATGACTCCCCTCCTCCGCTCCCCAGAAGATGTGGCGTAGGAAGGAGGAATTTTCCTATTATTTCATAACTGTCTCTTTTGATTCTCTCTACTCCTGCATTCTTTTGTTCCCCCTACCAACAGCAGCTGTCCCTAAAATCACTTGTTTCGCCGGCCTCAGGAAGTGTGTGCCCACAGTCATTGTTTCCATGGGCACAGAGGGGCGGGCTTGGCAGGGAGAGTGACAGGAGAGCCACACACTCTTGCCTCTGATGACTTCCTGAAATTTAAAACTCATGCTGACAGGACAGATGGCCCTGACTCTCCAGCTCTGTGGAGAGGCTGTAGGCTCCGGGTCTGTTTCTGATGACAAAGCACTTGTGGGGAGCGTGAACGTGAGGGGGACCCACACCTGCCTGGAGCTGCTTGCAGGGTCAGGGTGGTGCTGAGGGTGAAAATGAAGGTGGTGATAGAGTGATGGTCGCCGTGGTGATGGCAACATGATGGTGGTTGTTGTTGTTGTTGGTAATGATGGTGTTATTGATGGTGGTGGTAGTGGTAGTGATGATGTTGGTGTTGGTGGTATGGATGATGTTATTGGTGTTGGTGTTGGTAGTGATGGTGTTATTGATGGTGGTGGTGGTGATGGTGGTAGTGATGGTGTTATTGATGGTGGTGGTGGTGGTGGTGGTAGTGATGGTGTTAATGATGGTGGTGGTGGTGGTGGTAGTGATGGTATTATTGATGGTGATGGTGGTGGTGGTGGTAGTGATGGTGCTAATGATGGTGGTGGTGGTGGTAGTGATGGTGTTATTGATGGTGATGGTGGTGGTGGTGGTAGTGATGGTGTTAATGATGGTGGTGGTGGTGGTGGTAGTGATGGTGTTATTGATGGTGATGGTGGTGGTGGTGGTAGTGATGGTGTTAATGATGGTGGTGGTGGTGGTGGTAGTGATGGTGTTATTGATGGTGATGGTGGTGGTGGTGGTAGTGATGGTGTTAATGATGGTGGTGGTGGTGGTGATGTGTGCATGTTCATGCAAATGTGTTGCAGCAGGTAATCCTGTCTCTTATTAAAGCGCTTGTAAACAACAACTTTTCAGTATTTCTGCCCATGCCATGCTTCTGTCTTTCCTTTCTCTCTTGCTGGACCACATTCCTCCAGAGTCTTTGCTTTGAATATGAGCTACCAAGTCCAGCCATGTTCCCTCATTTGCTATGCCCAGATTCAGCTCCATTGTCTCCCTAGTGACCATCTCGCTCTCACACATGCTCCTGGTGGCCATAGTGACTGTATTCATGAGGACTTCCACTCTGCACTCCCCCCCTCACCCCACACATGGGGGCAGCTGGAGCTGCCTATGCCACAGCATTCCAACAGCCAACTCACCACTTGAAGCCCTTGTGTTACATACAGTTTGGGTTTTTGTCCCCGAGCCCTGTGTCAGCGACAAGGCTGCCAGACCACAGTCCCCTTCTGGTAGAGCCTTTCATCTCCCCTTGAACAGGCTAACTACACTTTGGATAGCCTGGAGGAGGGCAAGTTCATGGAGCAAAAGTGTTAGCTAGGAGGCTACTGCAAGAGCACCTCTTAAATAAATACTAAATAGCGTCTCATAGGATAGTGGTCACAATCCTGGAAAAGACAAAGTAACTCGAGAAACGTGGAGAATACAAAGTGGACAAGATACAGCGGTTGGAGGCTGTGGTTTGTCCTTTGAACTGAAGTCTGGTCCCCATTGTTAGGTGTTGAGTGATAAGAAGAAACCCTACTGTGGTATTCAGGGATGTGGCCTGTAAGAGGTGACGGGGCAAGGCCACTAGGGTGAGCCTGTGTGATTGAGTCCCGGTGACTTTAGAGGCAGAGGGGGCGAGATCAGACCTGCACGGACCCGCTGTTTCTTGCCACGCAGTCTTCTTTCTGCGCCATCTTGGGACCCGGCCAGCATGAAGGCCTTTAGCAGGTCAGGCCCTCAGACTCTGCACCTCCTGGGCTGTGTCCCAAATAAAAACAAAAATGCTCGGAACAGGGTCTCACTCTGTAGCCCAGGCTAGGCTGGAACTTATCTCTTACCCAGGCTGGCTTCAAGCTCAGAGCAATCATCCTGCCTCACCCTCCCAATTCCATACTTGATACCCAGCCTTCTTAAGGTAGCCCCGCTGAAGCTTTTGTAATAGCAATGAGAAATGGATGAAGACAGTGTGTGGAAGGGCTAAGGAAGGATCCAAAGTTAATCCCAGTTTCTCTCTTGGGCAGCTGGAGGGAGAGCTGAGACGGCAGTGTTTGAAACAGACGTGTCACTGACCATTTGCATCATGGGAAAAGTGAAATGGCAAAGACCACAGGTATTTTTAGGGGCGTGTGTGCAGGTGCACTTGTGAGCACGTGGAGGTCAGGAAACAGCTTGGGTGTCTTTCCTCAGACACCTTCCTCCCGTGTCTTGAACCGTGTCTGTCACAGCTGACTGGCCAGCAGTCCTCTCGTCTTCCACCCCAGCTAGGATGACAACGGATGCCGCCAAGCCCGGCTTTTTACGTGGGTGCTGGGGATTGACGTCAGGTCCTCACGCTTATGTCCACGGCAAGCACTTTGCCCACAAAACCGTCCTCGGCCAAGACCAAGAAAAGCCACTAGCAATCAAGCTTGGACTTCCTAACAGGAAAAAAATAAAGGGAAATTTCTCTTTGTCACCTTGCTTTGAGTCAGGGTCTCTGGTAGTTCACGTAGTCTGAGCTAACCTCGTCTCCTGCTCCACCCACCTCTGCTCCCCAAGTGTTGGGATTACAGGCATCTATCCTCATGCCTAGCTTTGGTCTATAGCTTTTGCTCTAAGTACTTTTTCAATGTCCTTAAAACAAAACAAAACAAAAAAACAGAGTCTTTGGTTGTCTTTTAAAATCCCTTCCTGTGAAGCGCTGGCCCGGCAGCTGTTAGAAGAAATCCTTCCCTTTCATTTTGCATTCCTGTCTCACATAGTGGATTTTGAGAACAGAAATATAATCACCTCAGAGCAGGCAGCCCTTTCTCAGCCTGGGGAGGAGGAGGGAGGGAGATCAGCAGCAGGGGACTCTGGGTTGGCGCGGTGCCCCCAGGCACCTTGTGACCCGTGGTGACTTGATAGACCACGAGGCTTATAATCAGCACGCCAGACCCTAAAGCCAGGAGCCCGAGCATCCCAGATCCACCTTCTCTGCATCCCCTGGGAGATCATTTTGAAAAGGAAGCAATCGGGTCAGGTTGCTGGGATGGAGAGAGTGTGATGGGGTCAGACAGGATGGTAGGGTCTGGACACACTCAAGGCTCTGCCCCCACCCCTACTCCACCCCACCCCACCTCCTCCAGTGCAAATCTGAGCTACTGTTTCTCCTTCAAATCTGGGCTTAGAAATGTGCTGCAGGGGTAGTTTGGGGCATCTTGATTTGCAATTCCCAGCAGCTCTTCCAGCGGAAGAGTGCTTTTCGGTTTCCGTGGCAACCAGCAGTGTTTTGAAGAGGCGGTGGCAGGTTCAGTGCCTAGGAACCGCCGCCCGGGAATGCCTGTCAGTCTGTCAGTGAAAGGGAATGGTGAAAGGACTGTGCTCTGGGGTTTCCTCTGACACTGTCCACTTGACCTTCTCAAGACCGAAGAAGTGGAACAAGGACAGCCCCAACCCCAGCACTCACCATCCAGTCGCTGTTCCAAACGTCTACAGCATTGGAGCCACCAGTAGGTCAGGTGTGGCGACCCACACCTGTATTATTCCGCTGATCATGGAGCTGGGTGGTGGAGCTGGCTAGGTGGGGTGATGTCCTCACTGGCTGGCATTTCCTAGCCCGGAAGATTTGTTCCTGATGGGACATATTCTTAGCAGCCCGAGGTATTGTTCCACAGCAAATTTCAGGCTGGACTGGTGGCTTTAGGGTTTGTGGGTTTTGTATATTTGTATGTGTGTGTGGGAAGGCAGAGCATGTGTTTTTCTCAGCTCGGGAATGCTGCTGCAGATTCCTGGTCAGTCCACAGGCGTGTGATCTACCTATAAAGTGTGCAGGGACCATAACTGGACTCCAGCTGCAGCTGTACAGGCTGACCTCGGTCTCCATCCGATTCCCACCCTAAAACCCACAAATGGTCGCTGGGCAGACCACACCGTGGCATTCCTCCCTTAGAAGCCCCGCGCTGGAGAGTTCCTCCTCCCTTTAAAAAAAAGAAAAACAAACCTGCATTTGCTCAGCTTGCCCTTGCTTCCTTATTATTGGGGTGGGACAATGACAGGGTAAGCCACTGGCTTGAGGTGGTTCTGGTGGCTGTTGACTACCCAAAAGCAACACCCCGCAAGTTAAACCCACTCCATCACACTGAAGCCACATCAGCCGCAGCGAGCTATCAATATGAATGTATCGAGAAGAGGAGGCAAGGTGCATCCCGTTTCTACACGGGATCTCTGGTGCTTTCATGAAAAAAAGTCACGGTGGGGAAGGGCAGACATCACACGGCACACAACAGTGTGTCTCAGACATAGAGTGGAAAGGTATGGGATCTGGGCATTAAGAAAGGGTACTTCCTGCCTTTCAGACTGGTCCTGCAAGATTCAATCATTACAATTACCACAAGGCTCTTTCATGCTTACTACGGTAGTTCAGGCTGGCTTAGAGCTTGCCATCCTCCTGCCTCAGCTTCCTAGGTGCTGGGATTGCAGGCCTGTACCACTCAGCCTGGCCAGAAAGTGACATTTAAAACATCCATATATTTCACACACAGTAAAGCAAAATGGAAAACCACTGAGACTCATACAGGACTGTGCTTGGACACGGGATAGGTGACACTTTTATTTCTCTTTGTGATGAAAACCTGTGTTGTGGGAAGAACACCACGTGGGCTTTACCCTCAAAGGAGTTATCCAAGTGTCCCAGGCAGGGTCACGTCTACAGGCTGCAACACTGTGAGTGGATCTCAGGATGGTCCAGGGCCTGCTGCTAGACAAAAACGTAGCGTAGGGTGGTGAGACAGCGGATTCAGTGGGCAAAGGTGCTGCTGCCCCGCCTTACAACCAGAGTTTGATCTCCGGGACCCATCAAGTGTGAGGCAAGAACAGACTGTTGCAAACTGTCCCCGACCGTCACACATACAAGTGCACACACATACAAGTGCACACACATACAAGTGCACACACATACAAGCACACACACATACAAGTGCACACACATACAAGCGCCCACACATACAAGCGCACACACATACAAGCGCCCACACATACAAGCACACACACATACAACTAACAGCACAGCCAGCTCATATTTAGAACATTTTTTTAAAAATTCACTTTAGACTTTATTTATAAAAAAAGTTGCAAATGAAAGCAATCACACATTGAAATTAACCTGGTCTAAAGATTATACAACTCCACGAACCCGTATGTCCTTAGAGTTGCCATTCAGGACGGAAGCTGTGGAGCCTCCCCCTGCATTTTATGCTCTTGTTATCGAGTCTATTCTTATACACTTACCCACTACCAAAAATGAAAAATCCACAACAGGGTTAGAGTGAGACGCTTAGCTCTGTATCCCCTTCCATGACCCGTGTCCACTGCCTACATTCAGTCCGTCCTCGTCCCCGCCGGCCTGTCTTGCTCTCCCGTCTGTCTGTTACACTGCACCCACATGTACATCTGTGTACACGCACACACACATCGTCTGGATGCCACACAAGAGAAAGAACAGGTGGTTTCGCTCTTCCTAACGTTGTGTGGCCTCACTTAATAGTATACATTCTCAGCCAATCCACTTTCCTGCGAATTTTATGTCATTTTCCTTTAGAGCTGGATGCTATTCTATTCTGTACCTATACAACAAATTTTCGTTCTCCACCCACATGGGGTGCAAGCATCTCTGTGAAGGGGATGGAGTTCTCTGGGTATACACCCAGGAGAGAAATAGCCAGGTTGTATCATAGTTCTATTCTTAATTTTTTTTGATTAACCTCTAAACTGGTTGCCACCATGCTTTTATTAATTCACTCTCCCACCAGCAGTGAATCAGGATTTTTCTCTCTCTCCACAGCCTTCCTGACATTTGTTGTAGGGTTTATTGGTGACAGCCATATGACTAGGTGAAGTGGTCTCACAATGTTTTCATTTCCAATAATAACATTGTTTTCGGTATTAGTATGTTTCAAATTCCATCTTTTCCCACTGGCCCAGCTTAAGTCATGACGCACAACTGAGCCAATAGTGAACTGTCTGCACAGTGGTCAGGGACTCCAGAACCATGGCCAAATACCCCAGAAACATGGCCAGACACCCCCGAGTCATGGCCATGTGCTCTCAAACCATGGCCAGGCACTCCAAAACTGTGGACAGACGTCCTAGAACCATGGTGTCAGGTATCCCTGAATTGTGAACAGGCACCTCAGAACCATGTCTGGGTACCATAGAGTTAAAGGTACATTGAAGATATTTTTATTATTATTTTTTAAATCATTTTGCGTCTTGCCTTTTTTATTGTTTTGTTTTGGGAAGATGAGAGATTAGGATAAGTCTTAGGAGATATGTGACTCAGGGCAGAGATGGACACACAGGATTTGAAAGGAAGTTTCCCTGTATGGTGGGCCTGACATTTTGCTTCCCATTCTGTCCCCCTTAGGAAATCTCAGAAGTCAGATTTTCCCATGGATTGAACAAGGGTACATGCTCTAGACTGAGCCACACCCCGACTCACTTCCTGCCTTTTTTTTTTCTTTTTCTGACAAAGGTCTAGAAGTTAGGTTAAACATCTTCGTGGACTAGAGGTGAGTCTCTGTGAGTAAAACATAGGAGCCAGGAGTCCATGGCAACCACGCAAATCTGTATCCATCATCTCTAACTACGTCTGTCTCTGTCTGTAGCTGTGTCTTTCATCTCTACCTCTGTCTTTCTGTCTCATCTCATCTCTGTCTCTCTCTCTCTCTATATCTACCTCTCTTGGTATATATTCATATATATTTTCAATCTATATCCTGGGCCTCCTTCATGAGCAAGGGAGAGATTCCAATGACCTTGGTTTCTTTTTCTCTGCCAAGAGTGAAAGGCAGCCTGCCACTTCTCCAGACAGAATTCTGCTTCATTGGATAGAATCCATTTCATCAGATGTCATTATCCACAGAAAACAGCCAGCACCCTGCAGGGCAAGCGTAGAGACGAATGGTGTATAAATAAGTCAGGGTTCTCTAGAGGAACAGAACTGATAGATAGAAACACACACACACACACACACACACACACACACACACACACACACACACACACACACACACTGTGGGGGTGGGGTGGGTATTTATTAGAATGGCTTACAGGCCCAGTTCCAACAATGCCTGTCTGTCTACCAATGGACAGTCTGAGAATCGAATAGTTGTTCAGTCCACGAAGCTAGATGTCTCAGCTGGTCTTTAGCAGATGTTGGAATCCTGAAGAAGCAGGCTTTAATGCCTTTGAAGGAATTGCCTTAGCAGCAGGACAGATGGACTTGCCACCGAGAATGAGGGAGGGAGCCGGAAAGGGCAAAAGCTTCTGTTATCCGTGTCCTTTTATGTGGGTTGCCACCAGAAAGTGTGGCCCAGGTTAAGGGTAGTCCTTCCAACCTCAGATTATCTACATTTAGGGTAGGTCTTCCCACTTCAAATGATCCAGTAAAGAAAACCCTTCACAGCCGTGCCCAGGTGCTTGGGTTTTAGTTAGTTCCAGAGGTGGTCATGCTGTGACCTGTTTTTATGTATGGAGGGTGGGATGAGGAGGCTTGGTGTGAAAGTGGAGAGCTGACTGGCACAGCCCCTGCTGGCACTGTCTGGAGCATCACAGGGCTGGCCTCAGGCCTTTGGTCCTAGCAGACTCCAAGTTAGACTCTTGGCTCATTGCCTACCTTCCTCAGGTGAGTCTTGATGTCACAGAAATAGAGGCAGGTGTGCTTGAGGGTGCCGCACAGTGTCCCTCCACTGGCTCCATTCCCGGAGCCCCCTAGGCACAGTGTCCCAGGGTGATGCTTGCACGAAGCCCCCCTGGGGTAGACAAACAGGCTCCACAACTTCTGATGTACCCGAGTAGGAGCTGGCTCAGCCAGCAGGTGCAGGACCCAGGGAGCTCGGGAGGGTTGGACGGGGCAGGCCCCCTGACACTTGGATGACTGGGGAGACCATGCTGGGTTCCGAGCCCATTCCTCTTCCCACAGGTCCTGCTCTGACACCTTGGGTCTCTGTCTAGGCCCAACCAGTGCTGGCTGCCTGGCTGCTGGGTCAGGAAACCAAGTTGTGTCCATTGTCAAGGGAGCAGGGGCACCTTAGAGACCGGAACCATGGCTGTGACCCCAGGGGTCTCCTGAGGAGCCCGAGCAGCTGAACTGGTGAAGAGATGGGAAGAAGCAGGTCCACCCTGCCGGACTCGCGACAGCACCCAGCACTGACCTGCCTGGCTCTGTGCTGTGAAGGTATTGTGTTCTCCAAAATATTGTGCACCCTAATAAACTTATCTGGGGTCAGAGAACAGGACAGCTACTAGATATAGAGGCCAGAAAATGGTGGCACACACGCCTTTAATCCTATCACTTGGGAAGCAGAGATCCATCCAGATCTCTGTGAGTTCAAGGCCACACTGGAAACAGCCAGGTGTGGTGACACACGCCTTTAATCCCAGGAAATGATGGCAGAAAGCAGAAAGGTATATAAGGTGTGAGGACCAGGAACTAGGGCTGGTTAAGCTTTTAGGCTTTCGAGCAGCAGTTCAGCTGAGATCCATTTGGATGAGGACTCAGAGGTTTCCAGTCTGAGGAAACAGGATCAGCTGAGGAATTGGCGAGGCGAGGAAGCTGTGGCTTGTTCTGCTTCTCTGATCTTCCAGCGTTTACCCCAATACCTGGCTCCGGGTTTATTTTTATTAATAAGACTTTTAAGATTCGTGCTACACTGTGCTCTCAGCTCCTCGGCACCCACTCCATGGCACCCTGGTCCACAATCAGTAACTGCACTTACTGAGCACTCCCAGCCCACGTTTCACTGTGACACTCTCTGGTGACACAGAAGTGTGAGCACAGTGCCACACATGGCCGTGTGAGCGGGCTGCTTGCCCCTTGCCTTGGCCGGATGGCTTTTGTGAGTAGTGGGGATGCTCAGGAGCCGAACATGAGATGTAATAGTACCGACCACCATCCTCTCGACCCACATCACCCCTTCCCCAGAGCCTGCCCATCACCTGCAGCACCTCTCACCTCCAGCAGCCACGTGACCACCCTGGCTGGCTCCTAGGCCCTGCCCTGCCTCAGTTTCTCACAGACACCTGTACACACGTTCAGAGTCTCTTAGTATTCTTTCACATTCTCTCTCTCTTCCTCTCTCTTCTCTCCTCTCTCTCTTTCTTCCTCTCTGTCTCTCCTCTCCTCTTCTCTCTGTGTCTCTGTGTCTCTGTCTCTCTCTCCTCTCTCTCCCCTCCCTCTGGCAGGGTCTTGCTGTTGATCCCAAACTTTCCCCAATCCTCTTTTTTCCATTTTCCATGTTCAGGGGTTCGTTTTCTTTCCTCTTCCCAGTCACATGTAGCCCAGGCTGGCCTTAGCAATCACACACTCACATCAGCTACACCCATTACCCTCTGTGCTCTGTAGCCTTAACTCCATGCAGGGAGGCCTGTGAGAAGAGAGCCCGAGTGCAGGCAATCCTTGAGTCCCTGCCAGCACAGCAGGGCACTGACCCCTGGGCTCTGCCTTAGCCTGGCCATGCCCTCCCTGCTGGGCCGTCCTCTCCACATGTTCTTCTGCAATCTCCTCAGCTGGTAAGAACCTGCAGCTGACAGCAGAGACTGGTATTATTAAGCCACACCCACCGCTTGGCCTGGCACCATGTACATGTCAGCTCCAGACACTCCATGGAATGAGACTCACTGATATGCCTGCTTAATGCTGTGGGATGTTCTGTATGGCAAATGTGTTGCTGATTAGTCAATAAATAAAACACTGATTGGCCATTGGCTAGGCAGGAAGTATAGGCGGGACAAGGAGGAGAATAAAGCTGGGAAGTGGAAGGCTGAGTCAGAGAGACACTGCCAGCCGCCATGATGAGAAACAGCATGTGAAGACGCCGGTAAGCCACGAGCCACATGGCAAGGTATAGATTAATGGAAATGGATTAATTTAAGCTGTAAGAACAGTTAGCAAGAAGCCTGCCATGGCCATACAGTTTGTAAGCAATATAAGTCTCTGTGTTTACTTGGTCGGGTCTGAGCGGCTGTGGGACTAGCAGGTGAGAGAGATTTGCCCTGACTGTGGGCCAGGCAGGAAAACTCAAGCTACAGCTTAACATTGTGCTGGATAGTCATATGTCAACTTGACATACGGACTAGAATTATCTGAAAGGAGGGAACTTCAGTTGAGAAGATGCCTCCATGAGATCCAGCTGTAAGACACTTTCTTAATTATGTATTGGGGCAGAGCCTAGCCCACTGTGGGTGGTGCCATCCCTGGGCTGGTGGTCCTGGGTTCTATAAGAAAGCAGGCTGAGCAAGTCATGGGGAACAAGCCAGTAAGCAGCACCCCTCCATGGCCTCTGCATCAGCTCCTGCCTCCAGGTTCCTGCCCTGTTTGAGTTCCTGTCCTGACTTCCTTTGATGATGAACAGCAATATGGAAGTGTAAGACAAATAAATCCTTTCTTCCCCAACTTGCTTTTGGGTCATGGTGTTTTGTTGCAGCAACAGAAACCCTAACTGAGACACACATATATGTGTAGGGCAGGTCTGTGACTCCAGGCTTAAATGTCTGGATAGTGAGGTTGCCCATGTGTTCTCTCCTCCTGGGGCCTCTGGGGCATAGTGCCTCCTTCTCAGGCCAAAAAAAAAAGAGTCTCTACAGAGATGCCACAGTGGCTTAGTTTGAGCCATGTGCAGTGGCTCACCTGTCACTCCAGCACTTAGGATGCTGAGGCAGGAGAATTGCTGTAAGTTTTAGGCAAGCCTGGGCTACTCAGGAGATCCTTAGCACTGGGAAAGCAGAAACAGGAGGATCCCTGGGTCTTGGTGATCTCCAGGCCAAGGAGAGACCCTGTCTCAAAGGAGTGTGTGGTGGTCGGAGGATGACAACCGGGGTAACAGATGTGAATGAAACCAACCTCAACCCACAGTCTGAGGCTGCACTCACTGAGGCTCGTGGCTGAGACCCTGTCTCAGCAAAGGAACACATGACAGACACATAGAAATTGCTGATGTAGGAACAAGCACATTTCTTTGTGTTTACCGTGGAATTCTACTGGGTTCCAATACATGAACTGAAAACTTTCTAATCTTCGGAAATGTTTTTGGTTTTTGTTGTTGTGTTGTGTTGTTTTGTTTTGTTTTGTTTTTTTTTTGAGACACACTCTTACTATGTAGCACAGGACAGACTTGAGTTAATAATCCTGCCTTTGTCTCCCCTGCTCTATTACAGGAACACATCCCTCTCCACCCCCCTTTTCCCCTTAGAAACAATCTGGAATCTTCTTTTGAAAAACACAGTTGGAAATTATTCAGTACTCAAATACATTATTACCAGAGGGGAAAAAGTTTATCTTCATGGACTGCTTTGAATTTTTTGGTCTATTGAATAGAAAAAAAAAGTATTAAATTACACTTACTTTTTTAGTGTGCTTGTTTGCTGTATGTGGGGACACGTCACGTGCACGAGGAGGTCAGAGGGGAGCTAGCCTCAGTTTTCTCCTACCTTGTGGGTCGCAGGATCAGACTGAAGTCATCAGGCTTGGTGGCAAGCCCCTCTACCCACTGAACCACATCACTGGCCCTAGTCCATTAACTCTGCTTTCTCCTTTGGTGCCCAGAGGCAGGGAGTGTGGGGATGGGCCAGCCTGTTGCAGAGCCACGGAGGTGATGCTGTCCTGCCCTGGGAGCCTCTAGGACTGAAGGAAGCAGATCATGCCTGAGCCTTGGGGTCTGCTGGGATGGATTTTCTTGGAACCGGCACCCTTCCGCTCCTCTCTCTACTCCCTTGGCTATGTAGAGGCTGCATTTTAAAAGGGGCCACTTCAAGGGAGAACAAGAGTCCTCACCAGGAACTGAACAGGCCAGCGTATTGATGTTGAACCTGCAGCTTCCACAGCTTTGAGAGGTAGGTCTCTCTTGTCAATACTGCCTGAGACTGGAGTACTGAGACATCTAGGACTGAGACTGGCTGTGTTGGTAGCCGTCCCCCAGACAGGCCTTGTTCTAAACATCCCTTAAACATGCCTAGGGCCACTGTAGAGAGAGCAAGTCCTGTCTCTGCATCCCAAGTACCTCACCCCCAATCCTCAGAAGCTGGAAACATGGCCCTTGGTGTCAGCCTGGAGCCTTGGGAACAAAATCCACACCCATCACTCTTTTACATCTGTTTTATTAGCAGCAATATATACAAAGTGGAAAATGATTTCATTTCATTTTTCTAGCTTATAAAGTTTGCTTTTTTTTTTTTTTAATTCTGTTTGATGATAAATGAAAAAGCGAGCATCTGAGAAGACGCCTACCTCTGCAGGTGCTGAGTGCTGCCCAAGACGGGACCTGGAATGCCATGTCACTGGGTCTCATCAAAGACACAGAAAGGCCACGCCCAAAGGGGGAGGTCGCTTTGCCTGTGGTTTCTTGAAGCTACCCATTGGTTCGTCGGCGTCCCCGGCGCCACCATTCCGGCTGTAACCCTTCTCTTTCTCCGGGGCTGTGTGTGGATTTCCAGAGTTGTCCCCTGAGGTTTGTGAATTCTCCAAAGAGCTGGTTTCAAAGGCTTGGGGTGGGATCGCTTGGAAAGATGGCTCCCCCAGACAGAGGTCAGAATACGTATGTTGGCAAAGTGAGTCGACCAGAAAGGAAGCTAAGGGGGGGAGGTGGGTTCCAGGCAGGAGAGGGAGGAGCTGTGTGCATGAAAGGACAGGTGGTGGTGACAGGCACAGCCTGCATCAGTCAGCATGAAGGATGCACACATCCTGGAGGCCTGAGCTTTGGAAATGCGTCTGTCTCCCCACTGACGTCAGAACAGGGGACCGCTTGTGGAAGGGCTCACAAGTGCATCCAGTTCAAAAAAAATATTGAATCCCCAAGGTTCAAATTTCCATCTTGTAAAAACAAGCAGGGATGGGCCTTGATGAGGGTACCTGGTATACATTCGGCACTGATAGCATCATTTGTGTTTTTTTTTTTTTTGTTCTTTTCAAACCTTTACATGTTACAAATACAGAGTCAGGTATTTAAAAAAAAAAAAAAAAGACACCAGCATGTCCTTTCAGTCTTTGTACATTGTGAGCTCACAGGAGCCAACTCTAGGCTAGAACACATTTTAAAACATGGTTACAGACACTGCGCCACCAAGACAGAATTAAGACACTGGTCTCCTGCAAAAAAAGAAATCAACATTTTTTTTTTTTTTTTAAATCTACCCCAATAGCCAAGAGACGACCTGGGCATGACCTGGTCAGCTTTAGGGAACGGGATTCGAGGGGCCTCACACACGTCAGACCTCATAGAAGGCAAGCGCTCAGTTTTCACAGGGCCATAGAGTGAACTAAAACCAAACATCACGGACAGTGTTCACAGGTGACCCAGTGCTGGGGTGGGAAGCATCTCCGATAGGTTCTGCCTCTGGGAGAAAGGGTCTTTCCCCAAAGGGTCGCTGTTCCCTAAAGCCTGCATGGTTTCTCCTCTGGTTCCTCTGTGGGTGGATGGGCTGGGTGGCCAGACACCCCTAGCCACAGTGGTTAGGCCTATGCATGCAGGGGCCTTTCCTGGAGGAAGATGAGTCCTCTCCTCTTCCCCACATGGTCCTTGAACATACAGTTCCCTCCAGCACCTCACCCCTGCACCTTCCTTCATGACTGTACTTAGAAAGTAAACTTCTGGAGAGCCAGGACCCTGATGACGGAGCCGTCGATGAAGACTGGGAAGGGCCTGTTGTTTGGGAACATTCTGTCTTTACTGAGGTTCAAGCTGGGCTTTGTGTCTCGTTCTCTGTGGTTTCCATCCTGCTCTGCACACGGGGCATCTGCTTGGGCTCCCCCCACTCAGAGCCTCAGAGGCCAGGGAGGGGATTCTCTCTTTCAGCCCTTCCCTGCCGGGGAGCATGTGAGAACCAGAGAGCTGGAGGTAATATCTTCCGTACTTGAGTCCCATCTACATCAAAGGTCATTCGAGAAGCCCCGGTGAGTGAGTGTCAGAGCTGATCCCTGGCTTTCGGGTCATGGCGTTCCTCCCTCCCCACAAGTCCCTGTGACTCTCTAGTCCAAGCTGCCAGTAGATTTCTGAACCTCGCCTCAGGGTGATCCTGCCAGCAGAGGTGGGATCCAGTTCACCTGGTATCCATCCCTCTTTGGAGTCCCCTTCCCCAAGATCCCTGTGCCTCATCCCTGACAGACCTCCTTGGGACTTATCACCTTTTAAAAAGGGGGCTATTTTCTTACCTATTCAGTGTTGCCTGAGCCCAAGGAATGTTTAGAAAATCTTTGCTGCCTTTGAAGGCCTTGGGAGGGAGAGGATAGGCTCCGACCTTTTAGAAACTTTTAACATTGGAAAAGAGGACATAGTTTTTGTTTTGGAGGAGAAATAACTGGGCTTAAGGACTCAGGCTAAATTCCACTCCAAGGCAGCCCTGCAGGGACACTCTGACAACCCCAGGGCTTCTGTTCGTACCAAGTACGCTGCGGCCTGCTGTGGAAGACCATGCAGGGCGGCGTGGCCCAAGCCTGGCACTGCTTATCCATCGTGGCCTGCTGGCCCTGTTACCCGCTCTGTTCGCCTTGGGAATGGAGGCTGTCACGTGACCTTGGCTGCAGTCCCAATGTACCAAACCCGCCGATTTCAATGCCTTCGATTTTAAATATAGTAAGGAGTGCGAAGAAACAGTGAGTCTTTGAATCAAAAGAGTAGAGGGAAAGAGGGGCTGCAGCCCAACACCATGAGGTCGCTGATGGATGTCCGAGGAGGTCCTGACAGTTCACGTCTGCACGTCCGTCTCTGAAGTCCCCCCTTTCCAGGGCAGCTCTGGTTAGATGGAAACTTCGTACTCTCTCGTTTCCTGCAGGACAGAGTGGCACAGATGGGTCAAGTCCTGAGTGGCAGAGTGACATCCCAAGTCTTCCAGGGTGCCACATCTCCCTGTGTCCCTGGCCTTGGCCCTGTGGCTCTGGATTGGAGGTCTGCTCTGTCTATTCACTGTTACGTGTGTGTGCGCGCACGTGCGCGCGCACGCACTGTGGCATTCTCTGGGGTCTGACCTCCCTCCAACACTGTGACCATAAAGATGGAAAGGACAAGAGCCAAGCCTGCAACAGCTGGTCCTCTAGGAGTCCCACCCCACTGATGCTACCACGTCCTACTGCATCAGGCAGACTGAGGAATGTGTGCTCCGACTCTCGGGTAATTGCAGCCCCTTGCTCTCCCCAAATCAATACAAATCCGTCCTCTGAATGCTGTCTCCACCAGCTGTGGTTGGTTGCCTTTCTCCAATGCTCCCTGCGCCAGTCCCAGGGGGAGGGTCAGGAGCCAATGAAATCACAGGCCCCAACTTGGAAGCGCCATTTCCTGTGAGGCTAACACAGCTATGATGGCCGCATCAACACTTCCCTGGAAGATGGGAAGTACAATGGGCAGAGTGTGAGGTGGTCCCACGGTCCCCACCTTCCAAAGCGCATGCCTGGGTAGGTAGGTAGAATAGAGCACGTCATGGGAGGGGGATTCCAGAGGCACCAAGACAGACGTGAAAGAAGCCAAGATCAGGTGACCGGAGGCCTCCCCAGGCTTCAGGGAACAAAACACCCCTACACAGAGAACTCCAACAACACAGAAGGGGCCGTCAGAGGACACAGGGCGGCCAATCCAGCTCTGGCTCATTTCCATGCTCATTCATGTCTGGTGGTAAACTGCTTCTTTCCCTGTTACTATCCACAGGTCTCCCTGTCCAAGGCTATAGGCAACCATGGGAGCCAGGGTGGCGTGGATCATCCCCTGGCCAAGCCTGTGGCTATGGCTTGTGAGCCGCCCCTAAGCAGACTGGTTATATAGGAGATATTTCACACAGGGAACAAAGGAGGAGGCGTGGGGACAGGTCAGTGTGGACAAGGGACAGGTTTGCTGTTTTCCTAACAGCAGGGAGAATTACATGTCATGACACAATGACTTGAGGGACAGAGCTGTCACAAAGCCCCGAGCTTGGCGGCTCCCCATGTGCACGCTTGGACCTTTTTCACACACCCCATCTGCCATGTATTTTAACTTTCATCCACGTCCGTATCTCCGTTTTACGAGCTCTTCCTCCAAAAGTGTTCCCAACCCTCTCAAGGGTCCCCATCATGCAGCCATAGAACCTGGCTAGCTTTCCATGGTCCTTCAGAGTGGGAATTAATCATAATCACGGACATGTTCGATTGAGGCAGGAGGGCACGAGGGCTCAGGATGTCAAGCCAAGCTGGCCTCCTTCCTCCTGGCTGGGTACAGCCTTGTCCAAGTCGCTCTCATCTCTCTGGACCTCCATGTCCTCATGAGTCACAGGGTAGTGTCTGAGGGTCACATGCCTGTCACATGGTACACCACCCACCAGCGTCGACGCCTGCGTGCTCTGCCAGGCTTTAGCGCTCACTGGAGTGAGAGATCGTACCTGTAGCCAGCTTTACAATCACAGCCACAGTTCCTGGTGATCCTGGAAGGTTCTGCGCAAGCTGAAAGAGCCCCACTGCCTAGGGTGGACGTAGTCACCCACCCCAGCACTTGGGAACAAGAGGTCAGGCTCTGGTGCCTGTGGTGCACCTGCCCAGTGCCCGAAGAGGACAGGGGATGCCAGCCCAATGCCTGAACACTGTTCCCTGTGTTTACACTGCTCACCCCACTCACACAAGTGGACTTGAAATGCAAGTCATGTGAGGCCTCAGCATACCCTACATCTATGGTTTAACTCTCAAGGCCCCAAAGAGTGAGTGATCCAGGCCATCCAGGATCATAGGAGAGTGCACTGTGAGGTTTTCCTGACAGGGAGGTCAGGAGACACTTTTTTTCTCAGATCGCATGCCTGTCTGTCAGTGAGGATGGCTTATAGCATCAGTACCATGCCCGGCTGCCCCACAGGAACCCGCACTGCAAGGTGAAGAACGGACCATGCTGCCTTTAAAGACTGGAACTCGGTTAGACACAGCAACTGCCCCCCCCCCCCCCCCCGCAGAGCTGGCTCTCCCAGCACCCTGCTCAGGAGGGGATCTGGTAGGGATGAGGCAGGACTCCCTAGTGGTCCCTCCGCCAGCCAAGCTGTGGGCAAGGGGGAGCCCTCCAGGAGAACAGTGGTCCCACTTACCCCAGTCTCATAGATGGGGTTGTCAAACTCTGTTTCCACGGTGATCTGGCTGTAGGGGTGGGAGTACATGAGGGGCAGGCGGAGGCTGGAATATTGTCGGCACCTGAGGGACAGACAGCAGAGCTCCAGTCACACCTCTGCCCCACTGGCTCCCAAGGCTCTGCAGGAGTCTCTGCAAAGGGCATGGGGTACTAGACAGCCCTGAGTGGGTGAGAATCCCATTGAGGGCAAGCACTCTCCGTTCATCGCTCTACAGGGTTGTAGGGAGCCAGCCCTGTCACCTCCTGCCCTGGGAAGGAGGAGCCCAAATTGATTTGACTTGTTAAGTAATTTCTGTGTCTATTGACTCTTCCCCCTGCCTCCCTGGACCATGCCTCCCGTCACACACTGAGCTGCAGAGAGCAGGGATTAAGGTCCTAGGAGGGCCTCTCCTGCACCTTTCTCTGCCTACTCACCTCCTGGTTCACTCACTGTCACTTTAAAGTTGGTTCAAAAGCGTTCCTCATTGCAGCCTCTCCTACCTACTCTACCCAGCCACCCAACCTCCAACCCAGGGCCTTTGCTCTCCCTCCCAGGCTCTCTTCCGTTTATCTGGTGCTTGCTTTCCTTCTGTGCTTGGGAGATCCACTACGTTTCCTCACTGGGCTCTGCTTCGTTCACGATAATGTTCCCCGAGCCCAGAGGCTGCTGGCACACGGCAGCAGCTCTGAAACCATCAGTGGGTGTGCCTATGACTGTGTCTGGATGTGGCTTTTTGTCCACTGAGGGCAAGCGCTGTGACCTTCAGCACCCAGGACCAAGCCCTGGGACCATGGCACATTCCTGTGCATTTGCTAAGTGACTGAGTGAACAGAGTGAACGGAGGCATGGCTATGGCTGAGAAGTGGTAGGGGAATCGGGAGGTGCCAAGATGCTTTCTGATTCTGACCACAGCACCCCACATCACAGGAAGTCACTATATCCAAGGGCCAGGTGGAGACGTTGAGGCCCCAGAGGTGCAGTTCCAGGCTGCACAACCCCCACCTACCTCGTGATGTAGATGTAGGCTCCTCCCAGTAGCAAGGAGATGAGAAGGACCGGAATGAAGATGGCCAGCGCCATGTTCCCACCTTCCAGTGAGGACTCTGCTGCCGCTTCTGCTACTGAGCACAGAAGCCACTGAGGCCCTTGTTTCCCACCAGCTCCACACCCACGGGGAACCTGGTTCTCAAGTGGGTGCCCCACCCCGGCTGACATCCCACGGAGGGACACAGGCAGAGAACAGAGGCCAGGCTGCTGACCCTTGCTAGGGAGCCCAGAGTCACCCTTGGCTGTGGTAGCCAGAGGGTGGCTGAGAAGCAGTTTGGATCTGGTCATTCTAGGCCCATTGGAGTACCGTGGAGAGGGCAGACATCTGGTTAAAATTCAACTCAGGGGGTGACTTGGACAAAGTTCAGGAACAATCTTGCCTTGCTCTCTGCCCTCCTCTCTGAGCAGCTGCACCAGGCTGGGGGACCCTTCTAGAGATTGCCAGTGGGGATGCCACCCAGCGGTGGCTCGGGGCAGTGGGGACAGTTCTGCTTCCCAGCCTCCTCTTGCCCCCCAACGCATGTGTTAACTGCAGAGATCATGGCCGCTATCTTGGGGTCTGGGGACACTTGCCCAGCACAGTTTGAGGGTGAGTCCCCCTCTCTCACATCGCTTCTAGAAGCTCGACCTCCTCTGCCCCTCTCTATGGTCATGTCTCACCAAGTTCAGCTGCGCCTCCATCTGTAACCCGTTAGCCGCCACCTACATGGGTGGAGATAACCGATCCTGATCTCCACAATGAATGTGCACAGCTGGGACTCTGGCTTCATTTACACTTCCTGAGCCCCGGGGCCCTGGGTGGCTTTTCCCACCGCTCACTGGGCAGCAAGAGGCAGTGGGGCATTCCCAGGTAGAGGGACATGGTGGGGCCACCCTGCTTCTCACGAACAGCTGACCCGTTATCCTCCTAACATTTACCTTTGTTCCCTACTCTTCCTGCCGGATTAAAGTGAACATCAGCTAATGACCTGTAATTCACCCGGCCTGGTACCTAGCTGTGTTGTTAGAACAACACTAATGGTGCCAGAGACAACGGGAACAGCCGTCGAACTGGTTAACGAACGGGTCACCGCCATCTGTGTGCACAGCCCTGCACTGCGCTGAACGGACATGGTGCACAAGGGTGGGCTGCTGCATGTGTGGGTCTTCAACCGTTGGCCTGACGGGATCAGGAGACACACCTAGGAGATGTGGCCACCTCTGATGTGAGGTATCCGGAAAGGTCTAAGTGGAGCGGGGAGACCCAGCCTGGATGCGGGCAGCTCCGCCCCATGGGCTGGGGTCCCTGACTGAATGCAAAGGAGAAAGTGAGCTGAGAGCAGCGTTCGTCTCTGCTTCCCGACTGTGGGTGCCCGGTGAGCAGCGGCCTCATGCTCCCGCCGCCATGCCTCCCCTTCCACGGCAGACTGGACCCTGGACCGGGGAGCCACAATAGGCACCTCCTCCTCTTAAAACGCCTTTGTGGGGTGTGCTGTCATATCAGGGATGCAAGTAACTAAGACGAGGAAGGAAGGAAGGAAGGAAGGAAGGAAGGAAGGAAGGAAGGAAGGAAGGAATCTAAGAAATGAGAGACCCTGGTCAGCTGTTGTCACCTGTCCCACAAAGCACACTCGGGAGAGGGAGATGGGGCTGTGCCAGGGAGAGGGGGCAGAGGGAGGCAGGGCCTGGATGCCCCCAGCAGCCTTTCACTCAGCCGCCAGAAGATGCTCTGCCCAGGAGGTGAGGTGAGGCTGGTCAGAAGCTGTCTGGCAGGGTCAGGGTTTCTCAGGTCTCTCTGGCTACATTGCCACTGTCAAATCCTTTCAGGTAATATTTAGGGACCTAAGTTGAAAATGCCTTTATTATTGTCCCCGCCCCTCCACGTGTGTGTGTGTGTGTGTGTGTGTGTGTGTGTGTGCCACGTGAGTGCAGTTGCCCACAGAGGCCAGCAGAGGGCATCAGATCCCCCCAGAGCTGGAGTTACAGGTGATTGTGAGCCACCTGACATGGGTGCTGGGAACAGAACACTGATCCTCTGCAAGAGCAGAGCACTCTTAACTGCCTAGCCTTCTCTCCAGCCTCAGTAGCTGCGTTTGGAGCCCCTGGGGAAAAGCTAACGACACAGATGCCGGATGTATTGGAACTTTCGAGACGGAGTAAAACTCACCTTCTAGTGCGTGTTCGAAACTGTCTTGATTCACTGAAACAGAAACCAGGAAGCAGCGTCAACACCGAGGGAGTTCACTGTTTGCATAAGGAGAAGCCGATGGGCCTACATTAGAAAACCCAGGGTGCACCGTGTGGGGGTGGTGCCTCTGGTGTTACGCAGCATGGTTCCCCCCACAGCACCTCCCAAGGTGGTGAGGGGAAAGAGATGGGCAAGTAGCCTGGGCATCATGGATGGTGATGACGCCTGCCGTGTGTTCTGCATTGTGCTAGGAGCTCTTGCATGCTCCCACCCACCCCTTGCCAGTCTCCTTTGGCACATGTGATCATCGACATTTTACAGATGAGCCAATGGGTTCACAGAAGTGCAGCAAGCAGAGAGCCTGGGATTCCAACCCGGCAGCTCCAGCTTCGTTCACAGCTCTTAACTTTTTTTTTTAAACAGCCTCTTGTGCGGGCCTTGAACATTCAGTGTCAGCCTCCCAATGGCTGGAAAGACAGTTGTGTGACCCCCACACCACCTCTAACTACTGGTCTTTTCACGTGGTCTTTTATATTATTTCCAAGGAGGTGTGTCTCAAGACCCCAACACCGACTGCAGCCGGGGTGAACCGGCTCCAGCTTCGAAATCCATGTCACTCAGACCTTTGCATTGCATCTGTCACCTGTATTTATTGACCGGGGTCTGCATTCTATATCAAACTATTTCCATAAACTCCTGTTTCTTACAAAGCCCTGAGGTTCAAGGTACCAGGGATGATATCCCATGCTCTGTCACCAAAGTCACCATGCTGGCCGAGCGCTCAACTGCCCAGACCAGGGCACTCCCAGATGCAGAGCCTGGAAGTGAAGTCTTAAGTGGGAAGACTGTACCCATAGCGGCCAGGCCACCCTGGCCACTCTGCATTTACTATGTCCTGGCTGGTCCCAGGACTCCTGATTACACTTCGACTAACTGAAGTCACCATCGATCGGAGACAACAACCCCGGCTAAGAAGCTGGTTAGCTGCAGTCTTCCAAAGGTGCCCCCAACTAGAGAATCGGTCCCCAGATTTATAGGTTGATGTTGTTTGAGGCGGGGAGGGGGGAGGGGGCTTTGGACAGTGACAGGGTATGAGATAGCCCTGCCATGTCAGCAGGCAGCAGGGATCCCCTACAGGTGCAGAGCCAAGCTTTGGGCACTCAGCCTTCACTACCCTGGACCAAACAGACTTCTATTCTATATAAACTACCTGTTCTCAGATATTTTGTTACAGTCACAAAAAAGGGACCAAGAAGAGGTGTGGTGGGGGCACATCGGCAATCCCAGCACTTGGGAGGTGGAAGTAAGTGGATCGGGAGCTCAAGGTTAGCCTTGGCTACAAAGGAAGTTCTAGGCTAGCTTGGGCTACATAAGACTGTCTCAAGAAAGAAATGAATGAACCAAAGAAAGAAAGCAGACTGGACAGGAACCCACTGGATTTGGATTCCACGAAGCCACACAGGCCAGCCTCAGAGCAAGCTCGGCTTCTCCTGGAGCCAGCCCTGACCCTGGCTCCTCGGGTCTCTTTACCTTTACAGATGGGCAGGGGCCCGCTCCAATGGGACGGCTGTCCCAGAATGCAGCGGATGGTCACTTCGCCCATGAGCTCAAAGCCCTCATAGCACATGAAGGTGAGGGACTCTCCAGGCAGGTACAGCCGCTTATACAGGATCTGGTACCCATTCTCAGGCAACCCTGGATTGTCACATGCCAGGGACTCCTCAGCTGAAATGAAGCCAGACACGGACTCTGAGAGTCTGTCTCAGACTCAGCACCATTCTCTGGGTGACCTAGCCCGCCCCTCAGCATCCCCTCTCCAGAGCCCCATCCTGCACCCACATGGTTTCCCCTCATCCTCTCTCCCATCTCTGGGTACACACTACACATGAGCATCGCAGGATGAATAGGGGTCCAGAATCGGGTTAAAAACTGTCAGTTCTTTCATTTACTAGCTGAGTGACCTCCAGAAAGTATTACATCCTCTCTGATCTCCAGTTTTCTCCTTAGCACATGGGAACAGGACTGCAGGACTCCCTAAGAGAATGGATGTAAGAGGTGGAGAATGTCCTCGCCAGGTGGAGGGTGCTCACTAAGTGATGGATCTTGGTGGCGATCGATTGAAAAGACTGTCCACTCCTCCAGAGCCCATCTGGCGTGTCCAGGTCTGGTCTCTGTCACTCATCATTTCTCCTCCAGGAGTCTTTCCCTGATGCCACCGGCCACCAAATTTCTTAGTGTTTTCTTCTTCTGCCCAGCAGCGCCCACACTGTAAAGTGCTGCCATTATTCAGGACAATTGTCTGTGGAATCAAATGACAGGAGCCTGAAGTGGCCGCAACCAACAGGTTCACACTCCCCTCTGGTGGCTGCTTTTGGGTACTGCCGACGCCAAGTCCTGGGAGACCTAGGGTGTGGAACTTGCTGGGTGAGCCTTGTTTGCCCCTGGGTAGCAGCCAGCAAACATCGCTCAGCACCACAAATCCTGAGACAGCTGCAAGATTTTAAATCGCGGCAAAATCCTCACAAAGGTTACCGACTTAGCCGTGAACAGCTGACCTCTAGGACTCGGCGCACCTCGCCCCAGCTTCCGGAAGCCATCTTTCCACGTTCAGTGTCTGTGAACCCGAGGAAGACAGGGATTCACACAGGTGTGACTGGACTCTGGGAGGAATGGCTTATTTCTCTTAGCAGAGGTCCTCGAGGCTCCTCTCCGTGTCCTAAGTGCTTCCGTTTTTTAAGGCTGAATAGTATTCCGTTGACAAGCAGACCATGCCCCGTGTCCCCGTTTCCCAACAGTACTGATGTCACTCTGAGTGTGCGAATCCAGCTCAGTTCCACTTCTGGTTCTTTGGGGGTAGACACCCAGAAAAATGACTACTGGGTCCCAGGGTGGTCCCCATTTTGATTTTTGAGGACCTGTATGCAGTCTGGGACATCAGCTACCCCATGCCACGTTCTCACTAATGATGCACACAGGTTCCAGATTTTCCACAGAGACCCACCGGTGGGACCTCACTCTGGCTTGAGAAGAGCCGTGGCTCCAGGTGTTGCCTCCTGCACCAGCTGCCCGCCGCCGTTCAGGAAGATGAGAGGGAGGGCGTTTCATCAGCAGCTTTAGGTGCCCCCAGGTGAGCAAGCCTCAGGAGAGAAGGGACCCAAGGCAAGCCTGCAGCCTAGGCTTCCGTCTTCTGAGGGTAAGCCTTCTTCTCAAACCCACAGTGCCCAGACCAGGACTCAGGGGGACTGGTCTGTTGAGACTCACAGGACCTGGACGCGTTTGACAGCTGCTCTCAACGGTCCCCCAGGGCCACTCCATCTTCCTTTCCCTGCAGCTGTGCCTACCTCACACTAAACACCTTGCTGAGTGAAGGGCACTCTCCTCCCCTCCCTGCCTTCTCTTCTCTCTCCCTCCCTGCAAGTTCTCTCTCCCTTTGTCACCGGTGAGCTCCACAGACAGAAGTGGAGATGGCTCTGAGGTTCCTACCTCCTGGGACTGTCCCCTGGGTATTGCCGGGACCCCAGACTTGCTTTCGGCTGTGAACCTGGGAAACCTCCTCTGATGACACTGTCTGAGATGGGCACTTCTTTCTTTCTAATAAATCACCGTGGCGGGTGAGACACCCGGCTTTGGTGTGTGCTGCCGCCACCTAGATGGGTCCACGTGGTGCGGGCTAAAGGGCCCACAAGGACCCCAGACTTGTGACCCACAGCAAGGGCCTGAAGTGGTTACTACCTCTTCTTCTGTAAGGTGTATCATCTAAAGACCCCTTGCTGACCCAGGTCTGTCCTTGGGGATTTCAATGTCCCTGGAGTTTCTGTAATGTCCCCAGCACTGCGTGTGGTGGCGGTGGTGGTGTGTGTTCTCTCTAACACTTCCTGGAACTCAATATTATATTGTGCTCATTTCGAGATCCTAGCACCCGGCACAGGGTTTGTTTCACAGGAAGTACCAGTTATTCCATCAACCAACATATCCCATAAGCGTGAGGTGTGTTGTGGTTTGAATGACACCACAAAGTGTCACCTGCAGGCTCATGGGATTGAACACTTGTTGCTTGGCTGGGAGCGCTCCTTGGGAAGGTCACCGAACCTTTAAGAGGGGAAGCCTTGCCGGGCGGTGGTGGCGCACGCCTTTAATCCCAGCACTCGGGAGGCAGAGCCAGGCGGATCTCTGTGAGTTCGAGGCCAGCCTGGGCTACCAAGTGAGTCCCAGGAAAGGCGCAAAGCTACACAGAGAAACCCTGTCTCGAAAAACCAAAAAAAAAAAAAAAAAAAAAAAAGAGGGGAAGCCTCTCTGGAGGATGTATATCTTTGGGGGCGGGTCTTGAGGTTTCATAGCCTGGCACCATTTCCTGTTCCTCTCTGCCTCCTGAGTGCAGATGCAATGTGACCAGCCGGCCTACCTGCTCCCACCCACACTTCCTCCCCCACCCCCACCATGCTGGACTGCAGCCCCTCCACTGTAAGCCAGAATCAACCCTTTTCCCTTGAAAATTGCGTCTTGATGTCGTGTTGTCCTCACAGTATTCACAGAGATAAATAAAACAAATCCAAACTCGGTCCCACAAGACTGAGGCCAGAGGCACACAGCAGAATACAGGGCCAGGCTGGAGCCTCTTCTCTGCCAGAGTGACCAATACAGTGTGGATGAGGAGAAAGGGATCTTCCTGGCCACCATACAATTGGAGGCTTATCAAAATATACAATGGAAAAAAGAAAGCATCTTCAACAAATGGTGCTGGCATAATTGGATGTTGGCATGTAGAAGAATGCAAATAGATCCCTATCTGTCACCATACACAAAACTCAAGTCCAAGTGGATCAAAGACCTCAACATAAATCCAGTTACACTGAACCTGATAGAAGAGAAAGTGGGAAATAGTCTTGAATGCATTGGCACAGGAGACCACTTCCTGAATAGAACACCAGTAGCACAGACACTGAGATAAACAAGTGGGACCTCCTGAAACTAAAAAGCTTCTGTAAGGTGAAGGACACCATCAATAAGACAAGACCGCAGCCTACAGAATGGGAAAAGATCTTCACCAACCCCACATCTGACAGAGGGCTGGTCTCCAAAATATATAAAGAACTCAAGAAACTAGACATCAAAATATCAAATAATCCAATTTAAAAATGGGGGTACATATCTAAACAGAGAATTCTCAACAGAAGAATCTCAAATGGTTGAAAGATGTTTAAGGAATTGCTCAACATCCTTAGTCATCAGGGAAATGCAAATCAAAACAACTCTGAGATACCATCTTACATCCGTCAGAATGGCTAAGATCAAAAACACTGACGACAGCTTATGTTGGAGAGGATGTGGAGCAAGGGGAACACTCCTCCACTGCTGGTGAGAATGCAAACTGGTACAGCCACTTTGGAAATCAATATGGTGGTTTCTCAGAAAATTGGGAATCAATCTACCTCAAGACCCAGCTATACCACTCTTGGGCATATACCCAAAGGATGCTCAATTATACCACAAAGACACTTGCTCATCTATGTTCATAGCAGCATTATTCATAATAGCCAGAACCTGGAAACAGCCTAGATTCCCCTCAACCGAAGAATGGATAAAGAAAATGTGGTACATTTACACAATGGAGTATTGTTCTGCTGTAAAAAAAAATGACCTCATGAAATTGCAGGCAAATGGATGGAATTAGGAAAAAATCATTCTGAGTGAGGTTACCCAGACCCAGAGAGACAAACAGCATGTACTCACTCATAAGTTGATATTAGGAGTAAAGTATAGCAAAACCAACTTGCAGTCCACAGCCCCAGAGAGCCTAGATAATGAGGAGGGCCCAATGAGGGACGCATGGATTTCCTTGGGAAGGGGAAATAGAAGAGATCTCCTGGGTAAACTGACGGCAGGTGATGGAGGGATGGGAACTTGAGGGAGCAGATTGGGTGGGCTGGGTGCTGGAGGAGGGACAGAGGGGGAGAGTAAAGACATCTTGATGGAGGGGCATTTTGGGGTTAGGGAGAAACTTGGCTCCATGGAAACCCCCAGGGATCCACAAGGATAACCCCAGCTAAGACTCCTAGCAATAGTGGAGAGGGTGCCTGAACTGGCCACCTGCTGTAATCAGATTGGTGTCTACCCTGATTGTCATCAGAGATACTCTATCTAGTAACTGATTAAGCAGATGCAGAAATGCTCAGGCAAACACTGCGCTGAGCTCTGGGAGTCTTGCTGAAGAAAGGGAGGAAGAATTGTATGAGCCGGGGTAGGGGGTGGGTCATGATGGTGGAACCCACAGAGACAGCTGATCCAACCTCGTGGGAGCTCATGGACTCTGCACCAGCAGTTAGGGAGCCTCCATGGGACCGACCTAGAGCCTCTGCATGTGTGTGACAGTTGTGTAGCTTGATCTCTTTGTAAGGCTCCTAGCAGTGAGATCAGGATCTGTCCCTGGATCCTGCTGGCTTTGGGGAACCTGTTCCCCATGGTGGATTACCTTGCCCAGGCTTGACACAAGGGGAGCTCAGTCCTGCCTCAACTAGATATGCCATGCTTTGCTCAAGCCCATGGAGGCCTGCCCCTTTCTGAGTGGAGATGGAGGAAGAGTGGAAGGGGAGGGGGGTAGATGGGAAACGGGGGGGGGGGGACTGGAAGGAGAGGAGGGAGGGGAGACTGCAGTTGGTATGTAAAATAAATGAAAAAAAAGTTATTTAAAAATAATAAATAAAAATTGCATAAAAACAACAACAATTGGAGGCTTATCTTGGCTGATGCATCTCAGATGACCGTGATAGTGTGGACATGTCCTGGCAGGCACCCACACCTGTTTCCTAGAGCCAACTTGCCTGGCTGTGGGACCTGAGAGAAACTAGGAAGGGTCACTCCGTGTCCTGCCCTTGAGTGTGTGTGCACTCCACATTCTCAGGAGTCCACCAGACACACAGGTGGGAGGAGATGGCTGCAGCCTCCTGTGCTGGAGAGCACCCCTTCCCAGGGAGGAGGGCGTCACAGCCGTGACGGGTGGGGTAGAGACCAGCACAGAGTCCCCTTTAGATCAGCTCCCCAGAGTGGCTCATGAGGACCAGGCTTGGCCAAGGCTACTGTCACATGCAATGAAGGTTATCTATAGACTTCAGGTTTGCCCTTGGCTCTGTGAATAGTTTGAGACTTGCAGCCAGGTCCACAATCACGCCACAGCGCCTCCCTTCAGTCAGCCCTGGGAAATCTCCAAGACTCCTTGTGTTACACATCCGTGGATGCGACCTGAGGCACAGCAAGGGATTGTTAAACCCTGAAGAGTGAGCCTGGGCTTGTGGGAGGGAGGACTTTTAAACTTAATTCAATTTTCAGTTTATTTTCTGAGTCTTAGGTAATCTAAACAGCGACTTATACCCCTAGCCTTTGCTTTTCAGTGACAGGTTGGCTTGAACTCATGAACTTCCTGCTTTAGCCCTGCCACAGGGAGAGAGGACAAGGGTGTGCTGTGACATCCAGTCTAAACGTCGGTTCTAATCTTTTCTGGTTTGCTTAGATGAAGTGAGTCGTTAACTTCATAGAGAGAGTTCATCAGACTCTGTGACACTCGGCTTGGTAGACAACTGATGTGCATTCAGCCTGTGCTAGGCCGGTGCTGGGAGCTGGCTGGAGTGGAGGTGGTGAGCTGGTTTCTGTTCTGTTCTGCCAGAGCTCAGCCGTCCTGAGCACTGAGGAGAATCTGGACCCCCATGTTTCCAGAGCAGAGAGGCACCTTGAAAGCCCCCCCTACACAATTCCCGTAGTACCCAGAAGTGACCAGCAGATGGCAGTAGCACCCCAGGAGCTTTCTCTATAATCCTTTCGGGAATCGTCTACCTTGAATGTTCAAATGACTCCACAACCCTCTTGCCCCACCCGTGTGCCGGGATTGCAGGTGTGGGCTGCCATGCTGGCTGCAGGGTGCTGTTCCGAAAGGCCCAGTGAGATCTACAGTTCACTTTGACGCATCTGTGACTTGTTTTCTGGCTGCTGAATGACCAGGTTTCAACCCTGGAGTGGCTCAGGAAGGAAGGGTCTAGTCGGTCTCCCAGTTAAGGGTACAGTCCATCGGGGCGAGGAAGGCGTGGCGGCAGGAGTGTGTCACACTGTGTCCCCAGTCAGGAGGCGGAGAGATGAAACCCTCTTTTTATTCAGCCCATAGGATGGTACCACCCACACCAAGGGTTCATAGTGACAGTGTCTTCTCTCTGGAAACTGCAGGAGTTTGTCCAGAGGTGTGTCTCCTAGGTGACTGCAAATCTAGTTGGGGCCACAAGGGAAGAGGTGAACTCACAGGACGATCAATGGGTTAGTCTGTCACTTACTTCATGTCTGAAATACGTGGATGTTCATTTTGGATAGATGACAGCCATCCTAAGTCTCCAAAGTCCCGGGGAGTCAAGACCACAACGCCTGTGCTATCTCACGGCAACAACCTGCAGTCAGCTTTGTTTGGAGACGGGGGTCTTGCTACTATGCCGCTCAGGATGGCCTTGAACTTGCCATCCTCCTGCCTCAGCAGTGCTGAGATTATCGGTATACACCAACCACCACAGATGGTTCAGAAATTTTTTCTTTATATAGGGTCGTCCGGTGGCCCGGAGACACAGATCTGACTGTTCTCCTCCCTGCTTAGCTGGTGAGACCATCGGGTCACTTGACACAGTTACTCAGCCATCAGGTAGTGTGGACAGGCTTGGTGGGGAGGTTGCCTCCACCGGTCAATGGCTCGCTGCATTGCCATTTTATAGACAAGTAAACCGAGGCCCAGGCAACTCATTTATCAAGCGTCTCACAAGGAGGAAGGGGCCGAGCTATCATCGGAGTCTGGTGATACTTTGGCCCTCAAGCTGGTTCAATTCAGTTTTCAGCCTCCCCACCGCCCCCACCCAGGCCATCATGAGAAGGAACTTTCCCTCTCCCCTCCCCCAGTGAGGCTGCTCCATCCCTTCCCTGTTCCCCAAGGTTCTCTAGTGTCCTGACACCTCCTGTGACTTGCAAGATCATTAGCATGGGTGTCAGGGAAGCTGGTACTACTCAGCCCTGTACCTGATAGGGAGATTTCCAGGAACATCTCCCGGTGGGGGGAGGCTCCAGGCTTCGGTGGCCTGGGGAGAATTTAAGTGTAAACATGTGCATCTGTGTGTCCATCAGAGGATGTCACGAGTGTGGCCATCAGAGGGCAGAAGAGGGGGTCAGGTCCCTTGGAGCTAAATTACAGGCAGTTGTGAGCCCCGGACATAGGTGCTGGGAACACAGCTGTTTTAAACCTCAATGGCCTGTGAACTCTCTTGGCCACACAACTCCCCTACTTCACACTGTCTTGGTCTATAGTTGCTGTGGGCAGGGTTTCAGGGGCTCATCAGAAGCCTGGCCTTGCAACTGAACTCTCTGTTAAGTAGGTGGTGGCCAAGGCTTTTCTGAACCTTGCATCCCTTCCCCCATCTCTTAGATAGGGTCTCCCTGTGACGCTCAGCCTGGCTGAGAACCCCTAGTCCTGCTTCAGGCTCCCCAAAGGGATGACAGGCACGCGCCACGCCTGGCTTTAGAATCTTCTCCTTATCCTCGATCTCTCTCCCTCTCCCTCTCTTTTTGCATGCACATGTGTGTTGTGCAAGCAAGTGTTGTGTTGACATACATGCGTGTGACTGTGCGTGTGCGGTATGTGTGTGTGTGTGTGTGTGTGTGTGTGTGTGTGTGTGTGTGTGCTGAGGCCAGAGGTCGATGTTGATGTCTTCCCGTACCACTTCTCACTCTCCTGGGGCAGTATCTCTCTCTGAACCGGGAGTTCTGTTTGGCTAGTCCAGCTCAGCCTGGATCCCTTGTCCCTGCCTCCTCCACCGGCGTGGGTGCTGGGGATTCAAACTCCAGCCCTTAAGTTAGCAGAGCAAGTCTCCCCAACCCCACGTCTCATGTTCTTCTGAACATGAAACAAGAGAGAAGCGAGGGAAACCCGGCAGAGGGCTGACATGTTCACCTGAGAGCCATTGCCCCGACAGTGCCCGCTGCTGTGGTGTGTGGTGGTAGCAACACAAGTGTGCAATGTGATGCCTCCCCCAGGCCGGCCTCCTCTGCGGCAGGAGAGGCAAGCCCGAAACAACGACCCCAGTTTGAACGCAGGACTCACAGACACAGTGGGGCAGGCGAGATGTCCAGATGGGAGTCCCGGTCTCGCGGCTGTAGCAGGTGAGAAGCGAACTCCCTTCGAGCACAAATCCGGGGCTGCAGGTGTACTGGATGGTGGTGCCCACCAGCAGCACGGGGTCGGAGATGAGGCGGGTGGAGTGCTCCACCTCCCCAGGGTCGGTACAGTACATAACTGCGGACAGAGGAGCACATGGGTGTACAGGGACACCACGGGTCACCAAGACTGACGGGAGGATCTAGAAAGTTCCTCAAGTCAGCCCTTTACCTTTTGCGGACAGAGCACACGGCTCCGCAGAGGTGGCTGGAGAACAGGTCAGGTGGGAGGAGACCTGAATTTTATTCCTGAGTGTGCCCCCAAAGTTTTCGCCAGGCCCCAAACCTATATCTAAGGTATAAATCATCACTGAGCGGGGTGAGCACAGTGTGTGTGTCGGGGGTAAGCACGGTGTGTGTGTGTGTGTGTGTGTGTGTGTGTGTGTGTGTGTGAGAGAGAGAGCATGGTGTGTGTGAGAGAGAGCATGGTGTGTGTGTGTGTGAGCATGGTGTGTGTGTGTGAGCACGGTGTGTGTGTGTGGGTGAGCACGGTGTGTGTGTGTGTGTGGGTGAGCACGGTGTGTGTGTGTGAGCACGGTGTGTATGGGAGTGAGCACGGTGTGTGTGTGGGTGAGCACGGTGTGTGTGTGTGGGTGAGCACGGTGTGTGTGTGTGAGCACGGTGTGTGTGTGTGTGTGTGAGCACGGTGTGTGTGTGTGAGCACGGTGTGTGTGTGTGGGTGAGCACGGTGTGTGTGTGTGGGGGTGTGAGCATGGTGTGTGTGTGTGGGTGAGCATGGTGTGTGTGGGGGTGAGCAGGGTGTGTGTGTGGGGGTAAGCAGGGTGTGTGTGTGGGTGAGCAGGGTGTGTGTGTGTGGGTGAGCACGGTGTGTGTGGGGTGAGCAGGATGTGTGTGTGGGTGAGCACGGTGTGTGTGTGGGTAAGCAAGGTGTGTGTGTGTGGGTGAGCATGGTGTGTGTGGGGTGAGCATGGTGTGTGGGGTGAGCATGGTGTGTGGGATGAGCATGGTGTATGTGTGGGTGAGCACAGTGTGTGTGGGGGTGAGTATAGTGTATGTGTGGGGGTGAGCACAGTGTGTGTGTGTGGGTGAGCATGGTGTGTGTGGGGTGAGCACAGTGTATGTGTGTGGGTGAGCACGGTGTGTGTAGGGGTGAGCAGGGTGTGTGTGGGGGGGTGAGGTGAGCATGGCGGGGAGGGAAGGGCTGTTTGAGCATCCGTTCTATGAAATCCCTCGCAGTGGCCAGAGTGGGAGGAACAGAGTGGGGGCTGTTCCTGCTCTCTGGGATGCCTGACCCTGGGAAACCAGCATCAATTGCACTTTAATTAGAAAATCAATACAGATAAAAGGGAAACAGTAAACTAATTAACAAGGAAGGAAGTGAACACCTGAGTGATGTGAACAACGTCCACCACCCTCGGAATGGGCAGTTTACGCACGTGCATCCCTTCGTGTAGAATACCCTTCTGCAGCCATTTCCACCTGTAAACCATCTGTCTGTCTATCCACCCATCTGCCAATCCTCTGTCCATCTGTCCACCCACGTAGCCATCTATCCTGTCTGTCTGTGTATCTGTCCATCTGTCCATCCATCTAGATATAGCTTTATATAGATATAGAGAGACAAAGTCATATGTCACATATAGAGTTATGCATTAGTTACCTTGTACACATATATCATACACATTGTATATTAAACGCATGGTCTATAACTCCATCTTACCTGCATAAATATCCATGTCTAGGAATCCCACACATTTATCTACCAACAGATATGAGCAGATATCTACACATGGAGACATGTAGAGAGATACCTACATAGAAAATGTCAGGACCTACCTATGCACAGACCAGGCTCATCCGTATCTATAAACCCATCCATCCATCCATCTGTCCGTCCACCTGCCTCCCTGCCTCCCTGGGTCCATCTGAGTGTTCCAGGTGCCACAGGTACCACACATGTGCACGTGGCTGACCGTGGCTCTTCGGTAGCTCTTCCCGTGTGGCCTGGCTGCTGTCTTTCCCCTTAGGTGGCCCAGTCCCTGATCTGTCCCTTCCCCATCTCCCTCACCCTCTGCCAGCACTTGTTATTATCGAGCTGTTCTGATTCCAGTCTTGTGGAACAGGGACATTAAACTGTCACCTGGAGGTCCCTGCCACAGGGTTGGAGCTACGAGTTTGATGCGGGAGGTGGGGGAAGAAACCGGCCAGGAGAAGAGGCCACGTCAAAGCTCTGCTCCTTCCCTTGCTGTAGGACATGAGCAAGAAGCTAGCAGCGCCTCCTTTCCTTACCCCCATCAGGACAGGGAGCACTTCGCCTGTCAGGACAGGGAGCACTCCTGGGGCAGCACCCGGGAGTCAGCAGGAAGGAGACTGGCTGCCGGTGCAGGGAGCTCAGAACTGGAGGAAGATGGCTTTGATTTGCTCTGCTTGGCTCTACAGACATGTTAAAGATTCAGCATCGCTTTCACAAGGCTGGGCACACTCATTTGCTACAGTCCCCACTGCTCCCTGTCACTCTCCGCCCAATACATTTCATCTATTTTCATTTCTACTAGACTGTAGGCAACAGAGCTGGGGTTCCAGTGAAACCATTTGAGGAAGGAGGCCAGCTCCCACCTTAAACAGGTAGGGTTGACTCCACGTGACGTGTGTCTTTGGGAGGGACTTTCCACCCAGTTTGACTTAGGGAGAGAAAAAAAAAAAAAAGACTCTTACTTTTTTCACAAAATGGGGGGTCACTGCTCCAACTCAGGTCCCACTGGCAGGTGAGGGTGTCGCTGCCCACGATGTCATAGCCGGGGTCGCACTGGTATGTGATCCGGGCTCCCCTGACCAGCTCTGTGTGGGAAGTGGTTTTCCAGCCGTTCTGGATCTCAGGCAAGTCTGAGCACGAGTCGTTCCGTGATACCTCTTTATAAAACAAAACATCTTCCTTAGGTTCGGGAAAAGCAGTTAGAGGCAGGTCCACTGGAGGGGGATCCTGTAGCCTGTGGAGGATCAGTTCACAGCAGGACAACAGCTCACCACTCGTGAAAGCCACCACTGGCAAATTCTTCAGCTCAAACGGCACATTTCTGGAGAACGTTTGCCACAACCCGGGACACCCAAAGGTGTCACTGGGGTGGGATCCTCTCTCCCTCCTACAGACCTGTCACTGAGGTGGTCCAAACCCGACTCTTGCTGTCTTTGTGTGAGAGCGTATGGTGAGCAGGTCTAAAACAGTTTAATATACTTCTGGGGACAGCAGTGGCCTCGACTGTCAGGAAAGCCACCCCAAACAGCCAGAAGCGGCTTGCTCCAGGATTTCAGCACACTTTTATTTGGAGACAGGACCTCTCCCAGATGCCTGAAGGGAGGGGCCAGGGGAAAGGCTTCTTGAGTCTCCTGGATGGGAGCAGGGGCCCCTACTTTTAGGTCTCTGAAAAATCAGACAATCGCTGGATTTGGGACTCAGCTGCACATACATGCTGGAAGATGGATGGGAAGGAAGAAATGGGGCGGGTGCTGCAGGCTTTCTCTGGCCAAATGCCTTCAGACAGAAAGATCTGCTCGCCTGACCCTCAGTGGGAGCTACCATGCCACATCCTGTGGAGGACCCTGTCCCCTCCTCAGCGGCAGGAGTCACGTTGGCACCATTCTCTACCTGGGTGGCCATGGCCGAGTTACCTACACTTGCCGTGTTTCAGTTTTCAGAAGGCCACTACCAGGAAAATGGCGATTCTGCTTTCCCCAGCAGGTAGCATGGAGGCACCAAACTGCCCGTCCCTAGAGGCTCCGGAGACCAGCCTGGGAGTTAGACAACTCACACACACACTCTCTCTCATCTTCTACTTTCATAAAGTCTCATGTAGCCTGTGTCAGCTTTGAACTCACTGTGCAGCTGAAGGTGACCTTGAACCTCTAATCTTCCTGAGTGCTGGGGTCACAGCTGTGGACCACCCTGGGATGGAACCCAGGGCTTCCAGAGTGTCTTTTCTTTTTTCTCCCCTACTCCCACCCCTTTTTTTAATAGGGTGTCACTATGCAGCCTCGGTTGGCCTGGAACTTGCTCTAGAGACCAGGCTGGTCTTGAACTCACAGACATCCATGTGCGCCTGTCTCCTGAGCGCTAGCATTAAAAGCGTATGCCATCGTGCCCGGCTCTTAGGATTTCTGTTGACTGCACCAGAGCCCAGCCTGGTCCTTTTTTCTCCCTTAAGGAAGACATCCAGTTTCAGTCATGTTTGATACACATTCAGCCTCACTGGCGTCCTCTGCAGAGTGAGGCCAAGCATCACAACCTGTCTATCCCACACAGCAATGCAAGGGTTAACGAACATAGACATAGCATGTCCTGGCAACATGTATGGATCCTTCTGTGTATTCGCTTCTGGATCTGTGAAGGCCTTAGCAGGCACCAAGGATCTGAAATCATGACTTCAGGTTTATGGTCAAGCTAGAACCAGGGTCCAACCAACCTTTGGGCAAAAGAAATTCCCAGAAGCATCAAACATGTGCTGATTTCTCTCTCTCTCTCTCTCTCTCTCTCTCTCTCTCTCTCTCTCTCTCTTTTTTGCTTTTTCAAGACAGGGTTTCTTTGTGTAGTTTTGGAGCCTGTCTGGGATCTCGCTCTGTAGACCAGGCTGGCCTTGAACTCACAGAGATTTGCCTGGCTCTGCCTCCTGAGTGCTGGGATCAAAGGCGTGCACCACCTCCACCCAGCCTGATTTCTTGTTCACAGCAGACATCACTAATCAATCACTGCCTTTGAATCAAGTGGAACCCTCCGGCCTTCAGTACATCACTGCAGGGGCCACTGTCCCTTAGGTTGGACACGTAATGTGCATGACGGGACGTGGCGGTCCTGAACTGTCACAGGATGCCTGGCTTCAACTTCAGCATACAAGAACACTTTAAGACATTGCCGAAGAGCACTGGCCAGGCACCGGGTCACCTTGACCAGCCTTGGACGGAGTCAGAGCTTTGCCATCCAGCAGATGCTAGTCTGAAGGTTGCCTCTGGCACCAGGGGAACAGAGGAAGCTGAGGATGACTTCATCTTTCAGCCGGGAGGGAGAGGGAGTCTCTGGAGATAGATGGGAGCCAAGCCACCAGAACTCCTTACTCCAAAGGCTTGCTGATCAAAAGGGCGATCCTCTGTGCCCCGGAGAAGAACTCAGGAGCAGCAGCAGAAATGTTCCCAGATGTTTGTAACACAGCGAAGGAAAAAGGGCCCAAGAAGCAGAACTCAGAGGATGGATGCCTTCGTTAGCCTCTTGGAAAGAGTAATGGGGGCAGACAAGGCCACACTGAGAACCAAGGAAGATGTACTCTGCTGTATGCCCAGGCCTGAAGCATGTGAAGGAGGCTAGGCAGAGCTGCCCTGTTCAGTGACTCAGAAGAAGTGGCATCCTTAGGGAGAGCGGGCCACAGGACAGGGGACAGGGAGCAGATGAGATGTGAGAAGTTGCAAATAGAGGGAAGCGGGCATGTGCAGTGAGGTCACAGCCGACAACCCAGGAAACACCACGCCTTAGCGTTACGAGGCCTCATTTGATAAGTTCTCACATCCACCCCTTCAATGTTTCCACTCTACTCATGAGAGAAGCATGTTCAGAGTGGCTCACTGACTCCCACAAGGCCACACAGCCCTCCACAATAGTGCGAGGATATAAACCCTGGTCCTCATGACTAGAGAGCCCGTGCTCCTGAAACCACCCGGGACAGCTATGCCACTGCATTGACAGATCCACCAGCCCCAGAGCATCCACACAGATGTACCCACACTAGGAAACCACCATGCACAGTCTTCCTCCAGCACAAACAAGGTTGACGGGTTGAAATACCTACCTATATAGTTCATGATAAATCCCTGGCCCTTGCCAAAGATGAGGCCGGCGGGGTCCGAGTGGAACTGGATGGTGAGGTCTGGCGTTGAGGAGTACAGCTTCTGAGGGCTGCTGGTGCCAAAGTACTGGCCCAGGACATGGGGTACAACCTCATCGCCATCGTAGATGGTCAGGATATCGCTGTTGCTCAGGTTCAGGCTTGATGGGCAGAGAGAAGAGGAGGGAGTCACTGTAGGCTCCTGTCTGTCTGTGTAAACACCAAGTCACCTTTTCAGGGACACAGAATTCCTTCAGACATGCAATGTGTCAGGCCCTGGCTAGGAAGCAGGGATGAGGTGGTCCAGATGGCAAATGGGACCAGGGCACACTGCTCCCTCCTATCAACAGGACAGGCAGACCTGTAGACGGCTGGGTTCTGGAAGAGATCTTTGCAACATGGCTCTCCCTGTCTGAGTCTCACTGCGAAGCCAAATCATGCACAGTGACGGGCCGGCTTCCCTGTCCCATGAACAACACTGTTTTGTGGTGCATGCTGTGCTGGGCATGGGGCTACATGCTGGGCATATGACATGGGTCTGTCCCTCTTTGATGAAGAAGATGCTGAGCAAAGGTAGGGAGGTCATCGGAAGCTGGTGTTGTCCTCCAGGCCCTGCTGAGGACAGCCTGCCTGTTCATGTGGGAAAAACAAACTGTTTCTTATGATCCCTCCATCAGCAGAGTTCTCCACCATGTGCGGCAACAGTGAGGTGGGGTGCCTTGTGCAGGAACTGTGCTCAAGCCTGCTACCATGACCCTTATTAAGGGGTGATGCAAATATGTGAGTGCAGGACTAGGCCTTGCCACTGACACAGAGGATGGAGGTGATGGTTAATGATGCAGAGGGAGGGTCCAAGTCCAACTTGCCATGTCTGCCCTACCCTAGCTTGCTTGTACCATGCCCAACCTCAAAGTCTAGCCCGGGTCACACATCTGTGTTCTTGTCCAGCCTGCTGAGTCTGCCTGATCCTAGCCCATCTGTACTATCCTCCACTACCAGACCTAGCCAGAGTCTCACATCTTGAGCACCAGGGCAGTCTGCTGAGCCCGTCCTGTGTCCTTCCCAACCTCCAGGCTTGGACCCGGAAGCACATCCTCTGGACCAGCTTAGCCTGCTGAGTCTGCCTGACCCTGGTGCTTACTAATTCCCCGGCACCATATCCAACCTCCAGACCTAGCATGGTCACACTTCCTGTGCTCCACTCCCGTCTGGTGAGTCACAAGATGCTAGCCCATGCATGCCATACCCAACCTTCAAACTTAGCCCAGGTCCCACATCCCGGGCACTGGTCCAGTTGACCCTAGCCAGCTTGCAGCACACCCAACTTCCAGCCCTAGACTGGGATATACACGTCTGTGCTCCGGGGCAGCCTGGCGAGTTCTTGGCCTGCCCACACCACCCCAAACTTGAAGCCTATTGCATAGCTTGTGTGGCAGCTGAGCCGGGTGTGTGCCTAAGACCCCACCCTCACATTCCCTGGCAGCGCTCAGGTGGCAAATCCTAAGTAGATTGAACCATTTGCCCCACAGCTTTCTCCGTCACTCCTCAGTTGGAATCACCCCCATTCCTCCAACCAAAATGACCACCGAGCAACTGAAGGCATTGCCTACCAACTCCCCATGTCTGATTGATTGAGAGCAGCCAAACTCGGGCAACAATAGAAAACAACAAACAACAAACAAAAACAAAAATATACAAACAAACCCCAAACCAAGCTTACCCTCCGTAGAAGCTACCTAAAATCTCATATTGGACACATAACCGATGGAAGCCTGTGAGTCTAGGTCTTATCACAAAGACACAAATATGAAGGGCCAGTACAGTATGTCACAGTCACGCCCCACCCCCATACACCATAGAATCATTCTCCAATAAGAATTACCTAGATGACCCTCAGGACACAGAATTTACAAGAACAATCATAAAATTTAAATCAAAGAACACAAAGAATCTCAAGGGACACACAGCTTAATGAACGCGAAGAGATCAGCAACGGATGCGATGTCCGAGAAAGCACAAACATACAGCTGAGTGAAATGATGAAGACAACTGAGACTCTGAAACTCAAACTGAATGAAGAGGTAGAAATAATGAAGAAACTCAAGCTGAAGGAAATGAGGTAATCGAAAAACTCATTCACCTAATTAGAAAATGTGGTGGGAAGCTTTGTAAATAGAACGGAGTAAGTAGAAGACAGAAAATGTCAGGACTTGAAGATAAAGTAGAGATATTAGGGCCAATGGCATAGACTAGATATTTAACAACATCATAGAAGAAAACTTCCCCAAACCAAGGAAAGACACACACACACACACACACACACACACACACACACACACACACACACACACAAAACACACAGAGCACGAAATAGACAGGGCTAGAAAAGGAACTCCCACAGCATAGCATAGTTAAACACTAAAAATACAGAACAAAGAGAAGGTATTAAAAACTGCAAGAGAAAAGTCGCAAGTCACCTATTAAGGAAAAACCCAGAAAAACAACCGATTTCTCAATAGAAACATTAAAAGCCAGAATGGCCTGAAGCAATGTACTTCAGGTTCTGAATGATCACAGATGCCAGCATAGGCTATTTTACCTAGAAAAGCTACCTGACATAGTTGAAGGAGGAAAAAAAAAACTTTTCAAAATGATGTGAACAGGCTAACTCATGTCCACTAAACCCACTCTATAAGGAATACTGGAAGCAATACTTTAGACTGAACAGAGAAATAAGCTTAGCCAAGATAAGATAGAAAAGAAACAAAAATATAATTATTGAAACACAAAATAGGACTAAGAACACACACATACACACATACACATATACACACACATACATATACATATACACATATACACACACATACATATACACATATACACAGAGGCAGCACCAACACATACCTTTCTTCCCAGCCCCTCTTCTTTAGATGAGAAAGGTCTCACAGTGTAGCCCTGGCTGGCCTTGAGCTCACAGAGATCATCTGTCTCTTCCTCCATAGTAATAGAATTAAAGGTGTGTGCCACCACACCCGGCATCATATACCTTTCAATAATAACTTTAAATATTAATGGCCTCAACTCCCTAGTCAAAAGACACAGGTTGGCCGAATGCATTAAGAAATAAAATCCATCCACTCTCGTCTACAAGAAACTCATCTCGCCCTCAAAGGTTAGACCCGCCTTAACATGAACAAAAGTGTGCCATACAAATCGGACCAGGATGTGAGCGGGTATCACTGTCTTACAAGATAGAATCCAAACTGAAATGCATCAGAAGAGATAAAGAAGGACACTTCATTTTACCGAGGGAGTTAACCAAGAAGACATTACCACCCTCAACATACACACATTTAATGTCATAGAAAGTGAACAACTGGACCTAAGGAGACAGATTAGCTCCAACTCAGTAACCAATTAGTAAGTAAGTAAGAATACCCCACTTTCTCCAGTAGACAGGACATCAGAGAAACATCAGAATTAAATGACATCATAATTAGGTGGACCCAACAGTTGTCTACAGAGTATTCCACGTAGACACTGAAGAATGTACATTCTACTCAGAAGGTGATGGAAGCCTCTCTGAAATAGACCACATCACGGGATAGAAAACAAATCTTAACAAATTGAGGGGAACCGCAATAACTCTGTGTATCCTGTCTGACCACAATGCTAGAAAGCCTAAAATTAACAACAAAGGAATCTCTAGTAATGCCAGAGATTGAACAACACGTTACTGAGTGATGAATGGGCTGAAGAAGAAACCCAGAAAGAAATTTAAAACCTCCTGGAATTAAACGAAAATGAAAACGCAGCACAACAAAACCTCTGGGACACACTGAAAACAGGGTTAGGAGGGAAGTTCTTAGCTCCAAGCACTTGCATTAAAAAAAATCAGAATGAGCACTAATAAATGACTTAATGATGCTGCTCAAGAATTTGGAAAACCAGGAACAAACCAAACCCAAATCCAAGAGATGGTAAGAAATAGTAAAAGTCAGAGCAGAAGTATTAATGAAACGGAATCAAAGAAAACAGTAAAAAGAATCAATGAATCTAAGAGAAGACAAACAAGGTTGACAGACCCTTGAAACAACTAACCAAAAGAAAGAAAGAGAGAACCCAGATGAACAGAATCAGAAATGGACAGGGAAACAGTACAACAGACACCAAAGAAATTCAAATGACTATGAGGGGATACCGTAAAAACCCGTACTCCATTGAGTTAGAAAATCTACAAGAAATGGATGAATTTCTACGTTCATCCAAACTACCAAAGTTAAGCCAAGAAGAGATTAACAACCTAAACAGACCCATAACAGAAGAGGAGGTAGAAACAGTGAAGAAAAGCCTTCTGGCTAAAAACAGTCAAGGCCCAGATAGATTCACAGTGGAATTTTACCAGATGTTCAAAGAGGATCTGTAAGCAATGCGTCTTAAGTTATTAAAAAAAAAAAAAACCAGAAGGAGTATTCTCCCCAAAGTCCTTCCATGAAGCCAGTGTCACTCTAATTCTAAAAAGAGGTAAAAACACAAGAAATAGAACTACAGGCCAATATTCCTGGTGAACATAGATATAAAAGTCCTCAATAAAGTATCTTCAAATCGAATATATAAAAGATCATCCACCATGATCAAGTTGGCTTAGTCCTAGAGATATAGGGATGGCTCAACATACATAAATCAATAAATGTAATAAATCATACCAATGGGCTCAATACAAAATTCACATGATCATCTAAGTGGATGTAGAAAAGTACTTTGACAAAACCCAACATGCCTTCATGATAAAGTCCCAGAGAGAGTAGATAAATACTGTATATGACAACCCCCTGCTAACAGCATCCTAAATGGAGAAAAATCTCTAAACAATTCCACTAAAACCAGGAAGGAGGCAGGGCTGTGCACTAGCCCTGCTATTTCCAATGTCGTGCTTGAAGAACCAACCAGAGCAGTAAGACCAGAGAAGGAAATCAAAGCGATATAAATAGGAAAAGTCAAATTATCCCTACCTCTAGATGTTACGATTTTTACATAAAAGATCCCAAAACTCCACCAGAGAGCTTCTAGAAACCGAAAGAAATGAATACGTCCAGCACAGTGGCAGGGCACAGAATCCACATACACAAATCAGTAGTCCTTCCTATAATGCTGATAACGAAGACTTTGAGAAAGAAGTCGGGGAAACACTCCCATTCACAACAGCCTCAAAAATATCTAGGGATAAACCTATTCAAGGAGTTGAAAAACTTGTAGAATGAGCTTTATGTCTCTGATAAAAAGAGATAAAGGAAGACATTAGGGAAAAAAAACCACTCATGCTTCCTATCTGAACCCCACTCTACCAAAAGAAACACAGATTCCATGCAATCTCAATCAAAATTAAGATTCTCCATGACATTCTTCACAGAAATAGAAACAAAAATCCTAAAATTCATATGGAACCACAGAAGACCCCCTTGAGAACCAAAACAGGCTTGAGCAAAGAGAACAGTACGGAAAGGGTTACTATTCCAGATCTACAGTGACACAGAGGATGGAGGTGATGGCTAATGATGCAGAGGGAGGATCAGAGTCACAGAAGACTGTGCTTACATCCATCACTGAAAGACAGCATCCCAGGTAGGTTCTTTCCTTCCTTCCTTCCTTCCTTCCTTCCTTCCTTCCTTCCTTCCTTCCTTCCTTCCTTCCTTCCTTCCTTCCTCCCTCCCTCCCTCCCTCCCTCCCTCCCTCCCTCCCTCCCTCCCTCCCTCCCTCCTTCCTTCCTTCCTTCCTTCCTTCCTTCCTTCCTTCCTTCCTTTTGGGATCAGGTCTCACTGTGTAGCCCTGGAACTAGCTCTATAGACCAGGCTGGCCCCAAACTCACAGGGATCTACAGCCTCTGCCCCCACCTCCCAGTGCTGGGATTAAAGGTGCGTTAGTGACCTCCTCCTTGTCCTTCAGTCTTCTCCTGTTCACTAGTGTTTCCCAGGCACCCAGTCTGTGTCTGCACACAGAGCAGCCACGCAGCTGTGCTGAGACCCAAAAGCCCGGGAGCAGGGTAGGATTTGAGGTCAGTGGTGGCACACAGAGAAGGACATCAACTACACACGGCCTATCCCAGAAGCTCCTCCAAGACAGAATGACACCTCTCCCTGCTTCCTGCAGCTCCCTTGCACCCCCTTGCCAGGAGGCGGGAAACTTGTGCCACAAGCCAAGTGATTTCTTCCCCGGGGAAGTGCCTCGGCTGTTCCTCACAGCAGGGAGAGCCAACCAGTGCAGTGGCCATCCTGGGGGCCTCTGCTCTGCTCAGCTCCTCTGCTCCCGGGAGGTCTTTCTCCATGTCCCTTCCTAGAGCATTCATTCCAGAGTCCGGGCCTTCTCAACTTCACTTTCCCTGTAACCGCGGTACCGAGGTGTCTGTACAGGGCACCGTTCTGGGCCGCTTTCCCTTCCTAGGACACTGAGGTAGCTTGATGTGCAAGCCCCACCCTTCAACACCAGCCATGGCATCAGGAGGATGCTCATGCTCCAGGGAACCCAGAGAGCAGGGAGGGAGTCCGAACCCGGCGGAACAGACCCAGGCTGTACCCAATCCACACTGCAAAGCGAAGCCAGAAGCCTGGAGCCTCCCGGCCCTTGGCACCTGCCCAGCTCGCACAGTGTATGTCACGACTGCAAAGGGTCATCCCAGCGCCCCATAATGGCACAACTGATGTGCACGGCTGAGAAAGCCCAGGTGCTGCCCTCCGCAGGAGCCAAGCCGCTGCAGCTTTTCTTGCAACCGTGATGTACGCTACCCTATGGCTCCAAGCCCAGGGTCTATCTAGGCCCCACCCTCACCCCCTCTGCAGCCCCTGCCCGCCCTCTGGTAGGTCCTGCCTCTTTCCTCCCTCAGGCCCCTCCCATCTCTCCTGGGAGGTCCTGCCCTTCCTCCAAAGGCCCCTCCGCCCCCCCCTCCTCCCACATAAGGCCCCGCCTTACAGACCCCGCCCATCACCCTAGGCTCCTCCCATAGACCACACCCTCCCTCAGGCCACGCCCTCTCCCGCCTGGTCCTTCCTTCCCTCTCAGAGGCCCTGCCCTCCCTCCAGCAGGTGAAGCCCTCTCTCCTCACCTACTAGGGCATAGCAAGCCTGAGGACCAGAGACTCCCAGAGCATTCCATATTCTGAGCCCTCATTGTGCAGAGAACCCATTTGGTTCCAAGACTTGGACAAAGGCAGTCGGCTGTGCCAGAGCCGGAGCAATGTAGAGAAGGTGGTGACTGAGCGACCCAGAGAATGGATGGCTGGGGTCGATGAAGGACCACGCCCTGTCCCGAGGAGGTGGCGGGACTATGGAGTCCCAAGGTCAAGGCTACCCGAGCTGGGACACTCGGGGCAGACGTGCCACCATCTTTCCCCAGAGAGAAGGGACCAGGACTTTGGGACCCTCTGCCCTCCCTGCTCAGGACGAGACTGATTCCTCGACGCCTCATGAAAGGAAGTACAGGCTTCCCGTGACCAGGAAGAGGGCCATGTGCGACTTCAGGGTGAGGTGGCCAGAGATCGTAAACAAGGACCAGGAGGTGCAGAGAGAGGACCTGCTCCAATCTGGACTGCACCCCCTGGACAGGAAGTCCCTTGACATGATAAGCTTAGGCTCCTCAGAAGGCAGCGTCAGCCTCAGACAACAGGAGAGTAGCCACAGTGATTTCCAGGACCCCCAAGAAACCCCCGCCTGCTTCCTGGAGGCTCCGCACATGACCATTCTCAACAACTATCTGAAGCCAGAGTCAATGACCAGGCTGGAGAAGAGGGTGAGGAAGAAGACCGTGGTGGCCATGAATCGGCTGGAGATGGAGATGGAAGCTGCCAAGTTCCGGAGGGCAGTGCTGCTGAGGGACACAAGGGAGCTGCAGGGTGAGAGGGCGCTGGAGGAAGCGGAAGACAAGCCCTTCTTGGAGTACCTGAAGAAGAGGCACCAGATAGCCCAGGAGAAGTACGACTTCCTGTGGAATGATTACATCCAGCAGAGCCAGGAGATTGAGGACAGGAGGCAAGAGCTGGCCTCTGACTTCACCTCCCGCCAGGCTGACTTCCAGAAGCAGCTGGTGCGGGGCAGGAGGCTGGAGGCCAGTTTGAAGAGGAAACTGAAGGCCCTGGAGCCCATAGCAAAGATAAAGCAGAGCCAGGACGAGGAGAAAAAGGTCCTAGAGCTGGAAGAAGCTAGCATCGTGTCTGACATCCCTTTCATGGACCGAGAGGCACACCTCCAGTTCCTGAAGGAAAGGGCCGACCTGCAGAAGCAAGTGGAGGAACTGAACCTGCTGGAGTCAGGAGAGGACATCACCAGGGAGCTGAAGAAGAAGACCAAGGCCTTGGAGGCTAGGGTCCAACAGGCTCACAGGGCCTTCTGCAAGGGTGTCATTGCTGAGAACAGGCAGCTGCGAGCAGAGATCCAGCAGCTGGATCAGGAATTCTGCAAGCTGGAAGCCATTAGGGAGAAGCTGGAGCAGCGGAAACAGCAATGGAAAGAGCAGCAGTGGTACCTGGAGGCCCTGGCCCGGGGGAGGCAGCGCCTATGGCAGATGGAGCACCGCCCCCCGAAACCACAGGCCACCCCACACCCAACCCAGGGCCGTCTACGGGGTGCCAGGCCGAGAGCCACTCCAAAGTAATGGCTGCCGTGTCCCAGGAAGGAGACTGGAGCTCAAGTTGGGAGTAGCACACAAGACTTGAAGATGTCATCAGGATAATGCACGGGGAGCAGACGCACCAAGGGGATGGAGGGCTGAGCTCCTCAGAGAGGCAGAGGGGCCCTGGCCTGGCCTGTCTCTCAGGCTTGGGCCCCTCACAGCAGCCTGAAGGGCTCTCCTAACCAAAAGCTTCCCAGCATATGGGAAACTTGGTTCTTTAGACTCCATGCTCTCCTTGACAACAAGTTCCCTGTGGTAGTATAGACTTTGGTGCTCAATCCCTGCTCTAGTGTGGACCTCATGACAACAGGGTGCATTTGTAATCAGCACCTTCCATACAGTCACCCCATCTCACAGTAGTGGGAGTTGTGTCACAGGTGGGTGCAGGGTGTTCTCTGGGGGAAATGGGTTCTTCGCACTTGTGCGTGGCTGAGGCTGGATTGGTCTGCAGAGCTGTGGGTTGTGATGTGGCCTGTGGCCCCGGGTTTGGGTCCTGTGATCCTGTGTGACAAAATATAGACAGCTCTCTGAGTCCTGGGTGTTGCTGCAGACAAAAAGCCTCAGCATTACACTGTAGATTTTTAACTTTTACTTAGCTATAAAATGAACTCATTTAAAACTGTGCTGCAAATGAAAATGAATGTACCTTTGGTTTACAGATTTTGCTTGCATGTGAAATGTTTTGTTCTTAAACCATGTTATTGAAAAATAAGAGCCTGGCTGTGACTGTTCACAATAAAAATCTGTTTATCGTTATCCAAGCACACAGCTCCTTCTTTTTATGTAGAACAAATAACTGTGGGGGACTTAAAATGAAAGCTGCTTGCACCCTTGAAGCCCCTTGGCTACTACATGCAGATCGCTAAGGGATAATGGAATGAAGCCAGGCTGAACTCTGCTGCTGCCGGAACCTCTGACTTAACTACGAAGTCGGTATCAGGCAGGGCTGTCCGGGATCCACCTGCTCCCTTGAGCCTCACCCAGCTCTTTGAGGAGCAATTGAAGTGTTTGGACTAACTCAAGCACTCTACCCAGAAACCTTTATCTGGCTCTTCCTCCTTGTTATTGAGCACCTACTGGGTGCAGGGGAACGTGGTAACTCCACAGATTCAACACAGTAGGATTCAGGGGACCCCTGGCTACTTGGAAACAGGGGACAGGAGTCCAGGACCGACACCCTTAGACATACGCACGCCAGACAGAGAGCTGCTTTAGGAGAGGCTGGCTTAGGCTTTGCTGAGGAAACTGGTGGACATGATGAGGACTGGTTGAAATCTTCCCTAAAGCCACCAGACTGGCCTAAGTCTTCATGAGGTGCAGAGGCAGGTGTTAGGTGAGGTACGGGGGGTCAGTATCACATGACCTCCCAGCCTGCACCAGCCACCCTCTCTGCCATCTTCATCCAACTCCCCGTGCAGCATTTACTGTTCTGTGTGCCGTGTCCACCCTCATGTGGGCGTTTCCAGTGGTCAGGACTGAGCAGCAAAGGATCAAAAACCAGTGAGCAGCACCCCTCCATGGCCTCTGCATCAGCTCCTGCTTCCAGGTTCCTGCCCTGCTGGAGTTCCTGTCCTGACTTCCTTCAGTGAAAGGAATAAGCCCTTTCCTCCCCAGCTTGCTTTTGGTCCTGGTGCTTCGCCATGGCAATAGAAACCCTTACTAGGACAGGACCCTAACTGACTGGATTTTCACCTGTTTCAGCATTGGCATGGGCCCCATCACCTGGTTCCATGGAAGCCTATGGGAAGCATGATGGTTCCAACATTTCCCTGGGGCTCCTGTTGCTGCATCCCCATTTTTCTTGGACCTGAATGTTACTGGATAACTGATGATACTTCAGGCACCCTGCACACAGGATGGACCACAGCATCAAATCTTCTCCAGATGGACCTTGCCCTAGGCACAGTCACAGTCCTGTTCCGGGGGCCTCTCCCTCACTTCGCACACCCCCCCATTCCTCCTCAGGGCCATCACCACAGCAGCCCCACTGGACCCATCAACAATAGCTTCAGAGCAGCAACGCTTCCTGCAGCGGGGCAGCGTTCAAACGGCAGTCCACTTTGGTTGATTGTTTCCAGGTTGCAGACAGGGAAACTGAGGCTCAATTGGGAGAAGTCGTTTGCCCAGGCCGCAGGAAATCAGATCTAGGGCTCACGGAAAGCCTGTCTGTGCTGAGTCTGGGTTCTTAACTAGCAGTTCACACCATGCTCTGGGAAAGCCACAGGTCCATGTCTTCAAGAAGTGTGTCTGGCTCAGCTCTGTGTCAGAAAATGGGATCAAACCGTTACAGGTGACACCATGAGGTTGGGTCCCACTGCTCTCGAACATCGTCACAAACACGATGCTGTCTGGTATCAGGTGTCCAGCCTTGCTTCTTAAGGCGCTGGCTGCTCTCTGGGGAAACCCTGCATCACTTTACCTCATTTATTATATATTCCTTGGTAGTAATTAACTTCGTTTCATGTGTTGCTATGAAGAGTGCCTAACAAAACCAATGTGAAACTCGTTAAGTCTGGGTGCCTTTATTTTGGTAAATAAGCCATCTGTGCTGGGTTTTTTGGAGGTGTTTTAGAGGCATTCTGAAAGATAAGGATGAGAGTAATATGACAATGCCTTTGTGGGGAGGAGCTGGCTTCATGTGGCAGGGGTCGGGGGTGGGTAATCCTTCCAAAAGTCTGTCTGTGCCTTTGAACTCTGGATCGCGTGGATGCACTGCCCCTTCAACAAGGATGCAAACGGCCCGCAAGAAGGTCATGCATCGTAGCTTTCACTGTGGTCCTGAGTGAGGTGAGGTCAGGACATCGGTGAAAATTTTCACCTGCCAGGGCTTCCAGCCCGGCTCTGGGACTAGAATTCTCCCCATTGCCAGCAGAGGGCAGTGTTCGGGCTTCTTACCCCAGCCAGGTGTGGAGGAGGTGCAGGGAAAACGCCTTAGGTGAGGTTTGTAGCTATGCACCTGGAGTTTGCCTTCCATGGTATTCCTGTGTAGGAAGAAATGACGATCCAGCCGTCCTGTCTCCCTCTACCCCTTCCAGACAAGTGTTGGACCCTTACGTCGTTATCATGCCCTTGAAAGGTCGTCCAAGAGGCATTTGCAAGATGATTTAGGCAGGCAAACAGGGAAAACCGCCAAAGCTTACGCACTTATTTAAATGTGAATTATATACACGCATACACATGATTCATCCATCAATCTGCTAATTTCAGTGGAGAGGCAAGTCCATTTATATGCACCCTTAAGGCACTCAAAAGCAGCTGGGAATAGAACTGGGCTGTGAAAATAACAAAATGCAGAACAGCCACAGAACAGGCCTGTTTTCTTAGTCCATTCTCCAGCGAGGTCCGGAGTTGGGTCTCATGTTTTATCAAACGTCCGCAGCAGGGGACTCTTGGAGGTCCTAGATCTGCCTCCGGGCTTCCGCAATGCATCAGTTCTCCATTGCTGTCACATTCTGACAAGAAGATCCTCAAGCGAGGATGGGGGTACCTTTTTTTTGTCTCCCAGGTTAAGAAGGGACACAGTCCATCGCAACCAGGAAGCATGGCAGCAGAAGCATGTGTCATCTGGTCACATGGGGTCTGCACTCGGGAAGCAGAGTGTGGACAGGAAGTGGGGCTGACTACAGAAAACTCAAAACCCACCCCCAGTGCCTAACTTCCTCCACGGAGTTTCCACTTCCTAATGGCTCCACAACTTTCTAAAATAGCATTAGCGGTTGGGGACCAGGTAGTCAAACACACGAGTCTGTGGGGGCCATCTCACAATCACATCACGACATTACGTCCCCAATGATGACCATATAGTCTCATGGCCATCTCAGGCATCCACCCCAACCTCAAAACTCCCCAGGGTCTTTTAGTGGTCCCTTAGCTGTGTAAGGTCAAAAGGCATGGTCCATATGTCTAGCATAGGACGGTTGAGTGAATGTTCACATTGCAAGCAGGAGGGCACAGCAAGAAAAGATCAGACCAAACCCTCCAGCTTCATGTCAGGCATCTGGGGCTCATGATGGGATATACTGGGTCCCAAAGGGCTTGGGTGTCCTTCTCTGCTTCTACAACCTGCAGCACCCAGAACCTCTCCCTCGGTCTGGCTCTATTCTATGCCTGCAGCTTTCCTTGGTGGATACCCCATGGTCCTGGCACTTCCAGTATCCCACAGTCTCCATCATAACTTCATCTTTATTTTCACATCTTCACGCACTGGCCTCTTGGGCCCTCTTTGCAGAGACTCTGATCCTGCCTCACATGGCCGGGCCTCGGTGGCTGTCGGGAATCTTCACACAAGCCTCTAGGACTCCTTCACTACAAGGAGTCTCTTCAGGCCATTCTTAGTTCAGGCTCTTTTTAAAAAAGCATTTGCATGCTCACAATTGGGAACCTTCGTGGCGGGCTCTTCTCTCACAGTGCCTTTCTTGTTAACCTGTGCGGAGCAGGGTGGTTTCTGACAGGCCCAGCCTTTGCACGGCTCCACACCTCACATCTTTCTGGTCGCTCTGCAGTACCTGGTGCTCTCTCTCTCACTGCAGACACAGATGAGAGTATCAGCCACGCCACAGATCCTGTAATGCTTGATTCCAGCCTCACTCAAGTTCTCAGGACATAGGCAACATGCAGGTCTTTACCCTCATGTCACACAGGCGACCTCTAGCCCAGTTCCCATGGAGCTCTTAAGTCCCCGTGCTGGCTGGTTTCAATGCCAGTTTGACACAGGCTAGAGTCATCTGAAAGGAGGGCGTCTCAATTGAGAAAGCGCCTCCATAAGATACAGATGTAAACCGCCGGGCGGTGGTGGCACATGCCTTTAATCCCAGTATTCTGGAGGCAGAGGCAGGTGGATCTGTTCTAGTTTGAAGCCAGCCTGGTCTACAGCATGAGTTCCAGGACATCCAGGGCTACCCAGAGAAATCCTGTCTCAAAAAACAAACAAAAAAGGAAGCCATGTAGAACAAGCCAGTAAGCAGCACCCCTGCATGGCCTCTGCATCAGTTCCTGCCTCCAGGTTCCTGCCCTGCTTGAGTCCCTGTCCTGACTTCCTTCAGTGATAGACAGTGAGTGATAGGGAAGTATAAGCCAAATAAACCCTTTTCTCCCCAAGTGCCTTGGTCACGGTGTTTCATCACAGCAACAGAAAGCCTAAGACAAGATGGTACCAGGATATTACCTGGTATTGCTGTGACAGACTTGGCCACGCTGCTTTGGGGAGGATTGTGGAAGGACTTTGCAACTTTGGACTAGAAATGCCACTGAGTGTTGAGAGCTCAGTGAGCTGTTCTGAGGAGCTTGGAAGATAAGAATGTTGAGAGCAGTGCAGATGAGGAAGGCCTGGCTTGTGAAGTTTCTGAGGGAAGCAAAGACTCTACAGGGCCATTTGTGTGAAGCATCTGTGGTGTCTGGTCAGCTGGGGCTGAAGAATCAGCTGTGATTAACAGGAGACCAAAACCACTGAAGTGAAACCTTTGCTTTGCTGGGACGATGGATGCTGCTCAGCTGGGGCTGAAAAATCAGCTGTGATTAATAGAGACCAGCATCCGTGAGGTGAAGTCTTCTGGGAAGGGTTTCCTCGGGGTCAGCACACAGAAGCTGTGTTCCAGAGGCAGCCAAGGTTGCACCTCGTGCTGGTAGCTGGACTTGGTCATGTAAGAGTCACCCAGGTGGTGCTGGTTTGGAAGGCATGAAGGGGTCATGGAGAGCAGCTGAGGCTTGGCACTGTGTGGCGGGGCTGGAGTCCCTGAAGAGAGCCCAGGAGAGGCTATTGGTGAAAGTGCAGCCCAGTTGCAGCAGAGACCCCAGCATTTTGGAGATGCCAGTACCATGGGAACCACCAAGGACAGCAGCAGCTGTGGAGTGGAGCCAGCCTGAGCCTAGAAGACAAGCTGTGTGTGCTGCAGAGGGCGGAGCCGGAGAAGTGACCCAGGCCCTTGGGAGGAGCCCAGAAGACTGTGAGTGAACCCCAGGTAGTTAACTGGTCATTGTCTCTGCCCCCGCCCCCCCACAGGATCACTGAGATTATAGAAACACGCCAGCACACCTGGCTTTAGAGGCGCTCTGGGGACTTGAACTCAGATCCTCACCCTTGGGCGGCAAGCACTTTCTCCACCAAGTTGTCTCTCGAATAAGGTAACATGCGAAAAGAGCCAATCATGGCCCAGGGGCGAGGGGCTCACACTGGAGACCTGCAGAAGCTTGACCCCAGCCAGCGGTGGCTTCCCCCACCCCCAGACTCTGTGCCGTCACGCCGGTGCCCCTCCCACGGCACGCCACCACTGTCTGGCCCCACAGTGCTGGAGGCCGCATCTCCCCTTAGCTCCCCTCTGACATCTGTGCCGGGGAACACGTAGCCCTAGAGCCCTGGGAGGAGGGGAGCAGGGGTGCGGACGTTCAGTCCAGCTGCCTGAATAACCAGAAGAGAGGGCACCTGTGCTTGGTGATGCCCCGCCCGATGCCGGTGCCACGGCCTGGCCGTGGGAGAGGACTCTGAGTTAATGGTTTGAGCTCCTCAATGCATGGGCTTCAAGATGGAAATAAAGCCCAGTGTGGTGCCAAGCTCAAGGTTAATGGAATATTTCGTGCGCAGCAAGGATGAAAGGAGATTCCACTTTCTCTCTGTCCTCAGCCGGGCTGAGACACCGACAGATGTGGCCAGGTGGATGTGGGCAAAACTGCACATCTTGGAGGCTTCTAAAGGAGAGGAGGCAGAGATAGGCAGAAATGGGGGAGGCGGGGGAGGCGTCCTCAACAGCTTACTGGGTGGGGCTCGAAGCTGGGTGGGACTCCCTCCAGGAAAGCAAGAACCGGGAAGTCAAATTTTCCTTTTCCCCCTGAAGCTCAGGGGGTTTGCCTGGTAACTTCTTCAGGGAAATGTTCTCGTAAGTGGAATCGTGTGTTTTTAACTTATCACAGGAGCAATAGGGAGCCACAGCAGGCTTCTGAGAGCAAGGGGTTTGTGTGTGTGTGTGTGTGTGTGTGTGTGTGTGTATGCTGCACGTGTGTGCCCATGTATGTGCGTGCATGTAGAGGACAGAGGTTGGTGTCAAGGGTCGTCCTCAACTGCTCTCCACCTTATATACTGAGGCAGAGTCTCTCACTGGTTAGTCAGCTTGCCTCGGGGATCCCCGTCTCTCCTTCCCTGGTACTAGGATGACAGGTGGGCTGCCATGGCCAGGTGGCATTCGTATGAGTGTAGATCTGAACTCAGATCCTCAGGTGTGTAAGGCAAGCCCCACTGGGCCATCTTCTCAGCCCCCCCATGCCACTCTAGAATGCAGTTTTTTCCCTAAAGCTTCAGAGATGACCCCCAGCACTGGTCCTTTCTTTGACGGACACCCCCAGCATTGGTCCTTTCTTTCTGGGACGCTTGGCCTCTCTCTCTTCACCCACTTTCCTTCTTTTCCATCCTTTCTTGGAAAATGCGGCCTCCTCGCCACCCTTCTTGATTCATCCAGGCTCCCTGGCTGCCCGTCCACCATTCAAGACTATTGCCACTCTGTGCGAGGCCCGCCTCCAGGAATCACAGACATCGATGTCCCATGACCCCCACTGAAGATGAAAGAAACTGCAGCCAGAGAGAAGGCCTGGGTCTCACAGCTGGGGAGAAAAGGAGGTGGAATTCTGTCCCTGGCCCGTGAGATCAGCTGTTCAAGATTTGTGGGGCTTTTGGCTCAGCTGGAGCGGGAAGGTCAAGGTCAAGCTCCAGGGACAGCTTTACATGACGGTCCAGTCACACACACACACACACACACACACACACCCCTTGAGGAATAAATAGAAGATCCAGAAATGAACCCACACAGTGACAGCCATGTGATCGTTGACAAAGGTGTCCAAATCAGACACTTGAAAGAGAAAAAAAAACCTTCAACAAATGGTAGGGGAAATTTGTAACATAACAGAAAAGGATCTATACCACCCTCCAAAAAAAAAAAAAATTGATACATCATGGATCAAAAACTTCACTTTAAGACCAGAAATGGCAAATGTTAGAAGAAAACACCCCAAGATACTGGCACAGAGAAGGGCTTTAAAACCAGCAAGAAGCAAGAGACTGGACTTTATTGGACCTGAAAGCGAGAGAAGCCGCCAGCCGAACTAAGGGATGGCAGTCGGAGTGCTAGCTCTGTGCCAACGTCACGTCAGAGGATTGATAGCTAGTGTCTGTAAAGACCATGAGAAATAAACATCCCCCAATAACCTGATCAATCAGTGAGCGCATGAACCAAACAGACAGTTCTCCAAAGACAAACAATAAAGACGAGAAAAACCGTTCGGTGTCCTTAGTCACAAAGGAGAGACAAATGAGGAATCCATCTCTCCTAGTCAGAATGACAACACATGCTGACTCGGATGTGGCGATGGGAAACTTCGTCATGGCAGGTGGGGGCTGCGCCAAGACAACCACGGCTCTCCAGAAACCGAAGGTAGAACTCCAGGCCGTTTTCCGGGTAGACCACAAATGACCTAAGTCAGCCTTGTGCAGAGAGTTCATCCATCCAGGCACAATGGCCGAGTGATGTGGCTAGCTTAGGTATCTGTGCCCAGATGTGTGGATAAAGAAAACGTGGCGTGTTTACACAACAGACTGTGTTCAGCCATAAGGAAAAACGCAATGACGTCATTTGCACAAAAATAGATGGAATTGGAGACCATCGTGTTGAACAGAATAGCCAGATTCAGACAAATGCAACATTTTCTCCCATATGCAAAATCTAGATTTTTTTTTTTTTTTTAGGATAAGAGGGACTTTTTGAGGAAAACTGAAAGAGTGGATGGGGGGCAAATCAGGGTGTGGGAATGGATCTGGTCAAATTGTATCAGAGACACCACAGCAACACCCATCCATCAGCGTACCCAATGAATATACACTACAAAGATTATTCACTGCGAAGATAACTAGTAGGCACGTGGGACCTGTCTGTGGCTCACAGAGCCAGAGGCCCTTGGACTCCTGCTCCTGGCCTCTTCCCAGCTACCTGGCTCTGCCAGAAAGACTATTTCTCCAGACACCACCATCTGTCCCTGTCCCCATCTCACAGAGGGTAGTGGGAGGAGGCGGCTGAGAGGCCTCCAGAGGCTCTCTCTCTCTCTCTCTCTCTCTCTCTCTCTCTCTCTCTCTCTCTCTGGAAGCTGTCCTCCAGGCAGGGCTATGACCTCAGACACAAGCACCTAGAGCTAGCACCTTCACTCTGGGTTCAGCGTTGCCCTCCTGGGGTGCTGGGGGCTGTGTTCCCCATGGGCACGTTGTGGTTGTGCCCAGGGAGTGTGGGAAGCAGCCTAGGGCAGCAGCTGTCCCCATTCATCCAACATTTCCAGCCATTTGTCACTTCCTAGTCACCTAACGTAGTCCAAGGTCTGGCCGATGAAGACCAGACCCTGACTGACGGGGACAGCTGCACTAGCCGTGGAAGGCAGACAAGGAGAAACTATAGTGGGGTGGGGGTACATGGCACAGCACCCTTCATTCCCGCCCACATGAGCCATTTGCTCCTTCAAAAACGGGGGGCTGCCACGATGGCTTGGTGCGTAAAGGCACCGGATGGCAAGTCTGACAACCCCCGTCTGATTCCTGGGACCCACAAGTTGACCCTATGACCGCCTCACACTTGCTGTGACATGCACGCCCCAACCTCCACTCACAATAGATATGTAAATAAATAATAGAAATAAAACAAAAGGACCTCCGCACATCTCGCTCCACCCCATCTTTAGTCTGAGCTTTGCCGCGGAAGCCTTCCTCCCCTCCTTTATGTCAGATCCCCGGCCGCCCACGACCCTCCCTTACGCTGTAAACTGAAGCCACGATGTGTGGATTATCTGTGCACACCCTCCCTGAACTTCAGCCACCTTAGAAACGAGTTCATGAGACTAGGGACCGCTCTCTTCGTGTGCTGCTGGCTGTGTTGCTGTGGCAACCCCGGGGCTCTGCAGCTCCCTGGCAAGTACTAGATACTCAGTTAATCCTGACTGAAACAACAAAGCAGGAACCCGCTCCTCCCCACCCGCCTGCTGCGGTGGGCCTGGGTGAGGGGCGCTTCAAACACTCACAACTGGATGTCCAAGAAGATCCGCTTCTCCTCCCCCACGTGAATCTTCCACACACAGTCTTCGCCTTCTGCATAGGGCTCTGGCCAGTTTGGAGACAGCACCACTCCAGCCACGGCAGAGAGCTCCCCACCACACATGGCTGTAACAGACAGACAGACAGACAAGAAGACAGACAAGAAGACACCATTGTGAGGAAGCCAACAGAGCATAGTGGTTGGGAGTATGGGGGATGAAGTTGGCATCTGTGGGTCCCTGTGCAACATGACTATGCACCCACATGGGGTGGAGCTGGGGACAGCATGTGTGTATATGTGCATGTATATACCTGCATATATGTGTGTGTGTGTGTGTGTGTGTGTGCATGTGTGTGCATGTGTGTACCTGTGTGTGGAGACGGCTGGCCTCATCTGCAGCTCCGAGAGGGCGGAGGTTGACAGTGTCTTCCCCACTGAGGACAGCTCACACTGTTCTGCTACCTTTGGATAAGGTGTGTATGGTCTCATAGCCTCGGCTTCCTTCCTTGTGTGGTCAGGAAATGCCCTTGCCGGCCCACTGTCATACGATGGAGCATGACCGAGCTCACCACATCAGCTTGCGGCACCTCCCCTGGACCCACTGAATGCCCAGATGGCAACCAGGCCCAAGGTTCTGAAAGATTTGGCCTGGACCAGAAGCGGAGATATGGCTTTCTCAGTTCTACTCTGTTTACTGCCTTGGAAAGTCCTCAGTACAGCAGAGGCTGAAGCCTCAATAAATGCTGCTCTGTTAGTGTAACACATTTAATTCAGGGGCCATTCCCTCACCAAGGCAAGGCTGTGACTTCATGCCAACTGCCAGGTGGTTGCCGGGAGTGAGGACACCCTTTATTCCTCCGTATACCAGAGCTCAGTGGCCTTGGATACAGGGACTGGGGAGCCAGTGGGGGTGGGGGTTGTCACATCCAACATCGTCCAGGCCCTGAGAACAGGGAGGCGAAACTCACTCTGCCTCTTCCAGTGACCCTAGAATGGGCTTGGGCGTGCACCTTCCTTCCATGTCTGATTCATCATCATGAACGGGGCTGGTATCTACTGTGTGTGACTGTAGAGACGGTGTCGTCCTGAGGGACATGCAGCCCTCAGCAGGGTGATGGTCCTTCATGAGACCCAGAGCTGCCATGTGCTGTTGACTGGGTTGTGCACTGAGGCAGCATTATGAGGCAGGGGGATTATATAGGATCTGACACCAGAGAGGGCTCTCCTGCACTGCAGGTCTTGGGCCAGCAGGAAAGAGCAAGCTCCTAAAACGGACCGTTTTGTGACTCCCCAAGAACCAACAGCAACCAGATCCAGAGGACCGTTGGAAAGGGTCTCATGCTAAAACCAGTGTGTCGTGCGGCCAACATCTTCCAGGCTGGGGCCTTGTTCTTTGCAGCCGGTGTTGTGGGAGGTGGTGACTCACCTCTGCACAGCGGCTCTGTGTCGTTCCAGTACGGGTCACGCATGTTGACACACTCAATGATGGCTGGGCCCTGCTCCAGCGAGTGGCCCGGGTCGCAGGTGAACTCCACAATGGTGCCGATGTTATAGGTGGGGTCTGAGGTGGTGAAGTTCCCGTTCTGGATGTAGGGTTCATAGCAGTGACCTTTCTCAAAGGCTGAGGTGGGGACACAGAGAGCGGTAGTGGCCAGATGAGGTAAAGGACACCCTTTACCATTCAAAGAATAGGCACCCCAGAGCTAGGCCTGGAGGCTCACATCTCTATTCCTAGCTCTAGAGAGGCCAAGACAGGCTGTTCAAGGCCAGCCTAGGCTACATAGCGATTTCCAGGATAGCCTGGCCTACTGAGTGGGACCCTGCCTCAGAACAGAATGGTGCCTCTGACCTGGGCCAGGCACCTGGACTCTTGGGGCTTCATTTTTTCTGATGCCCATTAGACCTTCTGCCTCCAGCCCTGAAGAAATGCAGTGTTTTCATTTCCATGCCTCAGCACTCTGGGTCCTGTCATCGGACACACAATGTCTGGCCCTCATTAGGACCACCCACTCCTGGGGAAGCCTGAGATACAGTCCCTAGGTAGGTAGGGTACATGGAATACCATGGTCGAAGCAGGAGACCATGCTGTTCTTGGAAGGAAGAAGAAAAGGAAGGGAGGAAGGGAGGGATAGACAGATGGATGGATGGAGGGAGGGGGTGTACCAGGTGCCAGCATAAGAGGTGCTTAGCAGGACGATGGCATTAATAAAACTGAAAGCCCCTCTTGGAAATCATGGGCTAGTCTGGCACTGCATCTCTCACCTTTATACCTCTATATCCCCATCCCAGGCCCAGGTTCAGCTCTACATACTTTCCCCACTCCCAGGCTCCACCTTACAAGAAGGGGGTCCCTCACCCTCAAAGCGGATGTTGAAGGCGGAGGCTGCCTGGCCTTGGTCAGATGTGAACTCGATGCGGATGCTGCTGCCCTCGCTCAGCAGGCCCTCGAAGGGCACGCTTTCTGTTCGGAGCGAGTCGTACAGGAGGGCCGATGTGTTTGTCCGTCCGCTGTAGACAGTCATCCTGGCCGGAGAAAGGACAGAGGGGTGCTGACATGTCTTCTCGGGTCAGTGACACTGCGGCCAGAGGGGAGAGGGGTGCGTGGGAATGCTGATCTGTCTGAACTCAAATCCCGCCTCTTCGGTCTTCCCTGTTCCTTACAAAAATGGAGACTGCCTGCTCCTCCTGAGTCCCTCAGGGATGCAGGGTGGGTTGTGAGTGAGGGGGTGACCCAGGGTAGTCACTGTGTCATGGGTTACTCTCCTGAGAGGTGGGGTTTGGACAGCAGTGCAGTCAGGTGATCCCAGTGAAGGTTACTGTTGCTGTGATGAAACACCACAATCAAGAGTAACATGGGGAGGAAAGGGTTAATCTGGCTTACACTTCGGCTTTGCTGCTCATCACTAAAGGAAGCCGGGGCAGGAGCTCAAAACAGGGCAGGAGCCTGGAGGCAGGAGCTGATGCAGAGGCCATGGCGGGTGGGGGTGCTGCTCACTGGCTTGCTCCCCATGGCTTGCTCAGCCTGCTTTCTTATTAGAACCCAGGACCACCAGCCCAGGGACGGCCCCACCCACCATGGGCTGGGCCCTCCCCCATCAGTCACTAATTGAGAAAATGCCTTACACTGGATCTCATGGAGACATTTTCCTCAACTGAGGCTCCTTCCTCTCTGATGACTCTAGCTTGTGTCAAGTCGACATAAAACCAGCCAGTACACAGGTGACATCCCACTCTTCATTAGCTGTCTGTCTTAGCTCTGCAGGCTAACGTCTGTCACTGGGTGGGCACCCAGTGTCCCACTCAGAGCCTGGCTTGCTGTCACTGAATATTACAGGGCCTGAGTGTAGAACAGTGTCATTTGGGGAACTCCTGTGAAAATGCTCCTCTATGCCCCACATCGCTCTGTCCTGGCCGTAGAAGCAAGCTGTCACCCTTGAGGATGCCTTGAAGACAGACTGGGCTTCTCTTCCCAACCTCTGCCCCCTCTTCCTCTGAGAGCCTCTGCTTCAGCCCCGATGGGTTGCATGACTTTCTTCCTTGATCTCTCTCTGTGTCCCCCTCACACCCCCCAGTTCTACCAGCCGGGAGCTCCTGTGCTTTGGGGTCCTTTTAGTGCAATCCTCTGAAAAGTTTCCATCCCCCTTGTTTCTGGGTAGAATCTTGTCAGGGATCTGAGTTCATATAACTCACATCCTGGGACATGTAAGCTATTTTTTTCAATAAAGTGCATAGGGTACACGAAACTGTCCAGGCAGTATCTTCAACCACTACAGACACTGGAGGGCTAGGATCTCTGGGGCCAGCTCGGCTTCTCTGTAGGTGCCCTGGACAACAAGCTGAGCGGACTGTCTCTGGATCATTTGTCAGAATCTGAACAGCTTTCAGAAAGTTCCCGTTTTGATCTGTCTCTCTGTCTCTCACTGTATTTGTCTCTGTCTCTCTTTGTCTGTCTGTCTCTGTCTCTCACTATATCTCCTCCCAACCCCTGCTCCTGTTATCACTCAGGTCTTGTACATGCCAGGCTCTACCATCCACAGCCCTTGGTGGTATATATGCTGGCCCTGAATTTCCAGCCCTCCTCCCTCAGCCTCTTGAGTGCTGGGATTACAGATGCATGACGCCATTCTTGGCTTTCTCATTCTTTTTCTTTTCTCCTCTGCCTCCTTCTTTTCCTCCTTCTTCTCTGACAGAGTCTCTGTATGCATTCTTTGTTTTGAGACAGGGTCTCACTAGGTAGTCCTGGCTAGCCTGGAACTCACAGAGACGTGGCTGCCTCCACGTCCTAGCGCTGATTTTAAAGATGTGCACCGTAGTTCTTTTTTTTTTTTTTCTTTTTGAAGATTTATTTTATGTGCACGTGTGTGCGCTTGCTCGTGTGTCTGTGCACTGTGTGCATGCAGGTGCTCTTGGAGGCCAGAAGAGGGTGCCAGGTCCCCAGAACTGAAGTTACAGAACACAGGCAGATCCTCTGCAAGAGCAGGGAATGATCATAATCGCTGAGTGTCAGTGTAGCCTGGCTTTCTCATTCTCGTCTGCAATAACTGCCAGCCCTGTTCACCTCCAGTGTCACACAGGACAGGCAGACTGGAAATGACTGCTTGAAAATGTCCATTAGCAAGGTGTGCATGCCTAGCTATGTACGGGCCAGTCTTCTTGGGAAGGGCTGCAATCTGACACTGGAGCACCACAGTGATGCTGGAGCACCCCAGTGACGCTGGAGCGCCCCAGGTAACACTGCAGCACCCCAGTGATACTGCAGCATCACATCCCAGTGATGCTGGAGCACCCTGAGTGACACTGGAGCCCCCCAGTGATGCTGGAGCACCCCAGTGATGCTGGAGCACCCCAGTGATGCTGGAGCACCCCGGTGATGCTGGAACACCCCGGTGATGCTGGAGCACCCCAGTAATGCTGGAACACTCCAGTGACACTGGAGCATGATGCTGGAACACCCCGGTGGTGCTGGAACACCCCGGTGATGCTGGAGCACCCCAGTAATGCTGGAACACTCCAGTGACACTGGAGCATTCTGGGTGATGCTGGAGCACCCCAGTTACTCTGCTGAGAATCTGTGGGAGAGCCCTCCTCCCTTTCACACTTCACACTGGTTGGTGACTTTTTGACATAAACCTACTCTATGTCAGATTCTAGAATTCCAAAGTATTTGTGATCTGCACAGCTACCAAGGTCCTACCCCTCCACATCCCTGCAGCTCTGGTTGTCCCTGAAGCCTCCACTGGTTCCTCTCCGCTCAAGCCCCAAGGTCTGTAGCCCACCCAGCTCATCAAAGCGGGAATGCGAGGCTGGAGAGACTGTGACCGTGAACACAGTGACTGACAGCTTCTCTGGATAAATTCACGGGCTCCTTCATCATTCCAGTATGTCCACTGTTAGGTCCTGGGGGCTAGAATCCCAGCTGTCCTGGGATCTGCTGATCACTCATACTGCATTCCCTTCCTGCAGTTTCCATGACACCCCACTGATTACCAGGGTGTGGTGGTTTGGATTACTTGGCTCCCATAAACTCACAGGGAGTGGCACTATTAGGAGGTGTGGCTTTGTTGGAGGAAGTGTGTCACTGTAGGGTTGGGCTTTGAGGTCTCCTTTGTTCAAGCTTCGCTCAAGGTGACACTGAGACCACTTCCTGTTGCCTGCAAGATGTAGACTCTCAGCTACTTCTCCAGCACTGTGTCTGCCTGCACACTGCCATATCTCACTGTGATGATAATGGACTGAAGCTCTGAAACTGTAAGTGAGCCACCCAATTAAATATAAACGTTTCCTTTATAGGAGTTGCCGTGGTTATAGTGTCTCTTCACGGCAACAGAAACCCTAAGACACAGGGCAAACTCCCCTCCCCCACATCCCCATCCCTCACCTGCTTTCAGAACACAACCTAAGACAGGCTCTGGTTTTCTAGAATGTTCTAGAATAAGGCCCTAGAATATTAGTCTTGAACCTGGATTTCTCATGTTTATTTATGGTCTGCACCCACAGGCCCAGCAGATCTGTTACCTGCTCCTGCCTGCCTTGCTTTCTCCAGCCCAGAGTTTCTTCCATCCCTGCTTCTGTCTTCCCAGGAGCCAAGGCTGTGTGTGCTGGGCCTGTTCTCCATGGAGAACATGTCTTTGTCCAGAAGAGGTGCCCAATAGATGTACCTCCTTGTTCCACTAATGAAAGAGATGCCTAAGAGGAAGCTCCAGGCCGTGTGTGTGTGTGTGTGTGTGTGTGTGTGTGTGTGTGTGTGTGTGTGTGTGTGTGTGCTTGATTTCCACCACTCTCCCCTAACTTCCTAGGTGGCTCAGGCAAGTTCCTCTCCCTTGAGTGCCTCAGTTTCCTGATGGTCGGAAGCAGAGGGGTCATAGGCTCTTGGTCATCCTCCCCCAGGGCTTTCTTTCTGGGGTTCAGCCACATCCAGACTACACACCCCACCGTCCCTGAGCTGGGGAGGGGCGGCCAGTGTGGACGGCTCACCTGTCCTTCTCCTGAAGCAGCAGCCTTTCGAGATGCAAGTGCAGCTTCTGGCCTGCTGGAGCCTCGATGGTCCACACGCAGAGCTGGCTGCCGTTGGCGTTGCCAGGGTAACTGGGGGAGAGAACTCGGCCGATGGTGGCATTGTGCACGGCTCCTCCACACGGGGCTGGGTGCAGAAAGTGAGGGGTGAGGTGGTGAGAGAAGAGCAGAGAAGAAGCAGCGGGCTGGGGCTCCCCTCACTGCACTCAAGTCCTTAGCTAAGGTGGAGCTGGGAACCCAGGGGAGGGGGTCTGCTGTCCCGCCAACACCCCACCCCCATGCCTGGAGCCACCAACATCTGTGTGTCGCTACAGAGAGGGCCTCCGTGTAAAGACCGAGCCTAGACGTTCATTAAGAAATCCACATTCATTCACTCACTCCTCACTCACTCATTCATTCATCTCTGTGTGTGCATATGTGACAACATGCCCCTGTGGAAGTCAGAGGACGGCCCACAGGAGTCAACTCTTTCCTTCCACCACGTGGGTCCTGGGGATTGAACGCAGGTCTTTAGGAGAGGCAGCAAGTGCATTAACTCACTGAACCACCTCGCTGGCCTGATGCCTAGACTTTCGGTTATGAAATGGCTCGTGGAGGCAGATGGGAGCAGTTCGCAGAAGGAGAAGCATGTATTTAGGACTTAGTGCGCAGACACTCCAGCACAGTAAGGATGGAAGAATCTCCAGCTGTGTTCTTCTTTTACCCACCCAATGGCAGGCTGGAAGATATCAATAAGATCAGAGCATTCTGGGCAATGGGCAGGGTCTTGTTTATTCATGGTGGGTAACTCACCGGATGGATTATGACCATCTCCTGAAGGGCAATTCAGCAAAAACTCCTTTAAAACTATGTCAGAACACCCTGACCCAGAAATAAGCCCTGGCAGTATATCCTACGGGACGCTTTGGATTTGATCTGACTTGTGAATGAGGCTGCCCAGCTCTGCCTTCACCCTCGAATCCAAAGCCAGAACCGGAGTGAATCTCCCAGCACACACTGGGCTTCCACAGACCATCAAACACCGCATCTCAGGGACGGCTTAGGAATCCCAGAGCTTGAAGCAGCAGCGTGCTGGCAAACGGCCTGCCTGGTCCATTCCTGTGAGCGAGCTGCGGGGGTAGGTTGAGACCATTGGATATAAAAGTGATTTGTTCCTGTCTTCTGTACATTTGTGTTTCTGGAATTTTCTTTTAACCGGAGCCATATAACACTTTTATGTTAAAATAATATGGCGAGGTGACATTGCAAAGTGATTTGTGACCCACGGGAGCCGCACAGCTGTCAGACCACAGAGGAGAGGAGGTGCCGGGACTCGCTCTCAGGGGTCGCGGTGTGGGTCTGTTTTAATGTGGTGTTTGGGAAAGCTGGTCCAAAGCCGCTCGGTCCAGGGTGGATCCCTGTCCTCGAGGAGGATCGAGGACGCGTAGGCATCCTTCTTGTCCAAGCACAAGTGCCCAGTTCCCCCTCCAGGGTCAGAGCAGCAGAACACACAAGGACGGGGCCTCCATCCCGAGCCAGATCAGACAGGCTGTGTTATGGAGCTGCCTCTTCCTTTGAGGACAAACACGGCTCCTGGCTCCTCCCCGTGTCCTGGGAGTCACTACTCAGGTGTCCCTTCTCCCCAACTCCTTTCTTTGATTTTATTTTTCTTTTAAAGACAGGGTCTCATGTCCAGGCTGGTCTCAAATCCACTATGTAGGTGAAGACGACCTGATCCTCTTGCCTCCGCCTCCCGAGGGCTGAGATCACATGTGTGCTGGGGATGGAACCCAGGCTTTGTGCAACTCAAATTAATGCCCTCAGCCACTCATTGACATCCCCTGTGTTCCTCACACCTCTTCTAGACCAGGCTGGCCTTGAACTCAGAACTCAGAGATCTGCCTCCCCGGTGCTGGGATTAAAGGGTTGTCTTTCTTAAGAGTTTCTCTGCAAAACACATTTTACAACAGTGTGGGCTCTTGGCTGTGATGACAGTGAAGTCTTAGTGGACCCCAGCACCTGATGATATGGTTTATATAGTATGTGCACAGAAATAATAGAAATATTAATTTCTATCTATTTGCTTCTTAGAAACGTGAGAGAGGGTCTTCATCTGTAGCCCAGATTGGCCTTGAACTGTGAATTTCCTGCCTCGGCCTCCCAAGTGCTAAGATTGCGGGCCTGGCTTCATGAAATATTTCTGAACGAATAACAACTGTTCACTTTACAAACGGGTCAAAGAAGTTAAGAGACATTAAGTCACTTGCTCAAGGACACACGGCCAACAGGTGGAGGCACTGGGATGTAGGCCGGGGCTGCTTCAAGTTCTGTCTCATTCACAGTGGCACCTGATGATTCAGAGAGAAGCCAGGGTTGGGGGTGGAGGGCGGATCGGGGTGCTTTACAAAGGGCAGATGCAGAGAGGACCGCTCCTTGCTTCGGCTCACTTGGTACCCCAGCTCAGTTTTTGACACGAGGCAGATGTTCACAGAGTGTTTGCTGAACGACGACATGATGGAATTGGGCTGGCAGTGGGAGAGAAGGTTCGATAGCCTTCCTCTGCCCGGGACTCAGCTGTGTAGCAAGTGGAGAGAGCACCAGGAAGCCATCCCTCCTGAGTGCAGGATTCCCTTTCTTTTCCTAGGGACACTGTCCTGTCTGTCAGCCTGAGGCTCACATCACTGTTCTGCCACATATCTGCAATGCACTGTACAGCCAACGAAGCCCTCTGAACCTGAGGCGTGCCCACGGTGACTGGCGGTGGGGCATGATCTCACCCCTGACAGGTCCCTGATGGGGAATAGGCTGATGCCTCCCAACCTGTCCCCTCGCCTCTGACATGTCAGTATAGTCTTTTTTTTTTTTTCCCCCTTTGGGTCAGGTATGTACCCCTGGCTGACCTGGAACTCGCTGTGTAGACCAGGCTGGCCTAGAACTCACAGAGCTCCTCCTGCCTCTGCCCCCGAGCGATGTTGACATATTCTGACTTCTTCAAACCTGCCGCCCCCTTTCACCTCTGGGTCTTTGCACAGACTGGCTCACTGGCTGGGACAACTTCCACCCTCTGCCTCCACTTAGCTTCCACAGCCTGGTCCCTCGGGGGCTCCTTCCTGGGTCTCTGGTCTACCGTCACCTCTTGTCCCTGAGCCCCTTACCCAGGGTGACAGGGTTTCTCCTGTCCCCACCTGCTCTATGACATTACCCCTGTGATCCCCTCTCTGGTACTTTCTGCTCTCTCGTGTCTGCTCATCTGGTCACATATTGTGGTGGTTTGAGCGAGAACGGTCCCCACAGGCTCTTATATTTGAATGTTTATTCACCAGGGAGTAGAACTGTTTGGGAAGGATTGGGAGGTGTGGCCTTGTTGAAGGAAGTGTGTTACTGGGGGTGAGCTTTGTAGTTTCAAAAGCCCACATCAGGCCCAGTCTCTCTCTCTCTGCCTCCTGCCTGTGCATCACGGTGAAAACCTCTCGGTTAGTGCTCTAGCGCTGTGCCTATCTGCTCCCCACCACAATGACCACAGACTTGCCTGCTGAAGCTGTAAGCAAGCCCCCAATTAGATTTTCTTTTTAAAGAAGGGTTCCCTCAGTCTTGGTGTTTCTACGCAGTCATAGAGCAGTAACTAAGACACACATCCTACACCAAGCTGCAGACTCTGAGAGAGCAGACTCTCACAGCTCCAGCCATGAGTATAGAACCCAGTAAACAGTGGACACTAGTGGGTGTTGGCAGGATGACAGACTCCCCGGGTCAAGGATCCTTGAAGGATGATGGGTCCTGGCTGTCCTTGGAATCTAGGATTCCACCTGCAGGCCTGCACCATCCACTTCTCTCCACCAGAGGGCATTAGACCGCCTTAGTGGGTGGCTGTCCCCAACTTTTGAGTTCACATTAACTAAGCTCAAAAAACCAAACAGTACCAGCCATCCCCAAAGTCCAAACAACAAGAGGAACAAGGGACAAGTCAGCCCTCATCATTATAAAAAGGGTAGTGTCACAGGCTACATGAAGAGGTCAAAAGAAAACCACAGAGTTGGGGACAGGCCTACACATCGTTATTGCATCAAGGTTTGGATTCAGCATATATAAAGAGTGCTTTCAGCACAAACAACAACCCAGTAAGTAGCCTCTTGAACGATGGGCAAAGGGTTTGAAGAGCCTTTCTTTGGAGATGGCATCCGGACAGCCCCTGAGCATAGAGAAGCGTTTGAAAAGACATGTGATGATGTCAGTACTTATCAGGGAAACATGAGAATGTGGTGAGATGCCTACAGACCCACAGTGCTGGTTACAGAGCACAGAAAATAGTGAGTCGGTAAGTGCTGGGGCAGGACAGAACTGCTCTACCACCGGGGGAAGGTGAAGTGGTACAGCGGCTATTGGAAGAGCCTGTAGGGGTCACCCTGTAGGACCTAAGGATCTTATTTAAGAGAAATGAAAATGTATTTCCATGTTCATAGCAGAGCAGTTATTAAGATAAAAAGTGGACATAATTCTAATGTCCAGTGACGGACAGGTAAACAAAATAGAATCTAACCCACATGACGGAATATTCCTCGGCCACAAAAGGAACAGCACGCTGATCTATCCTGAAAATCCCATGGCTAGAGGAAGAAGACAGACCCAGAAGCCATGTGCGCCACCTGTGTGAGATCTCACAACAGAGGCAGAAAGGTGGCCGCTGGGGTGTGGGCAGGACGTTGTATGTCTGATGAAGGCTTGGCATCCAGAATATGTAAAGAAGACAGCCGAAGCCACTAAGTAGACTGTTGAGTGACTGCTGAGGAGCAAGGTTCCCACTGGACAGAGCAGTGGTAGCACAGAGCACCACAGCATGCTAAGTGTCCTCGAGAGCCAATTTCATGCATTTTATTATCACAGCACAGTTTGGGGAATAGGAGCCTGGCCCAAGGTTACTCCAGATGCCACAGAGCAGCGGGTTTCTCAACCTGTGGGTCTTGATCCCTCTGGGGGTTGCATATCCGATATCCTGCGTATCAGATATTTACATTATGATTCATAACAGCAGCAAAATTTACAAGTTGTGAAGTAGTAATGGACATAATTGTGTGGTTGGGGGTCGCCACAACGTGGGCAATGGTATTAAAGGGTCGCAGCATCAGAAAGGTTGGGAACCACTGCACTCTAGGGTGCTGCCTCCCACCTCCCGGCAGGTGGATGGACACTGGTGGTACCTGAGCAGACAGGCTCCTGGCTGCTCCAGTGGGGTTTGGAGGCATTGATGCAGGTCAGAGTCTTAGCTCCCTGCAGCTCATAGCCCAGGTGGCAGTGGAAGTGGGCCACCCCACCCGAGTGCAGATCCATCACCGTGACATCTCCAGCTTCAGGCCGGCGGGGGAAGCTGCAGCTCAGCATGAAAGCTGCGGAGAAAGGAGAAACGCGAGCGCATCAGCTGCGGACAGGGAACCATCAGCTGCGGACAGGGAACCAGCGTGACCCACATCCCGGCAGCAGCCTTGTGCTGAGGACAGAGATGGGCGCTGGAGTTGCCAGCGTTGTGGTTCCCCCACCTTATTTTTTGAGGTGAGATCTCTCACTGGCTCGGAGCCTGCTGATTTGGCTAAACTAGTCATAAGAATCCTCCTGTCGCCACCTCCCACCACTGGGGTTACAGCTGTGCCCCGCTTTGCCTTTTATGCGGGTTCTGGGGATGGAAGCGTAGTCCTCACACTTGCATGGCAAGCTCTTTCTTTACCTGAGCCCTCTCTCCAGTTCCAAAATTACGTATGTCCCATTCTTGGCTTTAAAAACCATTGCTCTCAGACAGGGAGGAGGGGGTCTGTTGATTTAATCAGAGTGACAGTGGGGTCCCGGGCACAAAAATAAAGCCCAAGAGTGTGGCTGGGTGTTGGAGGAAACTGAGGCCGGTTTCTCCACCTCGTTGGCCTCAGCAGACCCTACCCTGGTAGTGCAACTGGAAGGTCCCGAGGCCGTCGTCCTGGAAGGTCCGGAAGTACACAGAGATGGCGTTGGTGGGGCTGCGGATCACCTGGCCCTCCACCAGCAGAGTCTGGTTGGCTAGGACGGTCAGGGTGGGGCCGTCCACTCCACGGATGGAGAGCAGTTCCCCCTCAGACAGGTTGACACTCTTCACCTGGAACGCATGGGGTAGACAGGGAGAGCTGGGGCAGCAGGGGGGCAGCTCGGAGAGGGTGGGGAGAGGCCCCTGTGCGGACAACTAACTGCACTGGGTGCTGAGTGGCTGCGTGGACTCAACACACTCCCTCCTGTCTGTGTGAACTGGTGAGCGAGGGGCGCTCTCCTTTCTAGGTCTCTCTCAGCTTTCGCTCTCCTCCACTGTGACGGCGCTCCAGGGCGACCCACCCTTCTCCAGGCTGCTCGCCTCTGCTCTCTGTGTTGTAGGGGGTGGGATGGGAGGTACGGTGGACCCAGGTGCACACATGCACATATGCGTTGTATGTGGTGTCTGCTTGTGTTTAATAAGCGGGGTGTGAAGGGACTTCCTTTCTGGATAACACATCCGACGCTTTGTCAACACGTCCTCAGGCTTCCGCTGGACATGCCCTTGTGGGAAGTCCCGCTCTGTCGACCCCGATTTGAGGAAAGGAGGTGTTGACAGTCAGGCCAACCGAGGCTAGGTTACCTGCAACTCCACTCCGTAGCCGGTATAGACCGTCACGTTGTATGTACACTCCAGGAAGCTGCCGAAGGGCTGAGGTGGGAAGTCATTCGAGTCGATGTATCCCTCGGGGTCAGAGAAGCTCACACTGCAAAGAGCTGCGGAGAGACAGACGCTGCCATCAGAACCAGGGGGCTGCGGCTGGCCCAGGAGCTCAGGGATGGGCTGTGGGTGGAAGCCGACCTCTAGGGGTCTGCGCTGTGTCGTTTGTCTGCCAGACCCCATCCACCCCTGGAGTCAACACAAAAACAAAGCCAGCCACAAGTTTTTACCTCTACGAAATCCTCAGTCTAAAGAGAGAGAGAGTTCCTGTTTCCTCACACCTTATATACCTTTCTGTGTCCTGCCATATTACTTCCTGGGATTAAGGTGTGTGTGCTTCCCTTAAGAAAAGCAAAAGACATGAGATCTCAAGGGCTGGGATTAAAGCCTCTGTTCCCAGTGTGGCCTTGAACTCACAGAGATCCAGACGGATCTCTGACTCCTGAGTGATAGGATTAAGGGTGTGTGCCACCACTGTCTGGCCTCTATGTCTAATCTAGTGGCTGGCTCTGTCCTCTGATCCCCAGATAAGTTTATTAGGGTACACACTATATCACCACAGAGAAGGGTGTCCATGGAGGTGCAGGGGAGCCAAGATCAGAACTCTGCAGCTGTAAACTTGAGTGACGATTGCTGTGTTGTTTTCATTGAACCCTTGCTGACCTCTGCCCTCTCCTGACCAAAGTTCCAAACCATCAGGGGCAGCCCCATTCAGCCTTAGACAGAATGGCATTCCACTCCCATCTTTTTTTTTTTAAAAAAATAACAATTTATTAAGAGTTATTTATTTTATGTATATGGTGCTCTATCTGCATGTATGCCTACAGGCCAGAAGAGGACATCAGATCCCATTACAGATGGCTATGAGCCACCATGTGGTTGCTAGGAATTGAACTCAGGACCTTTAGAAGAGCTGCCAATGCTCTTAACCACTGAACCATCTCTCCAGCCCATTCCACTCCCATCTTAAAGACAGTTAAAGCACAGGGAGGACCCCATCTGGGCCGAGCTCACACACACACACACAGAGCACACATTCAGACCCAGCTGACAGTCTTAGTTGTTAGGTACAAAGCAGCCTCACCCCCCTAAACATCAGTGCTGGTGACAATGTCCTAAACAGAAGGACTTTGGCTGGGAAAAGAGAAGGATTATTCACTGGTAAACAGGGGCCTGAAGGTGGCTTTCTATTTACCAGGGGCGTCCCACAATCTGTCCCAAAGGTCAACTGCTTCTGGCAAGGGCAAAAGGTCCTGGTCAATCTGAACAGCCTACAACAGCTCAAAGACCCTGCCCTGTCATGCAAAATCCCGTTGCTTTTCCACATTTTTGCTCTTCTCTCTGTGCCCCACCCCCAAGGGGGTGGATGTGGCCTTGGCAGTTTGTTTCTCAATAAACCTTTCTTTCTACCCATGGGGAGGTCTAGTTCTGTGGTTTCACTTCACTTTCGATTTGCACAGTGGGCAGCTACATTGACGCATGCTGGACAACTGTGGCCCCTCTCCGTAGGAAAGGATTCAAACACAGGCACTGAGCGGACGTGGGCTGGGTGAGCAGCCTCAGCGGTCCGTCCACACCATGGTGGGTGCTCCCTGGCTCCCTGGCCCATCAGTTTCCACCTGAGTTCCAGCCCCTCCCTTATGCTCTCAATCATCCTGGCAAACCCCCCCACCCCCCACCCCCCACCATGATGACAGATGTCTGTGTGAACAGCTCTTGTGTGGTTTAGGAAATAAGGTGAGGAAAAAGTCTGGGGGCTCACAGGACTGATACAACTAAAGTTTCTGAAATCTCTATGTATGGTCGACTGACTGTAGAGGGGAGCCCAGAGATAGAAAGGACCGGAGATAGGATAGCCTGGAAGAGCAAGCACACTTCGGATGAGGGCGTGGCTCCATGGTAAAGTACTTGCCTAGCATGTGCCTGACCCTGAGTTCTGTTCCTAGGGCGCGCGCACGCATGCGTGGACACACACACACACACACACACACACACACACACACACACACACACTATCTCTCTCTCTTGCTCCCAAAACAAAGTTAAAAAAACGCTGGAGTGGCTCAGTGCTAGCGTGCCCTCCCTCCAGGCGCAAGGCCCCGGTCCCACTCCCACTGTGGAAAAATCCAGAAATGAACTACGGCAGGGGTAGGCGGCGAGTGTGGCGCACCTGGGGCCTGCTCCGTGGTGATGATGGTCGTGGTGATGATGGTGGACGTGGTGGTCTCCTGGCTCTCCTCGGAGGCCGACCCAGTTAGCTCGTTGTCCCCCTTGTCCAGCGGGCTCCCGGGGGGGCTGCTGTCGTCGGGGGCCTGTGCCGGCTCCGGGCTGTTGGGGAGCGTGGTCACCAGCGTGGTGAAGGGTACGATTTGCAGCGGGGCGGGTGCTGTGGGCTCTTCGGGGTCCCCGGGCACATGTGGCTTGGTGGTGTCCGAAGCAGGGGACCCTAGTCTCTGCAGAGGTGTCGGGGTGGCCTGGGGCCTCAGCTGCCTCCGGGCCGAGTTGAGTTGCTTCAGGGACGGTAGGCCCTTCCGGAGGGCTGGGGCGTGCTGGATGCTGGCCTCGTCAGGGAGCGCAGGGGGCAAGGACCCTTCCAGCCCTTCCAGCGTTTCCAGTGCTTCCTGGGAGGGCAGGGGACCCGGGGCTGCTGACGTCACTCCCTCTTCCTGGTTGCTCTCCAGCGAGGCGGAGGGCAGGAGGTAGTCCGTGGAAGGGTGCGTGTCTCCCTCTGGACCACTGTCTGGGGAGAAGGGGAGAAAACGTAGCCATTAGCTTGGACCTGCCTCACCTCCTGTCACCTGGGAGGGTGGCCTCTAAAGGGGACACCCCGACCTCTTCCCTTCCCTTCCTTCCTCTCCTCACTTCCTTTTTTTTCTTTCCTGAAGAGTTGGGGCTCATCGTGCTGGAACCCACTCAGGGTTAAGACTACAGAAGCTGAGGGTAACAGCCTCACAGTGGTAGCGGGTGTGGGTCCCTCAGGGGCGCTGCGTGTGGACCAGGAACTGCACAGGACATGGCGGGAGACGCAGTTATCTGCCGACTGGTTCAGAGGCAGATTCACGAGGGGTGTGTGAATACAGGTGGAGGCCTGGTGCTGAGGATGGTGTTTGCCACAGAGCAAGGAGCGTGGGGGGAGGAGGGATAGGGCCAGAGCTGGGAAGGTGGGATCGTTGGCACGGCGGGGCTGGTGGACCTTGCTCTTCTGACTTATTTCTCCCTACATGATCCTTGAAAGACCGTGGAGTGATGTCCTAACATGCCGATTGCGAGCCCAAGGCACACAGAGCACGCTAAACCCGCTCAGCTCCACAGCTTAGTGACCATGCCCCCCGGAGGGAGTGCCCTTTGGTCACCTTGTTGACTCACACGTGACCAGTATTCAGCTGCCTGTGGCTCCCAGTGTCACTAGAGAAGACAGGGCCACACACGGCCAGCCCAGGAAAAGGTCCTGAGTTCCATCAGAGGGTACTGGTGAAGGGGGGGTATGGGTGAAGGGGGGTACGGGTGAAGGGGGGTATGGGTGAAGGGGGTACGGGTGAAGGGGGGTATGGGTGAAGGGGTGTGGGTGAAGGGGGTACGGGTGAAGGGGGTACGGGTGAAGGGGGGGTACGGGTGAAGGGGGTACGGGTGAAGGAGGGGTACGGGTGAAGGGTGCAGCTTTGGCCACATCATTGTTTTTTTTTCTTCCAGTGGTTTAAAATTAGCACTTTATCTTTCTGTGGACAGAGGATTAAAGTGTCCACACCACCGATCATGAATGAACAACAGCACAGAGAGAGAAGACAACAGGTTTGAATGTTCACAGGGAGAGCCTGGACTTGGGTAAGTCCCCTCAAGCACACAAACTTCCGAGTCCAACTGCCAAGTTTCTTCTTATTTTTCCTTGTAGAGACAGGGTCTCCTACAGCTCCCGTGGGCCTCCAAACTTGCTATGGAGCTGAGGACGACCGAGGTCTCCTGCTCCTCCTGCCTCCACTTCTGCAGTGCTAGGATTCCAGGGGTGTGTCACTATGCCCAGTCTTAGGTGGTATTAAGGCTCAAACCCAGGGTCTCAGGCATGCTAGGTAAGTCCTCTACCCCACTGAGCCGCATCCCTACCCCCAAACTTGTACGTTTCCAATGATGACTTGGTCCTGTGTGACCTTGTGCATGGAGTCCCCAGCTCTCAGAAACCCGGCTTTGTTCCTTATCAAACGAGGAGGATAGTTACGGCAGATGTGCCAATTAAACGGAACGCCCATTCGACATGCCTAGCACTAAACCCGGCAGAGAAGAAAAGCATTAAGCTGAAGGAAAAGGAGAGGACATTAGAGATGCTGAAAAAAAGAGAGACAACACGTTTCCTGCAGAAGTGAAATAAAGTACACCAGCCTGCTGGGTTATTTTCCCCACTGCTGTGGCCAAACACCCGCCAAGAAGTTGCTTTAGGGATGAGCGGCTTGTTAGGGCTCACTGTGGAGGGTTCTGTCTACCATGGCAAAGAGGCGTGGTGGCGGTGAAGCTGACTGAGGATTGGAGTTCCTGAGAGCTGCTGGTTCACACCTTGGCGGAAGGGAGGGAGTGGGGGAGGGAAAAGAAGGAGATGCTGCCCTTGGCTTGCCTCCTCCTTTCCCCTTTATATTCAGTCCGGGGACCCCAGTCATCCAATCCTGCTGCCCATATTCCAGATGGGTCTTCTCTCCTCAGCTCGTTCTCTTTTGGAAATGTTCACAGCACCCGTCTTAGTTGTTAGGGTTATTATTGCTGTGATATGATTGCATTTACACCATGACCAAAGCAGCTTGGGAGGAAAGGGTTTATTTGGCTTCCAGATCATAGTCCATCATCAAAGGAAGTCAGGACAGGAACCCAAGCAGGACAGGATCCTGGAGGCAGGAGCTGATGCAGAGGCCATGGAGGGGTGCTGCTTACTGGCTTGTTCCTCATGGCTTGCTCAGCCTGCTTTCTTATAGAACCCAGGACCACCAGCCCAGGGATGGCCCCACCAAAACAGGCTGGGCCCTCCTCCAGCAACACTAATTAAGAAAATGCCCTCCAGCTGGATCTTATGGAAGCATTTTCTCAATTGAGGTTCCCTCCTTTCAGATGACTCTAGTTTGTGTCAAGTTGGCCTAAAACTAGCCAGGACAGCATATCTTAAATTGGAAAACTCTAAGCTGAGTTTTCGTGGCACATACACAGTTTCTTCAACGAAGGGCTGGCCCAGCAGCTGCCCAGCAGAGCTGGAGAAATCAACTTCATTTCATCCCTAGATGCTCCCAGCTGCAGCTCCCTCCCTCAGAGCCCCGGTCCGCTCAGCTGTCCAGTGGTGCTGCTCACTCTCTCTCTGCTGCTCACTGGAGCTGTCATCCCTCAGCAAGCAGATGTGCAGGGCTCTGAGGAAAAGGTCTGTGTCTCAGCCAGCTCTTTCCAGGTGCCAGCTGCTGCTGTCTCTCCTCATGGAAATCATAGCATCTCCCTCTGTGGGAAGCCAGAGTGGCATGAACAACCCCAGCAGAGATCTTGAGAGATTCCCTCCTGTGGACAGAGGTCCCTGGTTTGACTGCTGTCCTTGTCCATTTCCTGAAGACGGACACCGGTTGAGCCACAGCCTCTGGCCTGTCAGGTGCTGCCGTCCACATTGGTTTGTGCAGCAGCTGGAATGTCTGGTTTACTTTCATGGAGCCGGCGCACGGGTGTGATCTCTGTGGACCCCAACCGTTACAGCTGGCCGCAGCCCATACACCTGTTGGGTGATGCTGACCGTCAGCCAGCATTCCTCCGAGAATGCCGGGGAGTGGGAATCGAGGAGGAGGGGGTGGGTATGGGTGGCAAGAGAATAGACCAAGGTCATCTGGGAGTCAAACATGAGACTTCAGAGACGTAGGTTCAAGGCCTGCCAGCTGCAGTTCCTCCCCCGACCCCGGGGAGGGGGGAGCTGGCTCATTCACCTTTCTACAGCTCAGCTCCCTCTATAAAGAAAGATCTTCCTTCCGATCAGGGATGTGGGTTTGCTCAAAAAGCTGTGGTCCAGCACTCACCAGGGCTGTTCTCTAGGGATTGATGGTGACTGTCTTAGTAGATGGGGGACTTAGAAAGAGGTCGTGGGACTTATTTAGTGACAGGTCAGGGTACCCAATCCAGGAGACCCAGCTGGGGTTGGATGTATAGCGTTTGGCTGTGGTCAAGATGGGGACCCTGGGCACAGCTCCTTTGTGGGCCATGCCTTGTCTCTACAGGTCAAGTGTGCGGCCAGGCAGGATGAAGCCAGGGCTGCCAGCTCCTTTACCGTGGGGGATGGAAGCAGCAAGTCCCGGACTGTCTTGTTGTGATGACTCTGCAGAGTCAGGCGATGTGAGTGATGAATGGCCACACTGACTGATGAGCTGTTGGGTGCTGTGGCTGGTTGAGCGAGCCCTTCATAAATATATCTTGTCTTTCTAATCACGGGGAGGATGGGAAGGGTGAGGAGGAGGAGGAGGGGTGAGGGGAGGAGGGGTGCAGAGGAGGAGGAGGAGGGGTGCGGGGAGCCCCTGTAAGTGGGGTTGGGAGGATGCGTGGCACCACAGCAGGGACAGGAAGCAGGGTTTCACGCCTTGGCCACAGTGTTAGTGAGGGGCCAGGCCTTCACTCTGACTGCTGTTGGACTCTGCTGGTGGCAGGGTGGGCATGTGTGGTGTGCTGTTATCTCTGTTCCCCTCTTGGCATCCTTAGGAAGGAAATTTTACTCCTGCCCCTGAGAGGAACAGACAGAGGCCGGGGACACAGGCGATTTTTTTTTTTTTTTTTTTTTTTTTGGTTTTTCGAGACAGGGTTTCTCTGTGTAGCTTTGCGCCTTTTCCTGGAACTCACTTGGTAGCCCAGGCTGGCCTCGAACTCACAGAGATCCGCCTGGCTCTGCCTCCCGAGTGCTGGGATTAAAGGCGTGCGCCACCACCGCCCGGCCAGACACAGGCGATTTTTAAGGCCATGCAGCAAAGCCAGGGTCAGTTCTAGGGTTACCTGTTCACCCTTTCTCCCCCCCTCCTTTGCCCCAAATCTATCGCTCTGTCATTCAACATGACCAGCACATGGCTTCAAATCCCAGGCGGGTCTCCTGCCTCCATCTTCCTTAAGGAACTGGGGTGCTGTGTCATCTGGCATCCCCCCTCTTCCCCCCCCCCCCCCACTGTGGCCTTCTGGGAGTTCTCTCTCTTTTTAAACCTTCCCCAAGATAATCTTACCCTCTTGCCAAACTCACACCTACCAAATCTGAGGCTACAGGAGTGCATCTTGGGAAGTGGAAAATTAAAAACAAAACAGCAAAACCCTGCTGGTGATTAAAAAAAATACAATCAAGACATGTATGTCACTTGTAGGTATTTACAGCTGTGACTTTAATGGTCAATTTGAAACAACCTAGAAACCCCTGGACAAAGAGTCCCCATGAGGGACTGTCTACATTGGGCTAGCCTGTGGGCATGTGGGTGAGGAATTGTCTTCATTAACCTAACTGATGCGTGAATACCCAGCAGCGCCATTCCCTAGGCTGGAGGGCCTGAGCTGTGCCATAGAAGAGGCAGCCGTGTGAGCACAAGCAAGCAAGCACACAGCGTGCACTCATTGGCTGTGACGTCATTGCTACCCGCGACGTCCCTGCAACGATGGACTGTGGAATCCTGACCCTAAACAAACCCTTTCTCCTCTGAGTGGCTTTTTGTTTTTTGTTTTTGTTTTTTCAAGGTATTGTAATCACAGCAACAAGACAGGAAATTAGAAAAAAACGGGCACAGTGTGGTAATTTGCAACAGTGTGCAGTGGTGAAGCCAGAGCAGCCAGCGCTTCTGTCTTCTCATGCGGCTGGGGCGACCCCGAATTCCCGGTCCTCTTGCCTCCACCTCCCAAGTGCTGCCATAAGTAGTATGCACAGTTCTAGGGATTGAACCCGGGGCTCTGTGCGTGCTAGTGGAGCATGTTACTGATGGAGCTGGATCCCCAGCCCAAACCCTGACCATTCCCATGTATTAGGAATCTTTGGATTCCCTCTCTTTAAAATAAAAAAAGGATGCGTTTGACGTATTTTATTCTCAATTATGTGCATACGTGCGTTTCTCTCTCTGTGTATGTGCATGTTAGTGCAATGCTTGAGGAAGCCAGAAGGGGGCACTGGATCCTCAGGAGCTGGAGTTACTGGCAGCTGTGAGCTATTCAACGTGGGTGCTGGGACCTGAACTCAGGTCCTCTGCAAGAGCAGTGAGCACTCTTGACACTGAGTGTCTCCAGGCCCTGGTCTCTCCTTTCAAGCTGTTTTGAAATGTGTTCTAGGTTGTTGCAGGTTGCAGAGCCCCAACCGTGCCCCCGAACACCATCATAGAGACCCCCCCACCCACATTTCTCTCTATCCTCATCTCTACAGCTCACCTTTCTACTGCCATCTTGTAGGAGACTCGTGACACCAGCGTCACGGATGAGCAAGACCATGTGGAATCTGCCTTCCGTGCTGGGCTAATTTTACTTCACGCTGCACACTCTAGTCCCGCTCAGGCTCCTTCACGTGTCAGAGCTCCTCTTTTAAGGTGGCATAGCACTCCACTGTGAACTCAGAGCATAATGGCTTCAACCTTCTGCCTGTCAGCGGCCATCTTCACTACCCCGGTATCTCACTGACCATGTAATGTCTGTCTATAGTAGGCACCAGCCTACAGGTACCTCACAGACACATTGCTTGCATTTCCTTTAAGTACTGCCCGGGACGAGGGGTCCCAGACATGATGATAGATCTATTTTCATGTTTTGAGGAATCTCCAAACCCTCTCCATAATGGCCATGCTTTTCTGTGTTCCCACAGCAGGGTGTGAGTGCTCCCTCTCCATAAAGGCCACACTGATCTGTGTTCCCACAGCAGGGTGTGAGTGCTCCCTCTCCATAAAGGCCACACTGATCTGTGTTCCCACAGCAGGGTGTGAGTGCTCCCTCTCCATAAAGGCCACGTTTACCTGTGTTCCCACAGCAGGGTGTGAGTGCTCCCTCCTCACACTCAACGCCAGCATTTCTTGTTGTTATTAACCCATCTGTTTTGACAGCCCCTATTCTAACTGGGTGGGTGACACCCTGGTGGACGTCCCTGTGCATCAGGGAGGGTCAGACAACTGCCTTTTTCTCTCTTGCCATGTGGTTCTCCTCCATTTCACCTCCTAGGTACAGGTGGCATGGTGGGTGGGGGGATGCTACAAGGTGCTCTGCCGAAACCTCCTTCCCCTCAATAGGAACAGAAGGGGACATTCATGTGAAGAAGGACTCCATGACTCCACCACCATCACATCCACCCTCTGGGACCTCAGGATGGCCAGGTACCATCTCCATAGCTAGAGCCCCACAGGAGGCGAGTCTGGCTGCTGTTCTCAACCTCTGTCCATCCAAGGACCTTCTGATCCACAAAGGCCTCCCTCTCCTATACTGAAGTGCTCTCCCCTGCACGCAAAGCAGATCTTGCTGGCTGACTCCAAACTTCGGGCCAACCTCAGGGCTGATGAGTGGTGCCTGTAGCCTGCCTTCCGTGCGGCCTGAGGACTCTGCTCAAATGCCAGCTGGCTGAGCACCACGCAAAGCCGAGTCCCACTGTACTCAGTCTAAATTGGATCCCGGGCTTCAGAAATGCAGCGAGTTAATAACTCGCTCTAATGGGCTTTTCCCCAGGCCCCAGGGACCACTGAGTTAAACGCATTCCTCTATTTCAGAGCACTTAGAAATCTCAGTTACACATGACAGATTCTTCCCTTATCATGTGCGCTCAGCACTCGGCCTGGGTGCTGTCAATCAACCCATCCATCCATCCATCCATCCATCCACCAGCCCTTCTGTGAAAGAGAGGCTACAAACTTTCTCCTCTGGCCGACCCTCAGCACTGTGTGATATCGCCCCTGCTCTTAGGAAGACACATGTGGGAAACCAAACATGACTGTCACACAGGAGTGCCTGTGCATGTGCGTGTGCGTGTGCGTGTGCGTGTGTGTGTGTGTGTGTGAGTTGTTAATGAGACACTCCCACTGCGGCTGCTCTCTCCGGGGACAAGCTGAGCATCTGCCTTGCTTTGTCCCTCTGTCTTTCTGTCAGTCAGGAAAACAGTTTAAATGGAAGAGGCACCAGTGCTCATCAGCCTGGGTCCTGCGAAGGCTGGGAGTTCCTCCAACGGTGATAACACTTCCCTGTAGATGACACCAGCAGGTATCTGCTGAATCCACCAGGGAGGGGAGCAGAGAGAGGATGAGCCATGGCAGGAGGGAGCAAGGCAAGCTGGGTAGGAGACACCATCATGTTTGGACTCCTGACACGCACCAGACACCCCCTGAGCACCAAGGGAGCAAGGAGGAGGATTCAGACGTAACCAGGGGCTAATGACGTTCCCTGGAGTCCATAAGTTCTAGAATATTCCGAATGTGTCAGAGGCAGGGCAGGGTGTGGGCATGGTATACACGACCGTGTCCCCATGCTGCATTCCAGCAAGTACTTCTGCAGCCTGGTCCTCAGGCTTCTCCCAGGCCAGTTCTAGCTCCCTCCCACCACACATGGGCATTCGTTACCTTTTTGATTATTGTACCAATGACACACAGGAAGCAACGGAAGGAAGGGACATTATTCCCCTCCTGGTTTAGAGTAAGGTCCTTCACTCAATGAAGGCATGGCGGTGGGAGTGTGTGACTGCCTGTCCACACCTCAGGGGACCAGGAAGCAGACAGAAGGGGATGCAGGCTCTCAGCTCAGGTCACCCCATTTCTGCTTTTTATTCAGCATGGGATACTGGGCCATGGGAGGGCACTGTTCACATTTCATGGTGACTCCTCTTCCCTCAGTTAACCCTCTCAGGAGGCTCCCTTGGAGAGGAGGTGTGCTTAAAGGGGTGCCTCATCAGCACCCCAGGGGTTTCTGATTTTTAAAAGTTTGTTAGCACAGTACTAATCGCACATAATGGGTTTCCTTATGTCATTGTGATTCATGTGTATAGTGCATTTTGAGCATATTCACCCTGTTAATATAATGATCTTGTCCTTTGGGGCTGCCCTGTGTCCTGACGTAGATACCTCTTCTTAAGGAAAAACGCCTCCCCTTTTTCTCTCTCTTTCCGATTTCCTCCCATGAAGTGTGCACCCTCAAATGCTCCCTCCCTTCCTGTCTCTTCCTATCTTTCTCTTTATCCCTTATTATAATAAACCATTTCCTCTCGGGTGTAGCGTCTGGGTTGTAAATGTCCACCTGCTGCCCCACCACCATGCCTGCATGGAGTGGGTCGCCCGCCAGCCCACTGCTGCATCTGCCCAGCATGCCAGCATGGTTCCCTGCGTGAGTGGGTACCCTGGCCTGGCCAGCTGGGGGTTTCCCACGCATGCATAATAAGTAACACACCCCATCACTCTCTCAATTCTGTTAACCCCCTTCCTGTTTCCAGCCAGCTCCCCCACTTCATGTCACTTTTTTTTGGTGGTGACCCAATGCATTTCATTAGGGTTACTTGCAGGAGCATGGGTAAAGCGAAGATAATTTGACAGGAGCATGGATGGCTTCTCAGTGTCTACACCACTGAGGAGAATGTGTCTTCTACTCCCTAGGCATTTTTTTTTCTCAAGCAGAGAATTAACAATCACAAACCGGTTTGCTCAGGGACGAAATGAGTGGATTCTCTTCCATTCTCCCTTTCTCTTTGGAGGAGAGCTGATTGCCAGCAAGGGGTGGGGGGTCATGGAAGAAGGGTGGGTAGCTGGGATTCACTGTAGGGACACAAGGAAAACCTGAGACTACCAGCCTTCCTTTTGTTTGTAGAGTTGGTGTGAGCTCCTTTGGACTGAGATGCACACAGGAAATGGACTGGCCAGGTGTGTCTGTGGGGGCCTGACTCAGGAGGGGAGATCTGTCAGAATGTGTGCCTATCCCATGGCTGGGGGCCTGGGAGGAACCAAGGGAGAGGCGGGAGCTATGAGCGCGGGCGCTCTTCCCGCTTCCTGATGGGCAAGCACTCTTTCCGGCCACACTCCCACCTCAGGGCTCCACCTATCACAGACAGACTCTGAGCTAGTTGGATTTTCTCTCCTCTAAACTCTTTCTTGTCAGCATCAGTGAGTCAAACGTAGCCAGTGCCCGGACAGGAAGACCCTGGAGCACTCTCCTTGGTCTGCCTATCTTCAGGGGAGACACGGGAAAATTCCCTCTGTGCAGAGATGACCCGCAAGGTTCATCTGAAATGACCACTGGAGGCGAGCTTTCCCGATGGCATGCTCACTGGCAGAGTGCAGGAGATGCCTGAGGTAAATCAGTGAGGTCCCGGGGTCACATCCACCCTGCTCACAGGTGGTCTTGGATGAAGCCAGCTTTTCATCTTTACACAGCTCGGAAGACCTTGGCTTTGCCGAAGGAGGCACAGACAGCAAGCCCGTGGTGGCACAGCTCATCACTGTCAGCAGCTGTGATGAGACCTGCCTTAGGCCTGGCTCTCATAATGCTTCCACCACAACCATGGTGCCTTTACGAGCCCACACCCCTTCAGCTCACTATCTTCAAATCCGTAGAAGAAATTCCACAGAAGGTTCTGGAGACCTGTCGCTGTGTCCTCACTGACATGTGGCGTCTCCGTGGCTTCAGCTGTCTTAGGTCCCACCCATCAATGTGTCTCTCCTCATCCTCTCTTAATCCAGTCAGCCCCTGACATAAGAGGTCGGCGCCTACTACAACTTTCTGATGACGTGTTCAGAGTTCCCAGTGTTCAGAGGAAGTTGCCCTTTGAACCTTTTGCTCTTTTCTGGCCGATCTCACTTGCTCACAGTGCAGCTAGCTCCCAGAGGGCCATACCGTCCTTAGAGCAGCCAGAGCTCCAGGTCAGGGGCATCAAGAACATTTGGATTTATAATGTCTGTGATGCATTTTCCCCATCTTAAATGGAGGGGTATTGGCATCCCATCCCTTGCATAGGCTTCTTCTCCTCTGGGATTTAGTCCCCTCCCTTAATTCTCAACACCACCAGCGGATGTCAGTCATAGCATTGGGGGCGGGGCTCTCCTCCATGCAGGCTTCTTTCCTGTTCTCCCCCCTCCCCCAGAGATAACCCTCTTAGGAACAGAGCTCATGTCTTCTTTACTTGTCCACGCTTCTCTAGAACCTATCCCGTGACCACGAACCTGACACCTAGGCACCCCGATAAACATTTCTTCACGGGCGTGCTTCCTGTGTAGACAGTAAGACTTGATGCCTTAGACAAGGCCCACTTCTGTCTAAATGACATCTCGTGGACAGTTTATGCTGCGGGCTGAGCATTCCTGAGTATCTGGAAACCCAAAATGCCCCGCATCGCACCACAGATGGAAAATTTCATACTGAGGAACTTGGTTTTGTGAATAGCGTTATTGAACATATTGTGTGTAAATAGCTTCAGGCTGTGTGTGTAAGGTGCCTTTGACATGGTACGGGGTTGCTGCTCAGTCTCAGCTCCACACCCAAGATAGCGCACCGTGCTTGTGTGTAAACAAACTGAAATAGGAACCACTTCCGGCCCCAGGGACGCAAATGTTGGTCAAGTCGGTTCCCAACAACCACGCTTCAGCTGACGGGCAGAGAGCAGGAGGCAGCCGAGTCGCACACAGCTCCTGGTTGTGTCAGCAGGGCAGATGGACACTCAGCTGGTGTGCTTCTTGCTTGACTGCCGTGGTTTGGGGCCCTGATGAGCGTGCTGTGCTCACAGGGGTAGGTGTGGATGGGGGATTTTGGTGCCAGCACATGCCACTCTAAACTCAGCAGAGTATATGTGCAAATTGACCCCCAGACTGGCCCCCCAAGCCTGTGCAGGGAGTCTGGAGGCTGCAGGGAACTCTGGCAGGTGCCGAGTGGGTAAGCGAACAGAGGGAAATGTCACAGCGACAGGAGTGACTATTTGACCATTGTCCTCTCTGCCCTGGCTTCTTCCCAACCCACGGGTGTCCTTTGTAACTCATGCTGGGTTCAGAAATCCTGGAACGTCCTTTGTGTCCATTTACATTCCATCAGCATGCTGGCTGGCCGCTGTGCCCTCCCTCCCTGTGAGTAAGCCCAGAGAGCTGTTGGCACCCTGCGATTGTGCCTGTGTCTTTAACCCTCATTAACAGGGCTGGCTCACTACAGTTGAACCTTCCTCTCCCTGCCTCTCTCTCCAGCTCCTGTCGTCCACCCCCTCCACTCATGCCTCACGGTGGACTTTGTGACTTCTTACAGTACGGCTTCAAGGAGAGGACACAGCGTGATTTATTTGAGTAAATGAACCTCTGAGTCGCTGAGGGAAAGAGGAAGCCAACGTGGAAATCCTGTCAACATCAGACTGTCTATATTCCCAAGAAGAGAAATCAGATCCATGAAGGAGGCCACGTGGTCCACAGGTGAGCGTCAAAGGCTCGAGTTCAGTTAGTGATTTGTCTCCTTCAGCCGTGAGCCTGGACTGGTAGGCAGAAACAAAGAGCCTCCAGCGTGCACATAAAGATGCATTTAGAGGTGCACTGAGCCAGGACGGCAGGAGAGCAGATTCCATCCCCCAAGGCCCCACTTGGTAAAATTAAGACGTTAATCTTTGCATTCTCATCCTTAAGCAAACACAGGGGTTGGGTCTGTATTCTGAGTTATGCAGATGATGGAGTTGTGAGGGGCCAGAAGCCAATTCACCTCCCTGCAGAGATGGGGATGCTGTCTTTGCTGATATAGGCAGCAGAGCAGTGGCTTTGTTTCCTGAGGGCGTGAGAAATGAAGCTATTGTAACTTTCATTTTAGAGATGAGGAAATGCAGGAGCAGAGAAGTCTGGTCAGTTGGCTCTGGAGCCTCAAAACTCTGGATGAGGTGAGGACCTGGGCTGTGTCTATCCGGCTGTGTCTGTCCCATGCTCTCCCCTGGCCTGTCTGTGAAACCTAGTGAGGCTGTTTCCAGGGAGAATACAACTTTGCAAGTCATCTCCAAGGTCCCCAGGAACCTCCCAGGGAGTCCTGGGGCAATGCGGGGCGGGTGGGGGGTGCACACTGGCCCCCTCAGTAGCAGAGGGCAAAGTGCTTTATCTGAGGACATGACTTTGGAAAGAGGCAAAGAATAACCCATGGAGCAGCAGAGTCAGGAGGCAGCTGCGGTGTGTGTGTGTGTGTGTGTGTGTGTGTGTGTGTGTGTGTGTATGTGTCCACACCCTCTTCTGACAGAAGGGGAATCTTCTTGGTAAGCCCATCGGAAAATCTGGGCCCAGGCCTTGCAGAATAGCATCATTTCAAGGAAAGTCTTCAGTGGGACAAAGGTTCAGTCGGCCCTTGACCGCTGCGTCCGTAGATGACACGTCCGAGCTGCAGACAGCTGCAGGTGGAAGGCATTTGAACATGCATGTGTGCTGAGGCTGTGCAAATGTCCTGACCGTGGCAGCAACAGCTGTGTGACAGATTAGGTTGTGTCAGCTGTGGTGAACTCTCTGAGGTGACCTCAGGCCCACGGGAGGTGGGTGTAGGTAGGCTCTCTGCAAACACCACATTGTCTTATGACAGGGACGAGGCGTCTTGGGATTCTGACTTGTGGCAGAGACGGGTAGAGAGGGCCCTGGAGCCACCTGAACATCCTTACCCCCCCCCCCTCACCCCAAATACAGAGGTGTCCTTCGCTTCCCCGACCCCTCTCCTAGACAAAACGCTTCAAGGTTTCCTGGTATTCACGTGGTAGAATCTAACTCTCTTCAATGACTAAAATAAAATGAATACTTGGCCCTTGACCTTGGTGATCTCTAAGCCCTCAGGTGTGCCCCACCTAAGAGTGTCCAGACTTTGTAGGGACTTGAGACCATAGCAGCGGTCTGTGCTCACATAGGGTTTAGTGGTGAGGCCTTGGGGTCGGGTTGCCTTGGCTTTTGGAGGGACTGGATCCTAAGGCCGACCCTGTTTGCACAGCCCATCCTCCATAGAACCCCTGAATGCCAAGGGCAACAAGTGTCCCTGGGGCAACACTCATCTGTGGGTTGCAGGGAGGGGAAAGAAGCCAGAGCTTGTCACCTGTCCCCTTGGTTCTTCCCTGCCCATCTCTGCCTTTTGCTGATGATCCCCTGAATTCTTTCAGCCAATTATTAAAACTTATGGTAGTCTTGGTAAATACCTGTTCTCCATCAGTCAACCAAAACAGGAGTATATGGATTGAAGCAGGGCACGGTGGGTCTCAGCACTGTTTCTCCAGGTTGCTCCTGACTGGAGTCACGTGGTGATGCTGGGGATGGTGGAGGTGGATGATGATCAGAGCTCATGAGCCAAGCCCTCTTGCCAGGGGTATACATGGGCGTTCATGGGTGGCTTCGTTTACTCTGATACTTGTGGTGATATATTGTGTATCAAATAAAGCTTGCCTGAGGATCAGAGGACAAAGCCAGCCACTAGATTAAACATAGAGGCCAGGCAGTGGTGGTACACACCTTTAATCCTAGCACTCTGGAAGGAGAGATCCATCTGGATCTCTGTGAGTTCAAAGCCACCCTGAACTATATGACATTGATTCAGTCTAGAAGGGAAACAGAGTCAGGCAGTGCTGGCACACACCATTAATCCCAGTACTTGGCAGTCACACACCTTTAATTCCAGTACTTGAGATCTCATGCCTTTGCTACCAGTATTTGTGAAGCACACACACCATTAATCCCAGAACTAGGAAGGAAGTGAAATGGCTGGGCGGAGAAAGTTATATAAGGTGTGAGGAGACAGGAGCTAGGCCTTTTCGACTGAGGATTCAGAGGCTTTCAGTCAGAGGATTTGTGGAGATAGGATCTCACCTTCCATTTGGCCTGAGGATTCAGCAGTGGTGAGAAGTTTCTCCAGTGGCATGATCCTTTGTCTCTCTGATCTTCCAGCACTAACCCCAATATCTGGCTCCAGGTATTTTATTATAAGACCATTTAGGATTCATGCAACAGATACTATTAGCCCATTTCATAGAGGAGAATACAGAGCCTCAGAAGTGTAGGTGCTTATCCAAAACAACATGGTGGGCAGACAACAGGATGGGGTTTAGCATAATTTGCCGAGAGCCAGTAGGACAAATCCCCATGTTCCTTCCAGACTGATGACCTTGGGCAGGTGATTTTAAGGGGAAATTTCTGCTTTGAGGTTATAGCCTCAAAATTTTATTATAATAAAAAAAATTCTGGGGCCTAGAAGGAGAAATGATTGGGTCTCATTTGGGGGTTCATTTAACAGATGTGGAAACTGAGGTTTAGAAAAATGAGCTGCCATCACCAAGCCCTGGAAGCTGGCTCAGGACCACCTGGGCTATATCTAACCCTGGGCCTGTGTCCTTAGCGTTCTGGGCTCCCTTTCCCACACAACTTTCCTGCGGCCATTCTGCTGTACCCCAGGCTTCTCTTCCTCTCCCTGCAGGATATCTCTGCTGGTTTGATGGTTCTGTTTCTCTGCATGAGACTTGTGACATTTGATTGGTGCTGTGGGCCAGGTAGCTCAACTCCTGGAGCCATGTGGAAAGGAGACTGACACATGGCCTTGGCAGACAGCATCAGCAGAGTGGTGACAGATGGGGCCACATGCTTATTAGCCTCACGAAGACCCCATGTTCTCAGTCGCTTTTGATCGTAGGCCACAGCAGGAATGGCACAGTGTGTCCATGCTGTGTAAGTAGCAAATGACAGAGGCTAGGAGCTTCTGGGATGGAGGCTGGCATTTCCAGAGGGACAACAGAAACACGATCATTTGCTCCAATGGCCAAAAACGTCAGGCTTGCAGTGAGCACTCTGGGCCAGCATGGGTGATTGACACTTTCTCCACCTGCACTCCAGGCACGGTGTTTCTTGAAACAGCTGAGAGCCGTAAGTGTGGAGTCTGAGGGGGTCTGGGAACCCTATGTTTCTTGGAAGAGTCCCCCCAGGGTGGTATTTGAAACACACTGCTGATGCTAATGCTCCAAATTCGATACTGGGGAAATGGGGCAGGAATCTTCCCTAGGCCAGTCACATCCCGTAGCCCAGTGAGAATCACACCACATCCCACAGTACCCAGGCTTTGTCCAAGTCCAGCCCTCTGCACTCCCTCCCAGTCATCACAGGACATTTTTCACACCTGTACTGTGCATGGTCTTGTCCAGCACTCTGAGTCCTGAGCCAAACCTAACAGAATTGGCATTGCTTGTCTCATCTGAGAAATGAATGAGTGGGGGGGTCCTGGGGGGGTCGAAGGGCCACCCCAGAGGCCCCCTGTCCCACAAGTAAGCTCATTGCCATCTATTCCTTCCTTTAAGCGTTCCTGCACTGACTTCTGTGGCTGGTGGCTTGCAGCCGGGGTGGTTTTCCGTGGTCATGGTGGCTGCTCTGTCCTACAGTGGGAGGGGCAGGTCCTTTCCCCAGTGGAAAGGGAACCAGCCCAAATGTGCTCTGTGACCAGGGGAGAGGTCTGGACTGTGTGCACCCTGCTCCTGGGCATGTAGATTCTAGGCTGACTTCATTAGCAGGCTGCATTTTATCCACACGAGGCCTTCTGCCAGATAAAGGCTGCAGAACCCCTGGGTACCAAAGGAAGCTTGGGCTGAAGTGGAGAAAAGAAAGGCTGGGCTCAGGGCACAGATAACTTTGTTGGTAAAGGGCTGAGAAATGAATGAACGAGGACTCAGTTTGATTCCGGAACCCACCTAAAAAGCTGGGCATGAGCTGGGCGGTGGTGGCATGCACCTTTAATCCCAGTACTCGGGAGGCAGAGCTAGGTGGATCTCTGTGGGTTCGAGGCCAGCCTGGTCTATAGAGTGAGATCCAGGACAGGCACCAAAACTACACAGAGAAGCCCTGTCTCGAAAAACCAACCAACCAACCAACCAACCAAACAAACAAACAAACAAACAAAAACTGGGCATGGTGATACATACTTGGGATCCCAGCACTGTTACTGCAGAGGCAGGAGAATCCCTGGGTTCACTGGCTAGCCAGTCTAGCCTGTTACCAAGCTCCAGGCCAGTGGTAGACCTTGCCTCAAAACAAACAAACAAACAAACAAAAGCAAAAACAAGGTACATGACACCTGAGGTTGACCTCTGGCCTCCACACCCATTTCACCATACATAGGTAGGAATGGGGAAGGGAGGGAGAGGAGAGAGAGAGAGGGAGAGAGAGAGAGAGAGAGAAACAGGGACCATCATTTAAGAAGCCCTGACCTTAGCTGACCTTGACTGACCTTGGCTGACCTACCCACTTTGCTGAGCCTGTTTTCTCCCAGGTAATGTAGGAGGCGAAGTGGGATGTGTTCGTGGGGTGGGGGATGGGACGTGCGGATGGTGGATTGGGATGCAGGGGGGTAGTTTGGCCACTCTGAATTCTTTCCACCACTTTAAACCGGTGTCAGGATCTAGTCCAGCCTGCTGCTGCAGAGGATGACCTCCTTCGGAAGGGAGAGAGTTGCTGAGGGGCCGCTCCAGTGCAAGACAAAGCCGTGGGAAGGTTTGGCCAGTCCGTTTTCCTGCCTCAGCAGCCAGATCCACTCCCAAGGCGGCGGAAAGCTTCGGAAGGAAATTGGATTGCAATTTAATTGATGGCCTGGAGGATGTGCTGCGGTCATTAAGCTGCCCTGGAAAGCCAGCCATTGTTCTGTACAGCACGACAGAGCTCTGCTTGGATGACACCACACGTGTATGGACGTGCATGTGTGCCCAGTCTCTTCCTCACTGGGCCCACTGTGAGCAGGAGTGTGCCTCCGCTGCCAGAGGGACCCCAGTGACCACCATCACATCACATGCTTTCTGGGAGGATCTTAAAGCCAGCAGCCCCCCAGCTCTGCCTCTGGTCTCTCATTCCTCTCCAGCCCCCAAACCTGCAGCCTGGGAACGCCCTCTCCTCGGACCTTGCCATAGTCACCTAAGTCCCTGCATGGTCTCTACCACCTGCGCAGTCTCCACCAGACTCCTGATTCTGTCAGCTCCTGGGAAGCTCCACTGTGAGCTTCCAGATGCTTCCTCTGGGTCTTGGAAAGCTCCCTGGTCAGAGTTCTGACAAGTCTCACAGCCAAAAGAAAATACCCCCAGCTCCGTTGAAATCTCTGATTCCCGAGCCATTTCCATAAAGATGTTCCTTCTGTTCTGTTCTCTTTATTCATGGCTCACTTTTTTTTTTTAACGTATTATAAAATAGCATTTCCCAAATTTCCAGTGTTATCCAGATCTGGCTGAAACCTTTAGCCTGGATTTCAAGTTTCTGAAGGGAAGGTCTTGCAGTCAGCAGTGGCTGGGTAAGAGAATGCAAGGCTCAGCTTCCTCATCTGTGAAATGGGTGTGTGTGGGACACTTCACGGAGTGGTTGAGAATTAAAAGGGCAGAGCCCTGTCCAGAGCAGGAGCATGGGGACCCCCAGGCAGCACTGACTGCAGTGACAGAGATTCCCACGTGACATGTTCTCTGCTCTCAGGACCTTTTTCTCACCGCCAGCCATGAGTTGGGTTGATCTAAAGTCAAATCACTTTGGAAGAGAGATTCTCTCTTCCTAGTGCATCTATAGAACCTCAAATTCATTCATTCACTCATCCATCCATCCATCCACCCACCCATCCACCCATCCACCCATCCACCCATCCATCCATCCATCCATCCATCCATCCATCCACCCACCCACCCACCCATCCATCCATCCATCCATCCATCCATCCATCCATCCATCCATCGCTTTCTTCTTTTGATTAGTTTCCAGTTCAGCTCCTGTATCTGACACTAAGCTTAGAAGAAGCCAGACAAGGGCCAAAACTCAGCCTTGGTGACCTTGGTACCTGCCCTGGGATGATAGGGATGGAAATGTCTGTGATTGCTGCAGGCTCTCTCTGTCTCTGTCTCTGTCATCTCTGAGTCTTGGTTTCTTTCTCTCTCTCTCCCTGCCCCTCAGTCTCTCTCCCTCCTCCCAACGCTCCTCTCTCTGTGTGTATGTGTCTTTATTTTAGGAGCTTCTTCCCTCCCTGACTGGGAGCCCCTTCCAGGCCTCAGACCAGGGGGAGGGAGCCTGTTTGCAGAGAAGGGAGAGGCCTTGTGAAGCCTAGAGTGGACCCCCTCCCCTCCATCCCTGGTCCCTGTAATCAGACGTTCTATCAGCTCCTGGGACAGAAAAGACACCCGGACCACATGCAGCCAACTCTATGCAGCCCAGCCCTCAAGAAGACAGAGTGACCTGGCTCAGCTACATGCAGGACTCAGAATTCCAAGCGCCCTGGGCACACTCGGTGAGCTGTTTCATTTCTTGGAGAAAAACAGTGAGCCAAGCTCTAGGCTAGCTCACTAAGGTGAGCCAGGCTCCAGGCTAGCCCACTAAGGTGAGCCAGGCTGCAGGCTAGCCCACTAAGGTGAGCCAGGTTCCAGGCTAGCCCACTAAGGTGAGCCAGGTTCCAGGCTAGCCCACTAAGGTGAACCAGGCTGCAGCCTGCTGGGAGGCTGCTCTCCCAGGTTCTCCGCTTGTGGGATCCGGGAAGAGAGGGAGGCAACGCCACGCTTCAAACAGCAAGTCTCTTTTTAGGGAAGATGCCATCGTCTCAATTAAAACGCAGACCAGAATATTTAATGGCACGGAAATTGATTTAGATGCTATTTAAATAATTTCCCCCTGGAGAAGATGGGAATTACTTGGCCTAATTTTCTGGAAGCATCCATTTCCTTACCGCTCACAACTTCCACTCACTGCTCCGTTCACCCGGGTGAGCTGCAGTGCGCATCAGCCTCCCGGGACTCCGCTCCCGCAGGAGGACAGAGCTTAAGATAGGACAACTGTGGTCAACAGGGGAGGACAGGGTGGTGCCTCAAGGAAGGCTCTGGGTGTCTCACCCTCACCAGGTACCCCCTCCCCCCGCCCCGCCCCATGTAGTTCCAGAAGGCCTAGTCACAGGGATGAGCTTGGGGGTGGGGCTGGTGAGGCATGGTCGTTCATGATGTCATCAAGAGTGGGCAGGGCAAGTGGAGGCAGTCTCTGCAGAGGGTATACATAGCATCTCAGGCCACCACACAGTAGCCCACAGCGTATTGGGGGTGTTTCTGAGCTGTAAAAGGATGCAAGGAGAGTTGGAAATGGATCTGTGACGTGCCCTTTGGGTCACAGTAATCTATGAAGAGTCTAGACTTTGCTTCCCATTACTTTCTATTTTCCTTTCACAGTGAAAAGTACGAGGGTTCAAGTGAACTCTGCAGATTACAGCTCATGGATGGAATCTGGCCCTCTGACTGTTTGTATAAATAAAACTTTATTGGGACATTGTGTGCTTTTCCTTTTAGATGCTGTCTATGGCTACCTTCCTGTTTCCTCAGCAGTATCAGGCAGCCTAAACTATTTACTTCTTGACCATTTAAAGGAACATCTTGCCAACCTCTGACATATGAAAATGGCTGTTTTATTTTATTTAGTTAAAAAATTTTAAAGGGAAAATACCGTCAATTTCACATGGCTGGACCTAATTTCCCACTTCTCAGAGAGATCAAATGACGGGCCCAGGGCTGTACAGCTGGAGAACAGAAGGATGAGGACACCAGCATAGAGACTTCGCTGAAGCCAATGTAAGGGCCCTGCTTGCTTTCCTTGTCTCTCCAGTCTGAGCTCTGTGGTCATGTGACTGCCTCCCCCCCACCCCCAACCACCAGATACTGACTTGTCCCTGAAGTCCTACATTGCCCGCCCTGGAAACACACCCCCAGAGCATGCTGGGACTGCAGAATGGGAAGGACCCTGACTGACTCTTTGCTCTGACTCAGTGCTGTGACTGGAACCCCTGCTGGGAGCTTCAGGTCTTAGCAAGGGGAGTTGGAGCATGGGGCAGAGGAAAGCATGATCAGACCAGCCAGGGTCCCTCCACCCTCTGCTTTCTGGCTACAACGTAAGCGGGTAAGAGGTGCAGCAAAAGCCTGGTCCAGATGGGAGATGCTGAAGCCACGAGACTCAAAGGGCCGTGAAAGTCTGAACAGGTTGGTTTGGAACCAAGGGTCTTAGGGTTCAGCCGGATGAGGTGTGGGGGTGAGTCTCAGAAGGGGACAGACAGTAGGACACTCAGGCTTCCCTGGTGGGGTGGACACTTTCCTGAGACAGCACTCACTGAGCAAGGCACAGCTGGGGGATGGTTGAGACTGTTTCAAACAGTCTCCGGGAAGGTTGAGTGGAGGCATGTACAGTGCTGAACACAGCCCATGTGGCTCCAGAGCAGGGTTAAGAAGGACACTAGCAAAAACATCAAGGCGGGGTGGAGACGATGCTGGCACTGGAGTCACAGTGACAATCTGCAGATTTGCCACTCACTTAGTCACCGTGGACACCTCATCTCAATATGGCATGCTCATGCACCTGCATCCACGCTTAATCCCTACACACTCTGTCTTCCATGGACAGCAGTCATTTCTCCCATAGCTACGTGGTCAACGCTCTCTTCCTCATTCAATTCTTAGATTTGTGAGAACAAGGGGCTGTGAGCTGTCTCTCTGTCCTGAATTGTGGTTCCTCACAGAACAAAAAATACTTAGGAAATGCTTGTGAGTCACTCACCAGGTATATGCCTGCAGTGGGTGCTCACTTTTGGGATCACGTGATTGATTCCTTCATCAGGTGTGTGACAACCCTGAACATGTCACATCAGGTAACAGGGAACGATTTTTCTCACCCCAGTCCCCTTGGGAAAATAATTTTGTACTTGCTGGAAACAGAGCCAGGAAAGTAGGTGTTTGCCTAGTCACACCCAAGTCATAGCACAGTATTTTTTTTCAATAGCACACAAATCACAAATTCTCACAATGTTTTTTCAGTTAAAAAAAAACAAAACTATTGCTAGGTCATGGTGTTGCCTGCCTTTAACCCCAGTACTTGAGAGGCAGAATCAGGCAGATCTCTAAGTTTGAGGCCAGCTTGGCCTACAGAGCAAGTTCTAGGACAGCCAGAGCTACACGGAGAAATCCTGTCTTCTAAAAACAAAAACAAAAAACAAACGAACAAAATAAGCTATGAGGCCCAGGAAACTAATGAGGGGCGAGTCAGCATTCTCGGGGCAGAAGAGGCAGCCCTGGAACAGGATATTTCAGACAAGGCAGCCCTGTGTGAAGGGCAGGGACCCAAAGATACGGTGGCCTTAAAAGCTCCTACGTCTCTGTTAAGACACCTGACAGACCAGTGTCCTCTTTGCCCTGATGACTCCTTACTTTTCCGTTTTCAAACCTGATTTTTCATGATTTCAACTCAGTCTTGACTCCTTTTTCTCCTTTGGATCTCCACCTTTGCTGTTTTTTTTTTTTTTTCTGGGATATGTTCAGAGTGAAAGCTACTCAGAGCAAGGACTTGCCCTGCTGTGCTCTCACCAGCCTCTCAGATGGCCCTTCAAGGCAAAACTACTTTGAAATAATTTACCCAGGCATGGGACATTGGTCTCCGTCCCCAAGTTTGTCAAGTTCTGAGAGCAGGGGCACTCAGTGTCCCCCACTCAAGTGGTGTCACCCCCTTTTGTCTTCACGTGGTACCCCAACTTACCCCAGAGATCTCTTCTTTCCCCCATTTTTGGTGAAAGATTATTTCTCTACTCATTCCAGCTATTGTGTTAGACAACCTATCAGAAGCCAGAAACCTCACATCCGCCTATTTCCATTCTCATGGCCAATCACAACACTTGCTTTTCTCATTCTTGTAATGTTAACATTTACCTCACCACCTAGATGTAGCCCAGGCCAACTTTCAACTTCTGATCCTCCTGCCTCAGTTTCTCTAGTAGCTGAGATTGCAGACAGGCACCTCCTCCCTGCCCTTAATTGACCACCATCTCTTGCCTAGATGTTCACAGCAGCCTCCCACGGTCCTCCTGGACTCAGCCTCTCTCTCGAAAGACTCTATTTCCATGGTTTGTTCAAAACCCTTTAGATTTGGGGGCTGGAGAGATGGCTCAGTGGTTAAGAGCATTTGATAATCTTACAGAGGACCTGAGTTCAGTTCCCAGCTCCTATGTCAGTTCATAATTGCCTGTAAGTCCAGCTCCAGTGGATCCGATGCCGTCTTCTGGCCTCCTTGGGCACAAACATATGTGGCATATACATACTTACACACACAGTCTTTCACACATATACATACGCACTCTCACATACACACTCACACAACTCACACACACATTAGTAAAAATAAAATGAAATTCTCTAGACTTTCCCTTCAGAATGAGATTTGACTCTTTCAAACCATGTGCACAGGGCTTCCATGGCAGCCATTGTAGCCTCAGCTTTCCTCCCTAGCCCAGACCCTTCACCCATTGGCAGAGTTAGATATTCTAGACCAGTGGATTCTACAGTATGGTGGTTGGAAACAAAAGTCCAGGATTCCAGACAGAACCGCAGTGCAGCATGAGCACAGAGAGGCAAAAGAATGCAAAGAAGTATGTTACTGTGTCGTGGATGCTTATCGAGAGAGTGCAAGGGTAGATCAAAGCCAGAGAGGGAAGGAACTGAGGTTCTGGTGTGCTGCAGGGGAAAGTCCCCCAGGAGCCTCCCTGCTCGCTCTTTCAGTGTGACACACAACTGGGTCCTCTGACCACTTCCATTGAGGCCAATCTGCACTCAGTGCTGCTGCTGCTGGGCCGTCCACCCTGAGTGCTGGGCTGTCCACCCTGAGTGCTGCCATCCACCCTGAGTGCTGCTGTCCACCCTGAGTTCTGGGCTGTCCACCCTGAGTGCTGGGCTGTCCACCCTGAGTGCAGCCATCCACCCTGAGTGCTGCCGTCCACCCTGAGTGCTGGGCCGTCCACCCTGAGTGCAGCCGTCCACCCTGAGTGCTGGGCTGTCCACTCTGAGTGCTGAACTGTCCACCCTGAGTGCTGGGCTGTCCACCCTGAGTGCTGGGCTGTCCACCCTGAGTGCTGGGCTGTCCACCCTGAGTGCTGCCGTCCACACTGAGTGCTGCCGTCCACCCTGAGTGCTGCCATCCACACTGAGTGCTGCCATCCACCCTGAGTGCTGGACTGTCCACCCTGAGTGCTGGGCTGTCCACCCTGAGTGCTGGGCTGTCCACCCTCAGTGCTGGGCTGTCCACCCTGAGTGCTGGACCGTCCACCCTGAGTGCTGGACCGTCCACCCTGAGTGCTGGGCTGTCCACCCTGAGTGCTGGGCTGTCCACCCTGAGTGCTGGACTGTCCACCCTGAGTGCTGGGCTGTCCACCCTGAGTGCTGGACTGTCCACCCTGAGTGCTGGGCTGTCCACCCTGAGTGCTGGACTGTCCACCCTGAGTGCTGGGCTGTCCACCCTGAGTGCTGGGCTGTCCACCCTGAGTGCTGACGTCCACCCTGAGTGCTGGGCTGTCCACCCTGAGTGCTGGGCTGTCCACCCTGAGTGCTGGACTGTCCACCCTGAGTGCTGGGCTGTCCACCCTGAGTGCTGGACTGTCCACCCTGAGTGCTGGGCTGTCCACCCTGAGTGCTGGGCTGTCCACCCTGAGTGCTGGACTGTCCACCCTGAGTGCTGGGCTGTCCACCCTGAGTGCTGGACTGTCCACCCTGAGTGCTGGACTGTCCACCCTGAGTGCTGGGCTGTCCACCCTGAGTGCTGGACTGTCCACCCTGAGTGCTGGGCTGTCCACCCTGAGTGCTGGGCTGTCCACCCTGAGTGCTGGACTGTCCACCCTGAGTGCTGGGCTGTCCACCCTGAGTGCTGGACTGTCCACCCTGAGTGCTGGGCTGTCCACCCTGAGTGCTGGACCGTCCACCCTGAGTGCTGGGCTGTCCACCCTGAGTGCTGGACTGTCCACCCTGAGTGCTGGGCTGTCCACTCTGAGTGCTGGGCTGTCCACCCTGAGTGCTGGGCTGTCCACTCTGAGTGCTGGGCTGTCCACCCTGAGTGCTGGGCTGTCCACCCTGAGTGCTGGGCCGTCCACCCTGAGTGCTGGGCTGTCCACCCTGAGTGCTGGGCTGTCCACTCTGAGTGCTGGGCTGTCCACCCTGAGTGCTGGGCTGTCCACCCTGAGTGCTGGGCTGTCCACCCTGAGTGCTGGACTGTCCACCCTGAGTGCTGGGCTGTCCACCCTGAGTGCTGGGCTGTCCACCCTGAGTGCTGCCGTCCATCCTGAGTGCAGTCGTCCACCCTGAGTGCTGGGCTGTCCACCCTGAGTGCTGCCGTCCACACTGAGTGCTGCCATCCACCCTGAGTGCTGGGCTGTCCACCCTGAGTGCTGGGCTGTCCACCCTGAGTGCTGTCGTCCACCCTGAGTGCTGCCGTCCACCCTGAGTGCTGCCGTCCACCCTGAGTGCTGCCGTCCACTCTGAGTGCTGCCATCCACCCTGAGTGCTGGGCTGTCCACCCTGAGTGCTGGGCTGTCCACCCTGAGTGCTGGGCTGTCCACCCTGAGTGCTGGGCTGTCCACCCTGAGTGCTGGACTGTCCACCCTGAGTGCTGGACTGTCCACCCTGAGTGCTGGACTGTCCACCCTGAGTGCTGGGCTGTCCACCCTGAGTGCTGGACTGTCCACCCTGAGTGCTGGGCTGTCCACCCTGAGTGCTGGACTGTCCACCCTGAGTGCTGGGCTGTCCACCCTGAGTGCTGGACTGTCCA